CGGCCAGTAGTGACGGTCACCAGGGTGCTGGGCAGCCCTGGCCGGCAGGGATGGTCGCTGCGGGCCCCCCCGGGGCGGTGTCAGACACCCCCAGTGTGAGGAGCTCCTGGCAGTTGTTGGGCGACGCCGGCGACGAGCAGCTCTTGAGACCCAGGCCCGGGCCCGGGTCCCTTCGGTCCTTGGGAGGACGGGGGGACGGAGGCCCCGTCCCCGCGAAGGTCTTCGGCCGCTGGACGGCTCTTTCTCTTTCTCTGGAGGCCAGGAGCGGAGCCTTCCCTGCTCCTCCCCTGGAGGAGGCTGGCACCGCGCGTCCTCCTCGGGGCTGGCATCGAGCGGGGCAGCTCTGCTGGTGTCTCCTCAGGCTCCGACCGATTGATTTATACTTCTCCGGCGGGGAGCCCCGCACCCCGTGAGTTGGGCCGCTTTGCAATCCTGTGGCTGATTGGGCCAGTTGGCACCAACGGCTCGCGGCTGGCACCCGATGGGCGCTTTCCACAGGCCGGCCTGCTGCCCCGCGAGGCCTGGGAGGCGCGGCGCCGAGGGCAGTTGCTGGGCTCCGGGGAGCCGGCGCCGCGGAGCTGCAGGGCGAGCGATGACGCTTCTCGGGCGCGCTGTCCCCGGAAGCCAGCGGCCTCGGGTGGGGGGCCGGCAGGCGCGGGGGGCGTCGCTCGCCCTGCGGCTCCGCCGCCCACGGTCGGTCGGCTCGCTGGCGGCCGTGGCGCCTCAGAGGCCTCTCGGGTAACGGGCGCCTCCCAGCGCTGCGGAGCGGGGCGGGCGCGGGGTCGTCAGCCACGGCTTGAAGAGCCGCCCGGCCGACGTGCGGCGGGCGGGCGCCCCAGGGGGGTGTGCGCCAGGCGCGGGTTCTGAGGAGGCTGCGGCCGGAGCCGGGGGGAGCCGGCCTCGGAAGGAAGCGGGAGGGCTGTGCCTGGCTCGGAAGGACGAGGAAAGAGCAGCGTCCGGGGCCGCCGTCCGCGGCGGGAGAGAAGCCGAGTCTCTGCAGGGACGGGGCCTCCGCCCGGTCTCCCCGTGGCCTGAAGGTGTTGTAGGACAGGGACGGGGGCAGCCCAAGCCCCGCAAACCTGCCTGGTCTACATGGGCTCTGCCATCCGCCGCATCCACACACAACATAGGAGACTTTGAGGGGAAGGAACTTTAATACAACTAGGAAACAACATAGGGAAGGCCAAGAGTCTAGTTTCTAAATCCAGCACCCACAGTTCCCCGTCCCCTCGTGGGTAAAAGTCCACCCAAGCAGGATCGGCCCAGAGCAAGGCCCCAAAGCTGCCCCAAGTCTAAAGCACCTTCCAGTGGGGACCCCCAGAAAAGGGTCACAAACAACCGGACAAGCCCGGAAGGAAAAGAGCAAAACCAACATCAAGATAAAACCCGCCATGGTCCCCTCCCCACGGGTCTCCCCCACATCTGTGTCACCCCGTCCACGACCACAAGGCAAGCGCAGTTTCTTCACGTGTCTCTAGGCTCCACGCGCCTCCTCCAGGCCTCCTGGCTCCATCCTGCTCCTTCCTTCCTCAGTCTCTTCTGCAGTTTCTCCTCTTCCTGCTCAGCTCACCCTCCCTTGGGTGGGGCAGGGAACCCCCCCTTTCCTGGGGACCACCCTGTTACAAAGGGACCCCGAGGCCCGGGCCTGGGTCTCCAAGAGCTGCTCGTCGCCGGCGTCGCCCAACAACTGCCAGGAGCTCCTCACACTGGGGGTGTCTGACACCGCCCCGGGGGGGCCCGCAGCGACCATCCCTGCCGGCCAGGGCTGCCCAGCACTGGTGACCGGTGGGGACCAGCACGGACGCTCTCCGGGTGGGGCAGCCGCCCCCGGGGGCCACAGTGCCTCTTTGTCTCCCTGTTTGTAAGAGACACCCCGAGGTGCTGGAGCCCGGGGCCCGTTGCAGCTGCGTGTGTCACGAGACCCGCAGTGACCTGCCCTGTTCCCAGCCACTGTCCTTGTTAGGCTCGAGCCCTTAGTTTTGGTTTATGGCCCTTTGGGGCTTTTTGGCGGCTCTGGTCTCAGAGCCTGGGCAGGTGGGCCGCCGTCCTGCCCTCCCATCTGGCCTCCCGCCTCGCTGCCCCTTTGCGCTGCTGTCCACCCCTACTGGGCCCTGAGGAGCAGCTGCACAACTGACCCGTGGAGCAGCAGGAGAGACCTTCGGGGCACTCTCCCGGGAAGAGCGGGGCCAGGTCTGCGCTGGCTCTACTGGAAGCCGTGTGGGTCCCCAGGGTGGGGGGGTCTGTGCAGGAGGAAGGCTGTGCCTGTCATCAGACACCCGGGTGCAGGCGGTGGTGGTGCCCAGGCCACTGAGGCCGGCACAGCCAGGGCAGGGCCCAGCCATGCTGGGGGGGGGTGTTGGGGGGGCGGGTGTGGATCTGCTGCCAGTTTGGAGCCATGGGTCTGCACGAGGGTGCCCCATCCAGCAGTGCCCAAAGGGGGAAGGAGCCCAAGACTGGCGCCCTGCACCCGCCTCTCTCAGAAGCCCAGGCCGCTTGATGAGCAGTATTGGAGCCTTGGAAAGCATTTCAGGGGCCACGGGCTTGGGGCCCCACCCTGCTGCTGCCAAGGCCAGAGTGGGCCAGGCGGGAGGGGGACGCTGGGGTGGGAGGGGGGCCTCCCGCCTTCAGCTCCTCCCCTGCAGGGGCACGGGCCAGGGTGGGGCTTGGGCCAGGACCGGTCTGACTGGCTTCCCGGCTCTGGGGAACCTGAGCTCCCCCTCTCCGCCCCGCCCCAGCAGCCCCCCCCCAGCAGCCAGAGCACAGTGGGGGGGGGGCCTCGCGAGGCGGGAAGCCAGTCTGCTCCCCTCCTGCTCCCCCTGGCTCCAGTCGCATCTGGCAGGTGTGAGGGGAGGGCGGGGTGCCCCGACCCCCTAGGACGGTGGTCCGGGTGGGGAACCGATGGACACGGTCGTCGGCCACACTGTAGGGGTGTCGGGGCTCAGACCAGAGTGGGCTGCGGAGGTGGGGCCCCTGCAGGGCCTTCACGGGTCAGCCGCTCCCCAACGTGCTCAGCGATCAGCAGACACAGCGTGGGGAGCCCCCCGCGGAGGCCGCCCCGCCCTCGCCGCCCCGCCGGGCGCCCTCCCCACGCCCCTGCCCCGCGGCGCCCGCTCTTGTGGCCTCCGCCTGCCTCGGCCGCCGAGGGGCGCCGGGTGGAGCCCCCTCAGAGGGAGCCCACAGCGACCCCAACACCCTGCTTCTCCCTGACGCCGCGGGGCCCCACTCCCCGCAGGACTGCGCCCGGGAGCGGGCAGAGGGCGGGGGCCAGAGCCAGACCCCGACTCCAGGGCCTCTCGGGCCGGCCCCAGCGGAGCAGCGGGGGGCGGGGGCCGAGGGGCCGGGCACCGGGGTGCGGGAGCGGGCGGAGCCTGGGGTCGGGGCCGAGGGGGCCGGGCACCGGGGTGCGGGAGCGGGCGGAGCCTGGGGGCGGGGCCCGAGGGGGGCGGGCACCGGGGTGCGGGAGCGGGCGGAGCCTGGGGGCGGGACCCGAGGGGGCTGGGCACCGGGGTGCGGGAGCGGGCGGAGCCTGGGGCGGGGCCCGAGGGGGCCGGGCACGGGGTGCGGGAGCGGGCGGAGCCTGGGGGCGGGGCCCGAGGGGGGCGGGAACCGGGGTGCGGGAGCGGGCGGAGCCTGGGGGGGGGCCCGAGGGGGCGGGAACCGGGGTGCGGAAGCGGGCGGAGCCTGGGGGCGGGGCCCGAGGGGGCGGGCCCGGAGCCGCCCGGCCCAGCCTCGCGCCCCGCAGCCCCGTCGGGACACGCTCGTGTCACCAGCTCGCGGGGGGGTCGGGCGCCTGCGGTCCTCGCTGCGCCGCCCGAGTAAAGCCGCGGCGACCACGCCGCCAGCGCTGCCCGCCACGAAGGTCGCAGCTCGGAGGCCGTCGCCGCGCCCGCCCACCGGACCCCGCCGGGCCCTCCAGGCCCTCGAGGGTTCGGCGGCCGCTCCCCGCGGCGCGTCGCTGGCGCCTCCTCGTGACGGCGCGCCTGTCCCGCTTCCGTGTCCCCTAGCAACGCCCAAGATGGCCGCCGCGCGAGGCCGTCTGGGGAGTGTAGTCCCGTCCTTCCCGCGTCCCGTTCAGGGCCTGGCGACTGGAACCCAGGCTCCCGGGACTACATTTCCCGGTGGTTCCGCGCGCCCTCCCACGGCATCGCGAGAGCCCGGGAGGGCAGCCCTCGGCGGGGGCGGGCTCTCACGGAGACTGTCGGGAGTTGTAGTTTGGGGCTGGGGCTCGCGCTCCCTGACACCCGGGCTGGGGCGGCGGAGGAACTACAAGTCCCAGGGGCGCGACGCGACCGCCCGGAGGGCGGGGGGTATGAAAGAAGAACCGAAGGGCGCTGGGGTGAGTGAGGGGCCGGGGGGCGCGCGGGGGCCGGGGGCTGGGGGGCGCCGGGCCGGCCCGGCCGGGGCCGTGGGGACTCCGCCTGGCGAGCTCGCGGCCCGGCGCCCCGAGGGCGGAGCGCCCCTTCCGCGGCGGGTCCCCGGAGCGCCGGGCGAGGCCTGCCCGCCGGGGTGCCGGCGCCGGGTGCTTCCCGGAGCTCCTGGAAGGAAATAAAGTGGGTTTCCGGGAAGTGGCTGCCCGGCGCGCCCGCGCCCCCCGCGGACAGGGGCGGCCCGGAGGGCCCCCTGCGTGCGGGCTGGACCGGCCTCTCGGCAGGCCGCGCCCCGACCTGCGCGCGGGTGGGAGCCGGGCCGCGCGGCGCCCCGAGAGCGCGGCCGCGCCCGCCCGGGCCCGAGCGCCGGCCTCCGGGGACGGGAGCCGGGAGCCCGAGCGCCGTCGTCTCGCTCCGCGTTGCACGACCTTGCGGTTTATTTTTTTTCCTGATTGTTTAGCTTTTTGGCCCCAATAAGGTTTTCAAAACGGGAAACACTTCATTTCGCCAGAAGGCCCCGGGGAGGGGGAGGCTGTGCCCGCCCGTCCTGGTGGGTCCCGGCAGCCCTGCCCCCAGGCCCGCAGGGGGCGCCCCGGCCCTCCCCACCTGACAGGGGTGACCCTAGAGGCGGGCCTGGGGGTCCCCGGGACTCAGCCCTCCGGGAGGACCCGGCCCCCTCTGCTCACAAGACCCTGGCCCCGAAGCTCGGGCAGGAGGCAGCTGTGGCCGCCCTGGCTGGACACCCACCCGCTCCTGACCTTCGACCTCTCGGTCCCACGACTGCCAGACGGAAGTCTAAGCCACGGGCCTGCCCAGCGCCCGGCGCCCCTTGGACCTGCCAGACCTTGCTCCTGGGAGCAGGCGGCTGTGCTGGGCCTGGGCGTCCCTCGCGCCATCCCCTGCCTGTCGCCGACCCCTGTCCTTTCGTCTGCCCGCTCCAGGCGTCCAAGCCAGAGCTCCTGAGTTGTCAGGGTCCCTCAGAGCGTCCCTGGCACAAAGGGGAGTAAGGCTCCGGGAGAGGGCCACGCAGCCCAGCGTCCGCCCCGTGCGGACAGCTGCCGTCAGCCACCCCGTGCCCTGCTGGTGAGCAGATGGCCTGTCTGGCCGGCGGAGGGGATGGGCCTGTGTGGCCCTGGCGGCGGGGCCCGGCCGGTGGGTCCAGAAAGGAGCCCGAAGACATTCAGAACCTTTTATGGTCACAGACCAGCAATTTACCGCCAAGGGAGCCCACAGGGAGATGTGCCGGGGAGGCGGCCCGAGCCTGGGAGGGCAGCCGCTGCCTGGGGCCCCGTGGGGCCACCGGTCTGCATGGACCTGCAGGTAGAAAATCCGGGAAATCCATCCCCGAAGCTGCTGGGCCGGGGAGTGGACTTCGCCAGGCCCAGAGCCCGCAGACAACCGGGGATGGACTCAGAAACTGGTTCCATTCACAAAAACACCAAAAAAAAGGAACACAGGTATCAAAGCTGTCGCTGCCGTGCCCGCCCACACTGAAAGCCACGGGACTGTAGAGGGTAGGGCCTGCGGACAGGCGCGGGCAGGGAGGCCTGGCTGCGGGAGCCCCGTTGGCTCCGGCTTTCTGGACACGGGCAGCCCCCTGGTTTGCCCGCGCCTACCTGGGGGGAGCTGCTGGCCCCGGGGTGGCGCCTTCCCAGCCAATGGCCCTGCCTGCAGCTCTGCTAGGGCGTGTCTGGGTGCCCAGAGAATCCCGGCCCACGTGTGGCAAAGGGCCACACACCTGCGTCAGCCTGCTGTGGGGCGCCAGGCTCTGAGCTCTGCCCCTGCTCCGTGTCTGCCCCCAGAGGTCTCCTCTGCCCTGTGCTGCCTCCATGCGCCCCAGGACAGGCAGGCCGAGCTACCCTGGGCATCCGCAGCCGTGGGGGCAGGCTCCTGGCCACCTCCTGGCCACCTCCTGGCTGCGCTGGGGCTGGAAGCTGGGCGGGGAGGGGTCAGTCCCAAGCCCAGGTCCCATGGCCGCGCCTCACCTGACCGCCTGGATTGCAGGCCTTGCACCCCAGGGCTTTGCGGCGCAGCAGGAGACTCCTGGGCACACAGTGGCCCCACCCTGACCGCTGACTGCAGGCGGGAGGACCTGGATGTCGGTGGCTGGAGCCCTGGAGGGTCAGGTAAGGGTCCTCCACTGGGCTGCCAGGCCTACGAGGTGGCACCGGCCCCCACAGCAGTCCCTCTGTTGCAGACCCCAGGTCCAGGACCATGGCCCTGCCGCGTGCTGTCCTGCTGGCCGGGCTCCTGGCGGAAGTTGCCAGCAAGGCCTCAGAGCGTGCGGTAGGTGCTGGCGGCCGGCGCCTGGGTCAGGCAGCTTCTGGCCAGCCCCGAACCCTCGGGAGGACCTTTGACCCAGAGGGTCCCCCGTTGACCTTTATGGGTCAACGATGCCTGCTGTCGGGTTGGTCCCACCCCTGGCGCCCGCTGGGCCTACCTCTGTAGCTGAAGCGGGGTCACTACTCAAGGGAACAGAGCCCCTGGCACCCATGTCTGGGGCCAGCACTTGGGGGGTCGCAGGGGCTTGCCTCCAGGGCTCGGCATGCAGAAGTGCCTGGCTCTGGGGTCACACCCATGTCTCCACCACTTGCGGGGACACCGAGATGGCCCAGGGGGCATGCATGCGACATGGCCCCCGTCCTCCCTCCTCGGGTGAGACTGGGCCAGGCTCAGGACTGACCACGCTCCCCTCCAGGGCCCGCAGCCCCAGTGCTGTGTGGATGGGGCGGACACCAATGCCACCTGCCCGGGCGCAGGCCTGTGCGGCCCAGGTAAGCGCTGCGGCCCCACTCTCCTGGGTGTGCGTGTCCGTGTGGGAGCGGTGACTGGTCGGCGTGTTTTGGGGTGGCCATTCCGCTGCCCATTGTGTAAAAACTTGGATGAAAACCCAGATGGCAGCTGTGGCAAGAGGCGGGTTGGACGTTTTCTGGCGAGGGGTCAGCAGAGGGGACCGGCCATCACGACGAGCAAGCGGGATGCCTGGGTGGGGCCGCCGCCCGTGCAGCCTGTGATCCTGACCCTGTCCCTCCTGCTCCGTTGGCACAGCCGGCCTTCCCTGCGCGGCGGGCACTGCCTGGCCCGGGCGGGCTCTCCGTGGGACCTTGGAGATTTGCTGTCTGGGGCTGGTCGTGGGCCCGACTCAGTCAGGGCAGCGCAATCTGGGGCGTAGGGGAGGTGGGGCTCGTGTGTGGGGAGCCCGCGGGGTAGGGAAACAGGCGGCCAATCCCGAGTGGCCCCAGAGCCAGGCGGCCAGCGCAGACCTCTCCCGAAGGACAGTGTCTCTGCCACCCCTGCTCCATCCAAGAGTGCGCAGAGGGATTTGTCTCTGATGTGTCTGCGCCCTGCCCATGGCCTGGGGCGCCTCGCATGGCAGGAGTCCCTGGGCCAACCTGCCCTCCTGGCTCCAGCCTGAGGGGAAATGACCGTCTCCTCCTACCCTTGGAGGCGGGGGCCCACCTGGGGAGCAGGTGTCTCTGCTCCACCCCTTGTCCAGCACCCCCCCCCCAGTAAAGCTCTGTGGCCCCACACTCTCTCCTGGTGGCCAGCGGCCCCCCAGGAGCTCAGAGTGCGGAGGGCCGCGCCCCTTGCCCTCCTGGTTTGGACCCCGCCTGACTGAGGGGGTTCCCAGGCACCAGGCGGCTCCTGCCTTCTCGCGAGTTGTGTCTGGACAGGCCTGGGGTGGTCTTCAAGGGACGCTGGTCCACAGCCCTCCCTGGAGCGGGCAGCAGGTCTCACTCTGGCTGATCCGCCCGCCCGCCCACCTGCCAGGCTGCTACAGGCTCCAGAATGAGGACGGCACCACCAGCTGCGTCCGCTGCGGGAATGGCACCTTCCCGGCCCCCCGCAATGCCTCTGAGTGCAGACACCGTGAGTCCAGCCCCGCATCCACCGCCTCCCGCCCTCCACACTGCGGGGCCCCTCCAGGCTGCGGGCCTGGCTCACTGGGGTCAGGGCAGGACCCCTCGGTGTGCCCAGGTACGCCGTGGAGCCCGAGCACTGACCGGCCAGCATGGCCCCTGTGGCCAAGTCTCAGGAGCCTCTGGGCTGGGCCTGTGGCTCCCCAGGGTGGAAGGCTTGAGGGGATGGCTGGGCACACTCAACTGTGCAGAACCCCCAGCCACAGTGGCCCCACTCACGGGCCAGCCCCAGTGCCAGTCAGGGGCAGGCCAACGATGGTCAGCTGCCCCTGAGCCGGGTCACCAGCCCAGTGGGCCCATGGCTTCACCCCACCCCTGTACCCTACCCCTGCATGCCCAGCCCTGTACCCCTGCACCCCATCCCAGCACCCCATCCCTGTAACCCTGCACCCCCATTTCTGCACCACTCCCTGCACCCCACTCTTGCATGCCCACCACTGCATACACAACCCTGTACCCCTGCACCCCAGCACAGCCCAGCTGGGCTAAGTCCTGCCCTGCACGCCCACCTGGCCCCTCAACCCCTGGGACTGAGGCCGTGCAGCGCACAGCACACTCCGGGGTCCGCATGCCCCCAGCCCGCAGCTCTCGGGGGTGGAAGCCTCGAGGGGATGGCCAGCACACCTCCCGGCCTGTTTTGGATGCACAGGCCTCCCATCCTCGAGATGCTGGGCGCCCGCGTGCAGGGTCGTGACTCCGCCTGGCCCCTCCACAGGGGACGTGCTGGCCCGGCGCAGGCTCAGGCTCAGGACCGGGGAGGGCGGGGCCGGGCGCAGGCAGGGTTGTAGGCCCACCGCTCCCCACTCTGCCCGCAGACGGCCCCCGGGTGGCAGCCTCCCTCTTCCTGGGGACCTTCTTCGTCAGTTCGGGGCTCATTCTCTCTGTGGCCGGCTTCTTCTACCTCAAGCGAGCCAGCAGGCTCCCCACGGTCTTCTATGGCAAGAGCAAAGGTGACCCTCGTGCTGCTGCGGACCCTGGCAGCCCTGGGCCTGACCTCTGCCCTGCGGGGCTTGTGGGGGGCCGGGCTCCAGTGAGGGAGGGTGCGTGGGGCCCCCTGGGCAACCAGGTTGGGCAGGGCCGCGCTCCTGCTGCCCCAGCTGGATGCCAGCCTGGCAGTGGATCTGGCCCTGGTCAGCGCGGGGCCGGCCTTACCCAGGTCCGGGCTGCCTGGGCAGCAGGCAACTCGTGGGGCCGCTTGCCCTGGAGGGTCTGTGGTGTCTCCTCCCACTGCCCAGTTGGGCACACAGCCTCCATGGGAATGGGTCTGGGCATCTGCCGCACCCCGTGGGCACCTCATGTGAGGCGTCCGCACAGACGGTGCCGGCAGCCTGGGCAGCTGGAGAGGGTGGTGCGTGGGAATGGGGGGCCAGTGAGGGCCCCCAGTGACAGCCCTGTGCTCCCCCCAGCCACCGCCCTGCAGCCTGCAGAAGCCGTGAGTACCAGGGCCAGCCGTGTCCCTGTGTCCACGTGTGCATGCCTCTATCTGTCCAGACGGGGCCTGGGTCCATGTGTGCCTCCACCCGTGTCCATGTGTCTGGGCGGGGCCTGTGTCCGTGTGTCTGGGCGGGGATTGGGCCTGTGTGTTTGTCTGTCCGGACGGGGCCTGGGTCCGTGTGTCCGTGTGTCTGGGCGGGGCCTGGGTCCGTGTGTCTGTGATCCGCCTGGGGCTGCGGTCCTCACTCTCCTCTCCTCCCCTCAGGCCGCCATGATCCCCCCACCCCAGTCCTCAGGTACATGGACCCGTCCGCCCACCCCCGGGAGGGCCCTGCTGGCCAAGAACCCACTGGCCTTGGTCTGCACCCCAGCCCAGCCTCTCCTGAGACGTGGGCCCTGCCCTGCCCGAGTCCCAGCCCCGAGAGGGGCGCAGGCCAGGGATGGCCTCTGCGGCCCTCCTGAGCGGCTCCCCCAGGGCGGGAGGTGCGGGACCCCGTGGGGCCGAGGGACGGGGCGGGCAGCCTGTGCCGTGGCCGCGGCTTTTTGTGTCCTGGCGGCAGCCGGGAGCGTAGCTCCTCACTGCTCACGCCCCAGTCCCAGGTCAGGAGAGGCCGCCCGCCTGCTGCTGACCCCCGCCCCCTGCCCTGGCCCCTTGCAGTGCGGAAGCCGCGATACGTGAGGCGGGAGCGGCCTTCGGAGGGGCCCGGGGGTCCCGCCAGCCCCTCCCCGGCGGGGACCCGGGTCAGCCATGTCTGACACAGCCGCAGCTCTGCATCCTGCCCCGAGGCCCACAGCCCTGCGGGTACTGCGGGCGAGTCGGGCCAGCCCTGGACACGCCGCCAGCGTGGCTGCGGTGCCCTAGCCTGGGCCTGCCTTGGGGACAGAGGGGCCCATCGAGAACCGCTGGCGCCCTCCGGAGCACGCGTGTGGCACCCCTCAGGGGAGGCATTTGGCATCTCTGCTGGCGGCTTCACGTGGCAGCCAGGCCGAGGTGCCCGCAGCGCTGACCTGCTGTGACCGGGACCCAAGCCCACGACTCCTGTGTCCGGGACTGTGGCGCGTGTCCACTTCCTGCCCCCTCAACTGTTTTCAGCGGAAATACATTTTACAGAAAAGTCGAGAAGCAGCTGCTGTCCTCACTGCACCCTGCTCCACCTGCGGGCCATTTTCTCCAGGGACAGCCGGTCTGAGGCTGCTGGGTCAAGGCCAGTCTCAGGCGATGCAACCAGTCCGGGGGGCACGGCACCCCCACTGGGGGCTCCATTCTCACAGTAAAGGGCGTTTCTCCCTGAGCTTCCTGCTGGGTCCCGCCCCAGGCACCACTGGTGGCCAGTATGGGCCTGCCCTGGGCTGGCAGCCAGGGACCATCAGTGTGCCCGCAGGCTGCCCTGTGCCGAGTGGGAGCTGCTGCCCGTGGGGAGGGGGTGTGGGGCCCCTCAGCAGGGACCCCCGTGCCTGCTCCTGGCCTGAAGGCCTGTGCCCCTGCGGCGCATGCCCCACAGCATCCCGAGCTGCCTCCCGCTGGCCGGGCAGCCTGGCTTTCCTGTAAGTCAGACAGACAGGCCCCCGGACAGCTGCCAAGGGCCTGGGTCACAGCCCCGGGAGGGCATTCCCAGGGGCCTGGAGGCTGCCGGGAGTCAGCAGAGATGAGGGCCGGGCAGCTCCGCAGGGTGGGCAGGTGGCCCCTGCAGACAGCCGGGCTCCAGCAAGGGCAGCAGGGGCCCAAGGCCCTGCTCTTAGCTCAGCGGCCGAATGGGCAGCTCCTTGTGGGCTGGCTCTTCTGAACGATGCGGAGGGAGGGTGCTGGGCCTGCCTTCGTGCTCTCACGCTGGCCGCAGCCAGGCTGGCAGGGTGTCCTCAGCGCCGACGGGGCTGGGCTGTGTATTCCCCAGCCATTGCTTGAGGAAGACCCCCCCTCCCTGCCTCGCCTGGGGTGTGAGGGGTAGGGGCTGCTGCTTAGAGCAGACCCGCGCTGGCAGCACGCAGGCGGGGGGTTGGGGGTGGGGGAGCGCATGCCCTGGCGGGGCCTCCCCGGGGTCCCTTCCTGGCATTGGCGCCAAGCAAGGTCTCGAGCAGGGGCGGAGCCAAAACAGCACCTTGCTGGCCTGTGGTCCATGGTGGAGCCTTGTGTCCGGATGGCAGTGGCCAGCTTGTGGGCCCCTGTTGGAGGCCGGGCCTTCGCACCCACGGTCCCCGCTGCGGGGCCAGGAACCAGGCAGCAGCGGGCTGGCTGATGCACTGGCACCGGACAGGAGGAGCCCGTGCACCGGCCCTGGGGTGCGGGCGCGGCAGGAGCAGCTGGGGGGCCATGCCTCTCCTCGCCTGGCCGGGACAGCTGCTGTGTCCAGCCTGGGGGGCCCCGCACTGAGGCCCGCGCCCTCAGGCACCGCAGGACGTTAGAGCCCTGCCAGCTGCCCCTCTGGCCGGCACGGCCCCGCCCCCCAACCCGGTTCGGCCCGGGCCTGCGGTGCTGACTGTCCCGCAGCTGCTGGCCACAGGCGGCACGGCCAAGTCCCTCGGGCCAGCCATCTCCTCTGGTGCCCCGGCTTCCTGCTGCTTTCTGAGGCCTGTCCTCTGAGCCCCCTCTCAGCGGCCCCTACCCTCAGGGATGTCTCCCCAGTGGTGCCCCGCTGGGCCAGGACGCTCTTTTCCGGCCCTCCGAGTTGCCACACTCAGCCTCCCCCAGGGGCCTGCTGGCCGCTCCCCCCCAGGTCCTGGCAGTCTGCCTGCTCCCAGGGACCTGCTGACCTCTGACCCAGGGTGAGCCTGACCCCCAGCCCCACCTCCCCTACACAGAGGGCTGAGGCGGGGCGACAGGATAGCTCAGGAACGGGGTGGGGGCACATGATGCCTCTGACGCACCAGTTCCCTTAGCGTGACCCCACCCCCTCCTGGTCTCAGAGTCCCCCAGCCCCGCCCCCTGCCCCTTCCTGGCCTCAGCCCCCCAATCTCAGCCCCGCCCCTCTCCCTGTCCAGCCTCAGACCCCCGTCCCAGCCCCACCCCTGCCCGGCCTCAGCCCCCAGTCTCAGGCCCCTTTCTGTCCCCACTGGTCCCTGGCCTCTTCCCAGCTGGCCCTCTGTCGCCAGCGCGCTCGCTGACTGGCTGGAAGCTGCTCCCCTTGCCGGTTCCAGATGCAGGGCCAGGGTCCCTCCCTATGAGACCCAGGGGCCCCCCGCAGACACCCCCAGCTGAAGCCAGTCCTGATGGCTGCTCTTGCCCGGACCCATCCTCACCCTGACCAGGCTCCCGAGGATGCCCCTGCCGTGGCCCCCTCTCCTGACCCAGAGCAGCAGTCTGCTGCACCTCCCCCTGCAGTGACCTTTAGGGCTAACCGTTCCTAGGTCCGGCTGGGCGACCCAGCGCAGGGGGAGAACAGCAAAACCCCCTGAAGCAGGGGAAGTACGGCGGAAGTTCCCTGAAAAGACAGAAGCTTATCAAAAGATAACGACCACCAGGAACCACTACAAGAATGCTAAAAACCTTATCCCGCCTTTCTAGAACTACAAGCTTTAATCCCTTACTGTCTTTCTAAACTTCCTTCTTTCTTCTATAAAGGTCATTGCTTGTTAATTAAAAAATCATATGAAATCCTTAAAACAAGGCTGACTCCAATGAAACATTACTAAACCCTGTAATAATTAAAATATAGTTTAGGTAAAAAAGTAGTTAATAAAAAATGCGATTCTATAGTTTAAAAACAAAACTAATGGTCTATCTACTTAGGAATGAGGCTGGGTCCAGATGTAGATCACCGCCCTGCTGGGGACAGGCTGAGCCCAGGAGCAAGCTGGTTTCCTTGATACTCATCGTCCCTGTGCTTTTGGAAAACATACATGTACTGGTCACAAACTCAAAGAAAATGACACTCAGATTTTCACTCTTGAAGTGTGTCTGTGTGTCATTTCTTTCGCCGACGCCCTGACCACCCTGCACGCTTCTCTCAACCCCGAGGTGGCCTCATCGTCTCCTGCTGTGCTGGTCCGCGGCAGCAGTCGCCCCTCCGCGGCGCCTGCCGGTGGGGGCGCGGGGCAGCAGGGGGTGTGGTCGTGCTGGCCTGGTCAGTGGCGCGGAGGGTCCGCCCAGGGGCTCTGCTGCCCCAGGGCTGGCCTGGCTGGGGAGCGAGTCCACGTGGGGCGCACTGCCCAGCACCTCGGGGCGCGGGGCGGGGCGGGTTACCCCAGTCCCAGCCCCACAGGCGCTGACCACGCCCCCCACCGCAGGCCTGCCAGGGGGAGCGGCCAATCCCGCACCGGGCCCGCCACGGCCCGCCCCAGCCAGTGTGACCTGGAGCTTATAAATGCACCTGCCGGGGCCCAGGCCTCCGAACCCACAGCTGCTCAGAAGGCACCCACTTGGAGCAGGAGGACACCCGCCTGCCGGGACAGCCGAGGGCCACTGCCAGGCCAGCTGCCAGCGGGGCCGCCCGGAGCTCCAGCCCCACTGCAGCCCGGCCCCCGCCACCCCTGCAGGTAAGGCGCACCCCTTGCCTGGCCCGCTGGGTGGGAGCTCCTGAGGCCAAGGAACCGGTTTTGTGGGGAGTCCCAGCAAGGGGAGCACAGCCCGTGGCCCCCCAGGCCCCACTGTTGACAGTTTCAGGCAGTCTCTTGCCTCCTTGCGTCTCTTGCCTCACGATGACATCACAGCGAGTCACGATGGTCACGGTCATGCGGTGGCAGCTGAGAGCCGTGGGTGCATCACCGTGAGGTCACCCTCCTGGACCTGCCAGCCCATCGGGACCAGGTCACCTCTGGGGCCTCCTGGGCGCTGTGGGGTCACACGACCGGGGTGTCCCCACAGGTCCTGGCCACGTGTGTCCATCGTGGAGGTGACAGGGCATCACCCCTGAGCTGCGGGGCAGCCTGGTGGGGACGGGGGCTCAGCTGCGGGCGGCAGTGGCCCTGGGGAGGGCGGCCCGGCCAAGGGTGCGTTTCTGGTGGAGGCCACCAGGACGCAGGCCTGTTCACAACCCACAGCGGCTTCTGGGAGGCTGACCCTTCCCAGCCCCGGCCAGTCCGGGGCCCCGGGGCCTGTGGGCAAACCCACATCTGTCGGAGCCCCGACCCTGAGCCCCGTCCCCGAGCCCCGTCAGCAGCCGCGGGCACCCTGGCGCAGGACCCGATGCCCCTGGGCTGCTGTCACCTGCCTCGCCAGGGGGGCGGCCAGCAGGATGCCCCCTCCATTCTCAAGCCCCTCTGGGCTGGCCAGGCCTGGACCTGGGGAGGGAGGGCCACTTGCCCAGGACCTGCGGTTGGGCTTTCTGGAGGTGCCCAGGGGTGTCCATGTCCTTCCTGGGGTTTCAGGCTGGCACTGGACGGGAGAGAGGAAAGGGGCTGTGGTCCCTCACAGTGGCCTGTTTGTCCCACAGCCGAGAGCCATGTCGTCAGGCCAGCAGGTGCGGCCCCTGGCCCCACCGGCCCCCCATCAAAGCAGCCCCACAGCCACATTGCCCAACACCCCCAGCCCGGCCAGCAGCCCCGCACCCCCGGCCCGGCCAGCAGCCCCGCACTCCCTGCCCCCCGGCCTGGCTGGCAGCCCCCGCACCCCTGGCACCCCCAGCTCCGAGAAGGTGGCTTCCCCGCTGGAGTGTTCCATCTGCTTCGTGGCCTACGATAACACCTTCAAGACGCCCAAGCAGCTGTCCTGCGCGCATGTCTTCTGCCTCGAGTGCCTGGCCCGGCTGGCGGCCGCCCAGCCCACAAGCCGCCCTGGCAGCGAGGCAGTGCCCTGCCCCTTTTGCCGGCAGCCCACGGCCATGCCCGCCGGGGGGCCCCTGCGCTGCGCACCAGCCGCCAGCTGCAGGCCCGGATGCCGGTGCACCTGCGGCGGGAGGCCCCTGTGTGGCTGGAGGGCACCAAGCTGTGCTGCCGGCCCCCGGCCCCCGCGCCCGGCCTGGTGAGTGTGGAGGTGGGCCTGAGCAAGCCCCCGAGGCCCCTGCGCCGTTGCCTGGCCCCGGCCCCGCCCGCCACCCCCAGGGCCGCTTGGCCCGCTGTAGGGCCTGCTGCAGGGCCCGCTGTGGGGACTGGCGGCGCATGACCCTGGTTGTGGCCCTGCTGCTGGTGCTGTTCTGTGTGGCACTCTGGCCCGTGCAGTGTGCCTTCCGGACGGGCAGCCTGCGCTGCCTGCCCCGGGCACCTCCCGCCGCCCCTGCCCCCGTGGCTCCTGCGGAGTCGGCCCTGCCCCTAGGGGTCCTGGCCACGCTCTAGGGCTCGGCTGCACCCCACAGGCCTGCGACCGCCACAGTGCCACACATGGGCACAGCCACCGCCAGGGACCCCACCCAGGGAGCCTGGCTCTCTGAGGACCCTGTGCCCCGCCCTGAAGCCGGGGTCCAAGGACTGGACAACAGGGGCCCACATCCCCCACAGCCACAGACTCCCTGGAGCCCAGGGCTGTGGAGGCTGAGGAGGGTGGCACAGGCCGAGGGCCAAGATCGGGGCTGGCCCTGCCCTCCTGCCCAGGGGCGAGGCTGGGAGGCAGGGGCGCGCCCTCCCTCCTGAACTGCACATTTCTGAATAAATGATTTTGTACCCACTTTTTGTAAGGGGTCCTGAAGGGTGCACACCCCTCCCTCCAGACAAGTTCCCCCTCCTGCCCCAGGAAACCTGGCTTCCGGGGTCTACTCCTGTCCCCTCTGGGCTGCAGATGGGCTAGAGCTGCCCCAGGACCATGAAACAGCCCCAAGAGGCTCGGCCAGAACAGGACAGGGCTTGTCCTCGTCCAGCGCTGGCCTCCCCCAACCATGGCCACACAGGGCTGTGCCCCTAGGAGGCTGCAAGGGGCTGGGCCCCTGCCTGGAGTCCCGGCTGTGCGGGGCACAGAGCCCTGAGGCCCTGGGCAGGGGTGTCCTGCACAGATGTGGGGGTCCCTCTGAAAGCCTCCCCTGGCCTCAGGGCTGAGGCTGGGGCCTCCTGTCCCAGAAGCCCTGCAGCCCTGGGCTGGCACCCAGGAGATGCCAGGCTGGTTCTGCTGGCAGGGCTGGGCCCTTCCCCCACGGCCCGGAAGCCCTGCTGGGCAGAGGCTCGGGACTCCTGGGGAGGCTGGGCACACCCACCCTTGCCCCAGGCCCTGGTGAGCCGAGGGCCCTCATGAGGGAGGGAGGTGCCACCCGGCCGCATGCCAATGCCATCACGCTGGTCAGTCACGCACTCGCCAGTCAAGCGCACGTCATGGCGGGTGAGGCAGCAGCCGCAGGAGCACCCCACACCCCTCATCCAGCAGGCATGGCCGGCATGGCGGTGGCGGGCGGGGGGGTGCCTGGGACTGGCTCAGCCTGGCATGGTGGCTCTGCTACGGGCCCTGGGGTGACAGTGACGCCACACAAAGGCTGGTCACTTGCTGGCCACTCATGTCACGTACAGGTGGACACACATGGGGTCCAGTGTAGGCGGTCATAGTGGCCTGGGACCCCGGCAGGGGCGGGGATACTTGGGCTCCTACTGCCCCTCTGCGCGCACAGCAGCGGCCAGGGGCGCCGGCGAGCCCCGCGCGCTGCCCTACACTCGTCCCCGAGCGTGGCCGCAGCCTTGCGTGGACTCCGGCCCGCACCCCCGGGTGCACCTGGGGCTCCCTCTGCGAGGCCCCGCGGGTTCCCGCGCTGCCACCGTTGGCCTCCGGGTCCTGCGGGTGGACGCCGGGTTCGGGCCCACGGCGGCGACCTCTGCTCCGGACCCCCGCTGCCGCCGGCACCGGGCTGCAGGCCCAGCTCGCGGCTTGCGCTGGGGGAGGGGCCTTCGGTGGGGGGCCGCCCACCCCCTTGTCCGGCGGGCGGGCCGGCGGTGACCCCTGTGCTGCCCCGGGCTGTGCCCGAGAGTCCCCGGCGGAGGCTGGACCGTCTTTCCAAGCCCCTGGTCAGCCCGGGGCCCGGCGGGGGCGGGGCCACGACGGCGGGGCAGGCGGCGGGAGGCGGGGCTAGCGGGAGGGGCGGGGCCATATAGATGGGCGGGGCTACAGGAGGCCCGAATGGTGGGCGTGGCTATGCGGGTGGGCGCGGCCCGGCGGAGGGTCAGGCTATGTGGGCGGAGCTACTATGGCGGGCGGGGCTACGCGGGCGGGCGGGGCCGCGGGCGGGCGGGCGGGGCCGCGGGCGGGCGGGCGGGGCGCGGGCGGGCTCTGCGGGGGCGGGGCTACGCGGGCGGGCGGGGCCGCGGGCGGGCGGGCGGGCGCGGGCGGGCGGGCGGGCGGGGCGGGCTCTGCGGGGGCGGGGCTACGCGGGCGGGCGGGGCCGCGGGCGGGCGGGCGGGGCGGGCGGGCTGCGGGGGCGGGCTACGCGGGCGGGCGGGGCCGCGGGCGGGCGGGCGGGGCGGGGCGGGCTCTGGGGGGCGGGGCTACGCGGGTGGCGGGGCCGCGGGCGGGCGGCGGGCGGGGCGGGCTCTGCGGGGGCGGGGCTACGCGGGCGGGCGGGGCCGCGGGCGGGCGGGCGGGGCGGGGCGGGCTCTGCGGGGGGCGGGGCTCCTCGGGGCCGCGTCCACGCGTGTCCGGCTCGGCCAGGGCCGGCGCGCCTGCGGCCCGCGCTGTGCCCTCGGGCCGGAGGCCTGTGCTCCAAGGACCGGCCCCGGCCGCGCCGCCGCCCGCAGCTCCGTGCCGGGACCGGCCTTCCCCGCGCTGCTCCGGGACCGGGCGGGCCGGCCGGGCCTCGCGTCTGGGGCGCCCCGGGCCGGCGCGCTGGTCGGCGGGCGCAGCCTGGGGCGCCGCCGGGGGCCGGGGACCGCAGCGCGGGCTGCGGGGGCGCAGGCCCCTGCGAGAGAAGGGCTCGGGGACGCAGGGCACAGGGACTTCCCGCCGGCACCCCACCCCCCAGGAGCTCCTCAGGGCCCCCCTGAAAGGGGACACGCAGACTAGCCCCGGCCCACCGAGCCCCTCCACTCTAGGTTTTAGTCAGGGCAGCTCTGCGGCCCCTGGGGGGGCCCCAGCCACGCCCCCAGCGGAGTCCTGGCCCCCAGGACCCTGGCCCTCCCTGGCACCTCGGGGGCCCTGAGGGACAGACAGCGGCCCTGGCGCCCCAAACCCAGTGCTGCCAGCTCGTGGTCACCCCGTGGCACATGGGGCTCAGGGACATGGCAGTGTCACCTGTGGGGGGTGCGGTGAGGGTCTCCAGGGGAGCTGGGAGGGCACAATCGTGGACCCCGCAGGCCTGGCACCCACCTGCATGCAGCCAAAGGCCCCAAACAGAGGGGGACAGGCCCAGAGCCCCGCGCTGGGAGCACAGCCGCCTGCCCCGACCCCTGAGCCCTCTGCGGTGTGGGGTGGAGGTGACCCTGCCCAGAGCCCTCAGCGCCCTCACCACCTCTGGCCTGTCTTCTCTGCCACCAGCTGCCCAGGCCACTGACGCTCCCCACCCCCAGGTCACCCTGCGGTGGGGCGGGCAGCTCAGACTCCCTTCCCCACCAGCAGATCTTCTGCCTCCTTACTGGAGGAGGGGCAGGCAAAGGTGGGACAGGAACCATACCTGGCCAGAGCACCCGCCCACGTGCAGCTGAAGGCTCCGGAGAGACAGCACCCCGGACCCCTGGATCAGACCTGCTGCCCTCAGGGAGCCGCAAGAGGCGGGGCAGGCCGGTGCTGTGGCTCTCGCTATGGCCACCAGGGGGCAGCCTGGTCCTCAGCGAGGAGGAGCAGGCACCGGTGGCCCAGACCAGCCCACTCAGGTCCGCAGCCTTGGCTGTGCATATGGGGAAACTGAGGCTGGTGGGACCTGATCACCCCGTGTGGGTGTAGCGGACAAGGCTCCTTTCAAGTCAGACAAGAGCAGGACGCCTGATGGTCCTGGGGCAACACTGATGGGCTTGGCGCCCAGGGACTGGCCAGTGGGTGCTTGTTGAAAAAATTGGAGCCAGGGGTGGGGGTTGGTGTAGACTCAGCTACCTAAAGCTCCAACTCCACTGTCCAGTGTGACCCACCGTCCTCTATCAATAAAGGGTGGGTCCTGCACCCTCCAGCCTGCGCCCCAACTCCTGCCCCTTCTGATCACTGCGGCTCTGCGCAACCACCCAGGCCATCCTCCAGGCCAGCGGGCAGTGGGCCCAGCTCGGCTGCCCTCCCTCACTGCTGTGTCTGGCACCTGGGTCCGGAGGAGGGAGGGGGCTGCCGCTGGCCCTAGGCGCAGGGGCAGGATGCCAGGCGCCTTGCCCAGGGGCCCCCGCACAGACACGTGGCTCTGCTGCCGGCCAGGTCCTGAGCTCGGTGGGACCCCCTGTCTGGCAGCACCCACGGCTCCCACATCCTCTGGCCTCGCATCCCGCCCCGCACGCAGCCTCTCCCAGCCCGGCCCTACATAGGTCGCCTCGCCGTCCTGGGAGACCAGTGCCAGGCCCGGCCTGCAGCCCCTGCCAACCCTCTGACTCCAGAACTGCCCATGCTTCCTGCCCTTGTTAGAGGGCAGGGGGAGGGGCACCCCAGAGCCCCCAAACCGGTCCGCACTAAGTAGGTTCTGCCATCTGCCGCATCAAGACAAAACATATAGACCTTTTTTTTTTTTTTTCAAACATATAGACCTTTAATGGAAAGGAAATTTAATACAATTAGTGAATAGGACAGAGAGGACACAGAATTTAGTTTCCAAATCCAGCACCCACAGTCACCCATCCCCTTGAGGGTAAGTGTCCACCCAGACAGGGTTGGCCCAGAGCAAGGCCCGAGAGCTGCCACAGTCTAAGCACTTTCTGGTGGGGACTCACAGGAAAGGGTCAGAAACAGACAGACAAGTCTGGGAGGAAAAGCAACATCAAAACCAAGAGAGAAGCTGCCTTGGTCACCTCCCCACGGGCTCTCACCCGTGTCTGTCCAACCTGTCCAGGACCGAGGAGCCGAGTGCCAGTGCCCTTTCTCCACGGGTCTCTGCTCTGGGTCCTCCTCAGGCTCCTCCCTCCCCAGGCTCCTCTCCCGCCTCCCTCCTCCCTGCTCAGCTCCACCCTCCTTTGGGTGGGCCAGGGACCTGGAACCTCCCCTTTCCCTGGGGACACTCCCCACCCCCCCCACCCCCTCTCTGTCTGACTCTCCCTAGGCCCTTCCCTTGCCAAGACCCGACACCGCGGAAGCCACCCCAGCCCTTCAGCTCCCATCCACAGTGTCCGGACCACACTGACCCTGGGCAGTATGACGGGGCTGGTGGCCTGGCCTCACTCCCCCTGCGGGCAGGGGCCCTGGCAGCCCCCAGCGCCCCCAGCGCCCGCACTGGCCTCCACAGCCCCAGGGTCAGTGGCCGCCCTGGGTGAGGGGTGCCATCCTCACTGATCTAGGGGTCACTCAGGGTCGTTCCTGGGACCTCTGGTCTCGGGAGGGTGCAGGGGGGAAGGGCCCCCTCCTTCTGGCGTGGTGGCTGGGGCTGGGCCCCAGACCCGGCCTGGGGGGGGGGGGCGGACCCCTGCAGGCAGGTGGGCAGGGCCCGCCTAGTGCGGGACACCAGGCCAGGGCCAAGGCCTCTCTGGGGGCCTGGGGGAAGGAACCAGATGGCCTCCCGCTGCAGGCGACCTCTGACCTCTGACTCGCTGAGCGGAAGTGTGGGTGTCAGCAGGGATCTGGGAGCCCAGAGGGACCCCAGGGGCGTCCCACGGCCCTGCCCACCAGGACCCCCATCCCCAGGACTCCTTAAAGGGGAGGCACCTGGGACGCTGGGAGTAAAGGCCCCAGGAGGGGTGGCAGGATCCCCTAAACCCGCTCTGCCTTGGGCTGCACCCCAGCCCAGGCTCTGCCCCCCACTGACGTCGGGCCTGTGAGTCCACGGCCCTGCCCCTGCCCCCAGAGGCCCACCGGACAGGCCCTGGCCGCTCCGGCCAGCACAGCCCCTGGCGTGTCCTGGGCTCTCAACCCACATGCCCCTCCCATGCTGGCCCCTCACCACACCCCTTTTCCAGGAAGGGTATCTGGGGCTTCTAGGCCCTGCTGTGACAGGCCCCTTCCCTCCTGATCCGCCAGGCGACCCCTCCCTCCTGGCACCTGGGAGGCCACCCCCGGCGCTAGAACCCCTCTGCCTGCTGGGCTCTGCCTCTAGACGCCCTCGTCCCCCACGCGCAGGCTCTGGGCCCGGGCCTCCCCTGGCCCCCGCCAGCCAACCGCCCCGCCCGCCCTGGGGCTCCCGGGCCTCCCTTCACCTCCCCGCCTGCTCCCAGCTCGCTCTTCCCAGGTCAGTGCCTCAGGACCTTTCTGAAGGTGCGGTGACCCCGCTGTGCCCTGCCTGAGCGGGGCACCCCGCACACCCCACCAGAGGGCCAGAGCCTGGCCTCCTCCATCTGCTCCCATCCTGCCACAGTGCAAGCGCACGGCTGCTCCGCCAGCGGGCCTCGGGGTCCCGCTGGGGTCAAGGCCAAGGCCACCCCACTCAGGTCAGGGAGGGGCCCAGCCAGTCGCCCCACCCCCCTGACTCCCCAAGCCCACCCCCCATCACCTGGCCCCCAAGGCCCACCCTGACCAGCTCTCCTTACAGGCCTCCCCTGTGCTCACAGGCTGATCCTGACCTTGTGCAAATGCTGCATGGGGGTGCATGAGCTGCCACCCTACAGGGGCCACCTGGGTGGCCCGTCTCCTTGGGTGCCCCCACATGCACGCCCCTCCCCCCAAGCATCAGCTTTGGCTGCCCAGAGGCTCCTGGGTAGGGGCAGCCCCACCCTGCGAGGCCAGAGCCCGGGCAGGCGCGGCGTGTGGTGTAGACAGACCCAAGCACCCTCTTTGTCGTGTTCAGCTTTATTTCACAGGACTGACATGGACACAGACTGGGGTTAGTAGGAGGACACTGGGCTCCCAGCAGCTTGCACCTGGTGTGGGGGGATAGTGGGAGGGTCAGGGCGGCCACCGGAACCGGGAGGGGCGACCAGGCCCAAGCGCAGGTTAAGGCGTTTCTGGGTTCATGGCTGTCTCTGCCACCTCCACCCCGGCCCTGCCCTACATCCTCAGAGGGCCCCGGTCACTCCTGGACCAAGCAGCAGCCTCGCCGGCCCACACCAGTGCCGCTGGGGGCCAGGCAAGCCGCCCCACCCCTCCGGGCCCCCGAGACTCTGGCTGCCAAGCCAGTCCCGGGCTCCGGCCTTGAGGGTGACGGGGCATCCAGGCAACCCTGTCATGCTGTGGCCCACACCCTCGCAGTGCCCGGGGGTCAGGGAGGGCGGGCGGAGGCATGGGCAGCCACGCAGGCCTGAGCCTGGCTCTCGCCCCAGCAGTTGGGCCCTGGTCATGGCCCTGGCCTGGGAGCCCCGGGGCCGGCCACAGGAGGCCCTGAGAGGCCAGCGCCGCAGCACCATAGGGGGAGAGGCCCGCTGGGGGACCTGGGCTGGCCCAGAGGAAGGGTACCCTGCTGCTCCAGGGGTGGGGCACACAGATGGGGTGGGGGACGCAGGTGTGGGAGGCGGCCCCTGGGGACCCGGCCCTGGGGAGACGGCACGAGGTGGCACAGGCAGCTGCTGTCCAGGCCAGGGCCCCACGTCCCTCAGCAGCCCCATGTGCTGCCGCCGCCCACCTAGACGGACAGACAGCGGGAGGTCGGGCCGGCAGTACCTCCAGCCAATGCATGGGCAAGAAAATTATATCAAAAAGGCAACAGGTTTACAAAAATAGAAAGTAGCTACAGCAAGGCGAGGCGCAGGCTCACGGGGCGGGCATGGCCGCAGCACGGGCTTCGCCACTGCGTCCTCCAGCAGGTGCAGTGGCCGCCGGCCCACCACCACGTCCCGCAGGCAGCCCACAAAGCCTGTGCCATAGGCCTTGGGCAGGGCCTGCCCCACCGGCGCAGCTTCTCCAGGCCACCTGCAGACAGAGGACGGTGGGCTGCGCCTGGTCCGGGCAGGTGAGTGACCCGGGCTCCAGCCTCCAGACCACCCTGGGACCAGCCGGGGCGAGGACAGGAGGGGACGGCTCCTGCCTGGGCCTGCCCATCTGAGTCCCCATGGGGCTGACTCAGGTGCTGGCCAGTGTGGCTGAGACTCAGGGGTTCCCTGCTGTCCGGACACCCCCACACTCACCCAGCCACAGGGCTCCGTCTGTGTCCAGCTGCGTGGCGCCCAGCGGGGATGAGCCGGTCACCGGGGCCTCGTTGCCCACCTGGAGGGAGCCTGCTCTCTGCTCCCTGGTGGGGAAGTGGGGGTGAGATGCTGCCTTCAAGTCCAGCGCCCCCATCCCTTTCACCCCGATGTCTACAGGTGCCAGCCCCAAGGACACCAGTCTCCTGGGGCTGAGCCAAGGGACGCTGACCCCAGAGTGTACCTGGGCAGGTGCTCATGTGGGTCAAAGGGGTGGCCAGGCCTAGCCCAGAGGCCATGCACCACCCAGGCCTTCCTTTTCAGGTGCCCTGGCTGCGACCTCGGGTCCGGCGGCTGGCCCTGTGCCCTGGAACCCTGCCCTGGCCCAGTAGCCTGCTCACCTGTGTGCCTGGACCCGCAGCCAGCGGCCGGTGTTGACGGGCACAGAGGACCGCAGTGTCACCGGCCGGGAGCCCAGGTCGTAGGTCAGCTGCAGGCGGCCGTCCACGATGGCCAGCGCCATGTAGTCTGCCCGCTCGGTCGCCCTGCCGCTCCACAGCACCAGCCCCTGCGTGGCCTCCGTGCGCAGGCTCAGCTCAAAGTGGTCGCTCTGCAGAGCCTTCTCCCTGCGGGTAGGGGCCAGTCAGGGGGGCCGTGGCGCTGGGCAGAGGCCCCGAGGGCTGGCCCCGGCCTGGCGGCCAGACCGCAGAGGGGCAGACACCGAGCAGGGCAGTAGGCAGGTGGCCCGAGGGCCTCTGGCAGAGACCAGCAGAGCAGGGGCTGGGCTCACCTGTGGTGGGGCCCCGAATCCGGAGCTTCCGGACTTAGAAGCAGGAAGAGAGGGAGGCAGGTAAGCCGGGGACGAGGGCCGCGGGGCCGCGCAGCCCCTCCCCACCCCGCAATGGTGGAGGGGCCGAGACCTGTGGGTGGGGTGGCACCCCGGGCCCTGGCAGGGCGTGTGCAGATGAGGGGCCGGCAGGCGCGGCATTCAGTGGCAGGCGGGTGGCCACGGCCGGGAGGGGGCGCGGGCTGGAGGGGTGTGGGGTGCAGCCGGGAGGGCCCCATACTCAGGGCCACAGGCGCTCTCGGGGCTCGCACCCCCAGCCAGGCGCGGCGGGGAGCCCGCCTTTGGCACGGGGCCTGGGGAGGCATGACCCCACTCGCCACTTAGGAATGTGAGCCTCATGCAGCACGGACAGTCCCCCCCGCCCCGCCGGCGCAGGCCACGGGGGCAGGGCCCGGCGCTACTTACGCGGGGATCTCATTGGTCAGTTCGCTTGGAAACAAAGAGACAGGCGTGAGCGGGGCTGCGGGGCGGGTGGGGTGGGCCGCGGGTGCGGCTGGCGGGCCCGGACAGCAAGGGGAGCCTGGCTCCCGCGGGGGTTACCTCTCTGTCACGGCGTTGAGGTACTCGACGTAGGTCCGTCCGTCAAATGCCAGGGCGTCCAGGTCCCCGGCCGCCTTCTCGATCAGTCCTGGGGAGAGTGGGGTGAGGCCAGCCGGCCGAGTCCAGCCTGCGCGCCCCGCCCCGCGCGCCCCGCGGCCACGCTCACCCTTCTCGCAGTGGGGCCCCGAGAAGCCCCCGGGGCACAGGCACTCGTAGGCGGCCCCCTGCGGGAGGCAGACGGCCCCGTGCAGGCAGGGCTGTCCCGAGGCCCGCGCGCAGGGGTGGTCAGGGAAGGAGCCCGTGCCCACCGACCGCACCACGTGCTCCTGGGTCAGCAGCTGCCGGCCGTTCAGAGAGACCTGGGTGGGGGAGAGCTGAGTCCTGCCGCCGTCCATCCTGCCGGGGCCCCTCTGGCGAGGAGAGACCCCACCCAGGTGGAGCACCCAGGCCGGGCGGCCGGCCCGTGTCCGCCAGCAACACCCCCCCACAAGTGCTGGACCCGGCCCTTGCCCCGCGCCACGTACCCGCTGGATGGCGCCATCGAAGCCCGAGGCCACCGCGGCCGCCCGGGCCAGCTTGCTGAAGTCAGGGGCGCCACCGACGTACAGCGGCTCCTTCAGGTTGAGGACGGTGTGCGGCACCTGGGGGCGGCAGTGGGTGATGGCACTGCGGGGCTGCCCACGGCAGGACGGGCGCACCCCAGCCCCACCCCGTCTATCTAGGGGCAGTTAGTCTAATCGCAGACACGGCCGAGGGGGGGCCAGCGGGGCAGGAGCTACTCTAGGGCCGGAGCACAGAAGACGAAGAGCAGCGGAGGAGCCGGTACCTTGCGGGATTTCTGACATCCGAAGAGCGGGGTGGGGGTGCAGAGCAAGAGCCAGAGAGCGGGGGCAGAGAGGGAGAGAGCCCAGGGCAGGCGGGAGAGAAAACAGTTCATTGAGAGGCAGCCTGGGGCTGAGAGCAGAGGGGTGGGCCCAGCCCCTTCGGCAGCCACTCACCGGGGACTCCCCCAGCACTCGCAGCCCGTCGCCCACGCGCAGGGACCCCTTGCGGCCGTTCCGCTCCACGGCCACCCGGGTCCAGGCGCCCAGGGCCACCGACTCCTGGCTCCTGCAGCAGAGGGTGCTGTGAGCGGCAGGGCCTGCCCACGGCGGCCTGGGTGTCAGCCCCGTCCCAGCCTCGCCACGCCCAGGCCTGCCCGCCGGGCACCTGATGGCCACCGTCCCCGCCCAGCCTCGCCGCCCCGGGCCGCCCCCCGGGCACCTGATGACCGCCGTCCCTTTGCCCAGGTCGTAGCGGAATTCCAGGCGGCCGTCCTGCAGCGCCAGTGACACGAAGTCTCCCCTGCCGTCCGTCTTCTGCCCGTTGTAGAGGATCAAGCCGCTGGGGCCACGGGCCAGGAACACCACCTCCAGGGCCATCTTCTCCCTGGGGCCGTGCGGGGTCAGTGCCCGCCGGGCGGCCGCCCCCCCCTTCCCACCTGTGTCCCACTGACCCCAGGTCCCGGTCGAAGGTGTGCAGGCCCTTCAGCTCCAGGAAGGAGAAGCCGCTGAAGTCGGCCAGTAAGGGCCGGGGGTCGTCATGCTCCAAGACTGTGAGGGACAGAGGGGTCACAGGGTGCCAGGCCCTGACCACAGTGTCCCCTGGCCCCACGCCCCATCCCCGCTGCTTGGCAGGCCCCGGGACCAACACAAGCCACGATGGGGCCCTGCACCCCACCTCTAACCCACCGGCACCCAACCCCAGGCCGAAGCCCGTGGCCCACCTGTCTGGCAGAGGGGGCCCCCATGCCCCGGGGGACACTCGCACTTGGCCTCGCCCTCAGGCAGCACGTGGCACGGGGCTGCCCCATGGCAGGGGTTCGGCTCACAGGGGTTCTTCTCCTCAGCGCAGGTGGGGCCTGGAGGGGGAAGGGATGAGCCCCCGCCACAGCCGCCTCCACGCCCAGCCCAGGCCCCCCCACCCCGGCCACAGCCCCTCACCAAACCGGGCCGGCGGGCACTGGCAGTGGAACTGGCCGGCCTCCAGGGCCTGGCATGGGGCCCCGCCGAGGCAGGGGTTGGGCAGGCAGGGCTGGTCCCCGCACGTGCCCACGCCGGAGCTCCGGGTGGCGGCCCCCGGCCAGCTGCCCAGCTCCAGCTGCCGGTTGTTCACGTCCAGCAGGCGGATACAGCCCCTGAGGCCGGTGCCGACTGAGGTCTGCTCGCGCACCCTGCACAGGATGAAGGCCAGGGGTCAGAGGTCAGTGGCCACCTCCCTCACCCCCAAGTGGCCATGTCGGGGACCGCGCTGCTCCCCTCGTGGAACTCACGAGGTGGCCCGCCCCAAACAGCAGACAGAAGCAGGGGTGAGCTGAGGGCCAAGGGCTGGGACTGGGAGGGCCACCCCGGCCCCCCCTCAGCTGCCCAACGCCACTCCAGGGGCGGGGCTGGGGGCGGGGCGGAGGTGAAGGTCACAGCCCTGTCCACACCGTGGGGCGGGGCCTGGGGCTCACACGGAAGCCAGGTCCTTCGGCACGCCTCCCACGAACAGGTCGGTGTCCAGGTTGAGGCCGTCAGTGCCGCTGGGGCTCTCGCCCAGCACGGGGCTCTCGCCGTCCACGGACAGCGAGCCCTGGCGCCAGTGCCGGGACAGCTCCAAGCGGTGCCACCGCCCGGGCACCACCGGCACGGTGCTGGTCAGCACGGCAGGCCCGGAGCCTGTGTCGAACCTACGGGGCAGGAGCTTGCGCTCAGGGTGCCCCACGGAGCCCGCGCGGTCCCCCAAGGCCTGCCTCACCCCACCCCATTCCCCACCCCCCTGAGCTGCCCTAGGCCCGCCCCCGCCCCACCTGAGCTGCACGCGGCCCCCCAGCAGCGCCAGCGCCAGGAAGTCCTTGCCGCGAGCGTGGCCGTTGTACAGCAGCAGCCCCCGTGGCTCCAGCGCCCGGAACTCCAGTGCCAGGCGCAGCGTGTGGTAGGCGCGTAGAGTGGGCAAGGCCAGGAAGGATTGGCCCCCGAACGCTGGCACCGCGGGGTGTAGCACTGTGGGATACGGGAGGCCGCTGGGGGGGGGGTGTAGGGCCCGCGCTGCCCAGTCCCCCACCCTAAAACCTTCCTGCAGCGCCCCCTCCTTCAGTCTGAAGCCCCTGGCTCTGCCCTCCCCACCCCCACCTGCTGATGGTGACTGGGCCCCGCCCCAAACCCTGACCTCCAGCGTCCTCCTGCCCCTCCAGCACAAAGCAGCCTTACCCTTCTCACAGACAGCGCCCCCCCTGCCGGCTGGGCAGCTGCAGGTGAAGTGTCCGCCTGCACCCCAGTCCTGGCAGGTCCCCCCGTGGAGGCAGGGCTGGGAGTCACAGGGCCTGGGGGGCTGCTGGGTGCCCGGAGGCAGGGGCCGACGCCCAGGCGCCCGACTAGGGGCAGTGGTGGGGGGTCTGCGTGTGGTGGGGGGCGCTGTGGTTCTGCTGCTGATCGGCCGGCTGGTGTGACTGGGGCGGTGGGCCCGAGGGGTCACTGCAGATGGCACGTGAGCGACGGTGGTGGCTCTGGCCGTGGCTGCGGCGGGGGTGGCTCCCGTGAAAAAGGGAGGAAACGGATCTGAGGGTGAGGGGAGGGCGAGAGTCCGCAAGGAGCGGACGAGGTGGAGACCCCCCTGCCAGGCGGGGCGGGGGCGGGGCTGCAGTGGGGGGACGGGGCAGCCTCACCGAAGTCCCGGAAGCGCACGTGGTCCTGCGGCGGCCGGCGCACCCCCAGGGACCGGCGCCTGGACGCCTGGATCTGCCGGAGCAGCGCCTGGCCCACGTCGGCTGCCAGGACGGTCGTGGCTGGGGAGAGGGACACTGAGCGTGGCGGAGCGCCATTACCCCCGCCCCTCCTGGGAGGACCCGGCGTGGGGCTCACTGGGGTCGAAGTGCACAGCCACGCCGGCGCGGACGGAGACGCCGGGCCCCAGGTACTGCAGGCGGACGCTCCGGAAGTCCTTCTTCACGTCTGAGTTCCGGAACAGGTCGTCCAGCTGTGTGGAGCGGGCAGTGGGTGAGGGCTGGCACGGGGCCTGCCCTGGCCGGGCCCTCCCGCCCCAGGGCTCCACCCCACCCTGCGGGCCCCCACTTGCCACGCTCTCGATGCTCCTGGCAGTCTCCCCGAACAGCTCCGACTTGGGGTCGGCCATCTCAGGCGTGTAGAACAGCTCCTGGCCCTCCACGCTCTCCAGCTCCAGCTCGACCTGGAAGGCCGTGGTGGCTGCGGGAGGGGGCACAGTTAGGCCCTGCCTGGTGCTGGCCGCGGGAAGCCCAGGGAAGCCGTGCAGTGGGGTGTTGTTAGTCAGATGGGCATGAGGTTAGTGCCCGGGGCAGGCAGCCCAGTTACCAGGCCGTCGTCGCCGCAGTGCCCAGGCCGGTGCAGCAGGAGAGAAGGTTGGCCTGCCGGGTGCCCACACGGGCTTCAAGCCCCGCGGGCGCCTGCTGGCCGTGGCCGTGGGCGCGGGGTCGGACCTGTGGGCCAGGCCGGTCCGGCCCTCACGCGCCCCTGGCCCCCACTCACCGGGACAGTTGGAGCCCTCTGCGTCCAGGGAGGGCGTCTTGCCGTCTGAGCAGCAGCCCAAAGGCGAGTTGAAGCAAGAGGCCCTCTCGATGGGCAGCCCCGGGGTCACAGCACTGTCCCCCTCAGGGGGCTCGAGGCCTGGGGCGAAGAGTGCGTGTGAGGCCAGCCCCGATGGGCTCCTCCTCCTCCTCCTCCTCCCATGCTGAGCCCTGCTCACCCCCGGAGCCGGCCCCACTGGCCTCCAGGTCCCCACTCAGCTCCGCATCTCCGCTCCCGTCCGCACTACCGGACTCCCCGAAGGCGGATGTGGCCAAGCTGGCCGCCGAGGGGATAGCCGTGGGGGGCATGGTCAGCGCAGACCTGGCAGTGGTCATGGGCATGCTGGCAGTGGTCCAGGGTCTCGGAGAGGGCCGCGGGGTGGGCCGGCTGCGCGGGGTGCTGCTGGGAGCCGGGGGGCGGGTGCTGGGGGGTGCAGCTAGGGCCTTGCTGGGATCCAGCCCTGGGGTGGTGGGGCGGGCACCAGGAACAGGGGCTTCTGCAAGGAGAGGGGAGTCAGTTGGGGGCCAGAGTCAGGTCAGGCAGGGCCAGGCCCAGGGCTGGTCCGGGGTTGTGGGGTGGGCTCACCCTGGCACGGGCCGAGGCTCTGGACGGAGATGCCCAGGCCCTGGCGGCAGGCGATGGTCCTCAGTTGGCACTCGTTTCCGTAGGTGACCCCATCCGAGCCGCAGACCTGGGGCGTGGGGTGAGCGTGCTGGGAGGGGCGAGGCCTCCCACCCAGCCAGCCTCGCACTCCCATCTCTTACCTTGGTGGCATTGGGGCCTGGACAGGTGGGGGTGGGGCACACGCAGTGGGCGGAGCCGGCCTCCTCGACGCAGGACGCCCCAAATTCACAGTGCATCTCAGCACAGGTCCTGGGCCCCAAGGAGTCTGAGGCAGACACGAGACCCTGCAGCTTGGGGGTGGGCCCCATGCCCCCCAGGGAGTGGGCCAGTGCCCGGCTGCCTCACCTGTCTCACAGCCAGCGGGGCCCAGAGCTCGGCCGTCTGGACACTGCCCGCACTTGGGACCGGCCACCCCGGGCTTGCAGGAGCACAGCCCAGTCATCTGCTCACAGTCGTCCCGGACAGCGCCCTGGGGGTCACAGCTGCAGGCTGGGGACAGGGAGAGGACCCTGAGGTCTGCCGAAGAGCACCCCACTCCAGGGCCTGGCCAGCCCCTGCCAGGTGGGGAGCGGCCAGGGCCTGAGCGAGGGCACTGGGCAGGGCGCTCAGTGGGGCCAGCCACTGCCCGGCACTCACGTGTGCAGCCGCTCCGACCGTGGGTGACGATGCCCCGGAAGTTCCAGAAGCCGGGCTCGCAGCGGTCACACTTGAGGCCGCCCACGCCAGGGCGGCAGGAGCACTGGCCGGTGGCTGGGTCACAGGCGCTGCCATAGGCGCCGTGGGGGTTGCACTGGCAGGAGCCTGTGAGGCAGGGCAGGACAGGGTTGCTGGGCCAAGCCGCCCAGCTGGCATGGCCCCACGTCCCGGCTGGGCGGGTACTCACTGGGGCAGCCGGCCAGGCCCACACCCTGGGCCGCGGTGAGGTTGTCCCGGCAGCAGCCGTAGGGCGTGTGGATGCAGTGCCAGGGAGCCGCGGGGGCCGGCGGGGCCAGGGTGGGGCCTGCAGGGAGGCTGGGTGCTTAGACACCTGCCCTGGCCAGGCGGGACCAGGACACACGCGTGTGCACACGCCTAGGTGTGCTAACAGGGACTGTTACTGGAGCTGCCGCACACCCCTAGAGCAGGCACACCTGGGCTCACACCAGCGCACGCCGGGGCTCACAGCAGCATTGATCCCGCACGCCAGTGCACACCGGGGCTCTCGCCCCTGCACACCCGGCTCACAGGCCACGGCGGGGTGACCAGAGCCGGCACTCACCTCGGCAGGCCCCCTGCGCCGTCACGTACAGCTCTCCCTGCAATTCACACCTGGCCCTTTTCAGCTCGCACTCCGTGCCGTAAGTGACCCCGTCAGAGCCGCAGACCTGGAGGGGCAGCGTCAGGTGGGCGCCCGCCCCGCCCGCCCGCCCCACCCCACCCCACCCCTGCCTCCCGGGGCGCTCACCGGGCTCCTCGGGACATGCTGGCAGCTGAAGTCGCACACGCAGGGCCCGTCCTCGGAATCCTCGTCCCAGACGCCACCGCGCTGCCGGCACAGCTCCTGCTCGCACTCGCCGTCTTCCCCCGAGCCGGAGCCCCCGGAGCCGCACTCAGCTGCGGGAGGAGGCTGTTCACCCACAGCCCACGGCACCCCACGGCGGCCCAGCCCCGCCGTCCAGCCTACCCTGCTCGCAGGCCCCGGCCCGGGCCTCCTCGATCTGCATCTGCTGTCGGCACGCGGCCTCGCGCAGCTCACACGCGCTGGGGTAGGTGACCCCGTCCGAGCCGCACACCGGGCCGGGCGGGGGGCGCTCACAGCGCGGGCACACACACTGCCCGGCCAGGCACACGGCCCCGAAGGCGCACACCGTGTCCCCACAGGTCTCTGCGGGGGAGGCAGGCGGGTCAACGGGTCCCAACTGGGGGGGGGACAGCCCCCCGCACCACGCCCCACCCCTCCTGCGCCCCGCCTCACCCCCCACAGTGCCCCGCACCCTGCTCACGGCAGCGTCCGGCTGAGGCCACGTGCAGGCTGATCTGGCGCGTGCAGGCGTGGACGTGCAGCTCGCACTCGCTGGCGTAGGTGTGCCCGTCCGAGCCGCACACAGGCTGCGCCGACGCCACACACTCCGAGGGGCACACGCAGCGGCCGGTCCCGGCCTCGCACAGGGCTCCGAAGCGGCACTGCCCGCAGCGGTCTGGGGGGAGACTTAGTCACCGGCGATCGGCTGCGCCATCCCTCCCCCTCCCCCTCGCCCACCACTGACCGCAGGGCCCCGGCGCGCCACGCGGATCTCCCGCCCGAGGGTGCAGGCGGTGGCCTCCAGCTCGCAGGTGCTGCTGTACGTGACGCCGTCGCTGCCACACACGGGGTCGTAGACGCCCGAACAGGCCTGTGGACACGCACACTGGGCTTCCCCATTCCTCACAGCACACGTTGCCCCAAAGGGGCACTGCACCCCTCGGCACGGAGATGGAGGCTGGTCTGGGGAAAACGTGGGCGTCAGCGACCCTGCCGCACCAGCTGGCACAGCTCCCAGCGGCAGAGCCTCTCCCGGGTGGGCGGCGGCGGGGCCGGGAGGGAGGCCGGGTGCACAGGACACAGCAGAGAAAGGGACAGACACACGACAGACGTGGACACAGTGGACGGGACACAGACCCAATGGCCCCGCCCACGCGAGTGTGGGGGCTGCCCCCAAGACACGGGAGCGCCTGGCAGACCACAGTGGGCTGCAGATGGCCCGGCTTCCCCGGCCCGCCCAGGCCACTGACCCCTAACCACCTGTGCCCCAGGACACCCCTGCACGTGCGAGGCTCCCTCTGTGGGGTGGGCAGCCCAGAGCCACGCCCAGGGCCGCACGGGGGAGGTGTCTGTCCACTTGCTCTGAGGACCACGAGGCCAGGCAGCAGCGAGCACCCCCCCCGCCACCCCAGGGGCAGACCTCGGCTGTGGGCTCCTGGCAGCAGGTCGGCACCTCATCCTGCCAGCGGGTCAGGCTGGAAGACACAAGAGGCGGGGCCGAGAGGGGGAAGGACGGAGAGCACACAGACACAGCGACCCGAGAGACCCACAGACACAGACGGCCGGGCGGCCCGCCCACGCCAGGCACACGCCTCCGGCTGCGGCCCCAGGAGCGGAGGGCTGCAGGGGCCAGGCTGCTCCCGGGCGCACGGGCCCGCAGCAGGACCCGGGCGCTCCCGGCGCCCCCCACGGCGGAGCCGACCGACGGACGCTGTCCCTGCCAAGCCTCCCAGTGACCGGCCCGCCCCACGACCCCTGGGGAGCATGACGTAGGATGGAGATGGCGCGTGAGGCTGCAGCCAGGAAGTTGCAGGGCGGACGGCGCAACCCCCCACCCGCCCCGCGGCCCCCCCTCAACGGCCCGCGGCCCCCGGCTCACCACACGGGCCCTGGTGCTCGGCGGGGATGGCGCGCTGCTGCCGGCACTCGGCCTGTTGGCGCCAGCAGTCGTTGTCGTACGTGTGTCCGTCGCGGGCGCACACGGGTCTGTAGGCCCCGTCGCAGGTGACGCGGTCGCAGGAGCAGCGGGGGCGGCCGCGGCGGGCCAGGCACACGGCGTTGAAGCGGCAGGGCTCCGGGCACTGGTCTAGGGTGGCGGTCGGGGAGCTCAGAGAGGCCCCCCTGTGCCGGCGGGGGCTGGGGAGGCCTGACGAGCTGCCTACCTCGGGGTTGGCACTGGCCGGAGCGCACTTTCTGGAGCAGGAGGCCACGGGCAGCCCCGGTGCGGCCCATGATGCAGTCGCTGTCATAGGTGACGCCGTCGTCCCCGCACACGGGGGCGCGCCGCGCCGGGCAGGCCTCCGGCCGCAGGAGCATCTCCGCCTGCCGGGAGCGCGGGTTCACGCGGCACACGCGGCTCGCGTCCTGGCTGGCACTCTGACAGGGGTCTGCGGGCGGGCGGGCGGGGGTCAGGGCGCTGCAGTGGCTGGCCCCAGCAGCACGCGGAGGTCGGGCGGTATCAGGGCGGCGCTCACCGCAAGGCCCGTCGAACTTCTTGGAGATGTTCTCCTGGCGGGCGCAGGCGCGCGCAGCAGCTGGCACTCGCCGGGTAGTCTGCGCCGTCACTGCCGCACACGGTGCCCTCAGGGGCCCCGTGGCAGGAGACGGGACACAGGCATGTGGCCGTCTGTCCATCGGGCGAGGGCGCACAGGTGCTGCCGAAGCTGCAGGTCACGTTGGAGCAGGGGTCCCGGGAGCCTGCGGGGCGGGGCGGGTCACCCGGCTGTCCGCCCCCACCCCCTGTCCCCCCCCGCCCCCCCCCCGCCAGCCCCCCCCCCCCCTCCCCCATGCTCACTCACCGCAGGGCCCGCGGCTGAGCAGGCGGATGCGCCGCTGCTGGAGACACTGGGCGCGTTGCAGCTCGCACTCGTTGCTGTAGGTGGACGCGTCCGAGCCACACACGGGCGCCACCACGGCGGGGCAGGCACTCCTCTTGCACACGCAGGAGGCCCGGCCGGACTCTCCGTGCTGGGCTCGCACACGGCACCGAAGCCGCACAGCACGCCTCGGCAGGCTGGGGTGAGATGGAGAGAGGTCGCAGGGCCGCCAGCCCCGCTCACCCACCCGGGGCACGACTGGCCCACACCACCCGACCCCGGCCCCTGGGGGCCGCCCCAGCCTGGCCCTTTTCTGGCGGGACAGCTCACGGGCATGGCCCGTTCAGTCTGTCCCCCAGCCCACAAGGTGGACAGCGTCTCCAGACCCCACAGCCTTGTCTGAACATCCCGGCGGCCCCGCGGCAGCTGAAGGCCACCTCACTGGGACTCCCCACACGAAGCAGCAGGTCCACTGGACCTCAACCCCCGCTGCCCCCCTCTCCTGAGCAGCCCCGGTCTTCAGTACATGGACCCAGGCCACAGCACTGCAGGGAGGACAGGGCCTCCTGCCCGCTGGGCGCTTTTCGCCTGCCCCCAAGCCCCCCCTTTATTCCCACACCTTCCCTCCCTTCACTGGAGGCCCCCACAGCTAGCCCCCCAGGTCTACACCCCACTGCCTCCCTCACATGGCCTCCCAGGTCCTGGTCCCCAAGCTGGCACAGGCCTCCCACCCAAAGCTGGCCAGGACGTGTCTCCCTGGGGCCTGCCCCCCATGCCCAGCCCGACCCTCAGCAGGGACTCAGGAGGCACAGCCCAGAACCTCACCTGCCAGAAGCTGCCCTCCCAGACCTGGCCGGACCCAGTAGGGGCTGTGGGCTGCAGCTGCCTGGGCCCTGCTATCAGTACAAGTCAGGACGGGTGGCCCTTCCCCTCAGCCATCACCTCCCAGCAGCTCAGGGGGCGGGGGAGGAGATGCCCTCCCTTCCCAGGAGGGCGGAGCTCACCGTTGCCATGGCAGCAGCTCACCCCAGGCTCCCCAGCCCGTAGGTGTCCCACCCCACCCACCGACTGTGATTGGACCCGGGTAGGGGTACCCCCGCTGGAGTACCGCACCGACCCTCTCAGCAGACCTGAGAACCAGGCCCTGTCGCAGCCCCTGAGCTGCCCACACCCCACCCCACCGCACTCCACCCCTGTGGCCACTCTAGGCCCCAGGCCTTCCAGGTCTGCTCCAGACTGCTGCGCCTCCTGTCCGGCTGGGTCGGCCCCAGCAGCGGCCCCCCACACCACACCCCCTGCCAGCACGGTCCTCCCACATTCGGGCCTCCTTGCCCCAGTCTTCCGGGGACCCCAGACAAGTGCCCAGGCAGTGCTGATGGCGACTGGCTGCCATCTGGTTTTAGCTGGACCCGCCGACCAAGACCCTCCTGCCTGTGCCCTCCAGCCGCCCGGGGCCGAGTCAACCCCCCGCCCCGGGGCCTGCCCACTGGCCCAGGCCACCTCTTCCCAGAAGACCCGCACCCCTGCCCCAGCCTGGGCCCTGCTCTGTCCCCAAGGCAGAGGACTGGGGAGCAAGGGGACCCCGATGCTGGCTGCAGTGGCGCGGAGGGCGGGCTGGAGACCAGTGCCACCTCGGGACCCAGAGAGTGCCAGTCCATCCCAGCTGCCCCTCCATGCAGCCACTCTCAGGGCAGAGGCGGACCACCGCTCCCAGCACCCAGGGTGGCGGCGGCACAGCACTGTACCCCCTGACTGCGTCCCACACCCCCACAGCACAAGGGGTCTCAGAGGCTCGATTCCTGCCCTCACAGCCTGCACACACAGCGTGGAGACCCCGGGCAGGACACAGCCGCCTGGCCCGCCGACAACTGCCCCCTCTGCGCCCCGCTGCCCCCCAGGAGCCCCACTGCCAATAGGGGCTGATCGCAGGCCCTCGGGCTCCACCCTGCGGCGCTGAGAGGGGGCGCGGGGCACACTCACCAGCCTTCTGGCTTTAGGAGAGAAGGCTCGAACCCGGTCTGTACCCTCGCGCCGGGCCCCTGGCCCCAGCCATGGCAGACCCAGCCCGCACAGCCCTGCCCCCAGAGAGAGCCCATCCAGGGCCCGGCAGGTGCCACCCAGCGGGCCCAGGCACTGAGGGCAACCCAGGAACGCCCCAGGGCCCCGGCCTGGCGGGGGTCACAGGCTCGACCTTACCTGCGCGCCCGAGCAGGAGCAGCTGCCTCCCTCACATTAGCTCGGTCACAGCAGCCACGGCCAGCAGGCCAGGGCAGGCCCAGGGCTCCAGACCCCTGCGTCTGCTGCAGCGGAGTGCCCGGGAAGACCAGGCTCGACCCCCAGCCCCTCCTCCAGATCCACCCGGCTGCACGCCCAGGGCCGGCCAGTGTCCCGGCGCGGTGCTCCCCGCGGCACAGACCCCCAGCCCAAGCGCCACCTCGTGGCCCCACTCACCGTCCGGAGGCATTGGGGGCGCTGGCGTGAAGTGGGTCCCAGGTTTGTCTGGAAAAACAAGTCGCTGAGTGAGGCTCCTTCTGGCAGTCTGCTGCAGCATGCCCCGTCCAGCCAGGAGGGCTCACCTGGGCCTGCCCAGGCCCCTTCCCCGGCCCTGTCGCCGAGGTCCAGGCTTGGGAGGCTGAGAAGCTGAGACGCCAGCCCCGGCCCTGGCTGGCCAAGACCAGGGTCCAGGGCAGAGGCCCAGGCCTCCGCCTGCCCCCAGGGATGGGCCCTGGCGGGGTGTGGCTGGCCACCTGTGTCCGCAGGAGCCCGGCCCCGGGCCCCATCCCCACCCAGTGGTCAGCTGTCCCGTCCCCCTCTGCTGAGAAAGCTGTTTCTGCAGTGCAGACAGCAGCCCTCCGTGGACCCAGGGGCAGGCCCGGCCCCAGAGGACGGCCCATCCTGGCCCCAGGGGATGCCCGTGGCCACTGGAGCCTCGCAGGCCCTGCCGGCCCGTCCTCCGCGCCGCGGAGTCGGGGCACGGCCACCCCGCGGGCACGTACAGCTGCTGAGGAAGAGGAGCGCGGCGAGGCCCAGGGTGGACGTGGCCAGCAGGATCAGGCAGGCGTTGCAGGGCACGGTGCAGTAGCGCACCAGCCTGGAGGCCCCGGGCCGCGGGCCGGCTGCCCTCTGCAGCGACAGCGGGGGCATGGCCCGGGCTGGGGGCTCCTCACGGGGCGCCTCTGGGCCTCTTCGGGGATGTCGCCCCCATCCTGGGGCGGCAGACAGCAGCTCCTCAGAGTTCACCCGGTCCCGTCGCCGCCCCCGGGGTCAACGGCCGGAGAGGGCAGGACCCGCCCGAGATGCCCAAGGCGGCTCTGCGGAGGCGGAGCAGGCCCCGGGGCCAGGAGCCACCGCCTCTGTCCGCAGCCCGAGCAGGCGGGGCGCCGGCGGCCCCCCAGCTTGCCGCCTTCCCCGAGCCGGCCGGGAGCCCCACGGCCCGCGCGACCCCTCCCAGCCGGGCGCAGCGGCCCCGAGGCCGGTGGGGGCCGCGGCGGGCGCGGCGGGCGCGGGTGTCGGGCGGGCGCGGGGGGCGCGGGCGCGGGGGGGCGGGCGGCGGAGCGCGCCGGGCGGGGCGGGGCGGGGCGCGGGGCGCGGAGACAAAGGAAGGCGCCTCCGGGGAGCCGCAGCGCGCGGCGCCAAGACCGACCCGGCGGGTGAGCACCGGGGGCGGCGGCACAAAGGCGGGCGCGGGGCGCCGGGCGGGGGGCGCGGGGCGCGGGGCGCCTCGGCGGGCGCGGGGCTCCCCGGGGCGGGCAGAGCGCGGCCGCGCCGGAGGCGGCAGGTGCCGGGGCGGGGTCAGGGCAGGGGGGGCGGGGCGGGCGCCGCGGCGGGGGCTGGGCGCGCGGGTCCCGCCGGCCCCGCGGGGGGCTGAGCGGCGGGGGCGCCCCACCCCCGGCCCGGCCCGGCCCCCGCGCGCTCCGCCCTGTGCCCGCGGGCGGACAGCGGCTCGGCCCGCGCGCCGGCCCCGCTCCCTGGCCGCGGGAGGGGCCCGCCAGGAGCCCCTGGCCCCCGGCGCTCTGCAAATATTCTCGGGGCTCCCGGCGCGGTCCCGCGAGCCTGGCGCCCCCCCCCCCCCGGAGGCCGCCCCGGGAACGTCGGGCCGTGACGTCACCGCGGGCCGGCGCGCGACCCACGCCGCCCCGAGCGGACCGGACCGGACCGGACCTCCTCCCGACGCCGCTGCCCGCGGCCGGCCAGGGCCAGGCGGCCTTCGGCGTCCCGTGCGCGTGGGGCCCGGGGCACCCCGCGGCCACGCCCCGCCCTCCGCGGCCTCCCTCTGTCCTCGCTGCCTGGACACCCGCGCCCTCCCGGCCGGCCCCGCCCTCAGGCTCCGGCAGTCCCAGCCCTGGGGGCCGCCCCGTTCCCGGGGGTCACCACACCGCTGGGCAGCCCCTCCCGGCCAGGCCCTGAGCACGCCCTGACCCACCCCCTTCCCAGCTGACCCGGGGCCGTCAGGCTGGGGTCGCGTCTGCCCAGCGTCTGCCCAGCGTCCGGGCCCCTCGGCGCTCAGGCCTCCAGCGGCGAAGGCCGCACACGCAGGTCAGCCCCTAGGCCCCGCCACTCCCACGCAGCCAACCTTGGCGCTGCAGGCACCGTGGCTCCGGGTGCCACCCAGGACAGGGAGCACCCCGCAGGGCTGACCTTTATCGCCTGGGGGGGCTGGCCCAGAGCCCAGCACTTGGGGTGAGCAGCCAGGCTCACCTTCTGCTTTTCACTGCAGCCCCCCAGGAAGGTGATCTGGCTCAGAGACACCCCTGGTCGGCCCCCTGGACATGCCCCCAGGGCACCCGCCTGCCACGGGCCCTCTGCTGTTGCCTCGTGGCCTCTGGGTGGCTCTGCAGGAGGGGGCGAAGGGACCAGGTGTGGGAGGGCACCGGGCATCACATGAGCCCGGAGGCTGAGGGGGGCAGGAGGTACAGGCACCCCATATGCAGACTGGGGGTCTGCCCTGCAGGGGCCGTGTGGTGGGGGGTCTGGCCCACAAGCTTGACCTGGGGGAAAGGGAGCCACAGGCAGCCTGGTCCAGAGCCCAGCCCCGCTGGCCTGAGTGCCCACAGGACGCTGCAGAGACAAAGGGCCATTGAGGTCCCAGCCCCAGCCGGGGAGCTATTTTGGGATCTTCAGACTCAAAACCCTTGAGCCCTGAGCAACCCACCCAGGCTCAGCCCTGAGGCCGCTGCGTCTTGATGAGCCCCGCTCTCTGGGTTCCCACATGGGACATGGCTGCACACCAGGGCACAGGCACCCAGTGCACACCCACCGCATGCCAGTGCACACGCCCTGCACCCAGTGCACACCCCCCGCATGCCAGTGCACAGGCACCCCCTGCAGCCAGTGCACACCCACCGCATGCCAGTGCACAGGCACCCCCTGCACCCAGTGCACACCCACCGCATGCCAGTGCACAGACACCTGCTGCACCCAGTGCACACCCACCGCATGCCAGTGCACAGACACCTGCTGCACCCAGTGTACACCCACTGCATGCCAGTGCACAGACACCCGCTGCACCCAGTACACACCCACTGCATGCCAGTGCACAGACACCCGCTGCACCCAGTGCAGACACCCACCACATCCAGTGCACAGGCACCCCCTGCACCCAGTGCAGACACCCACCACATCCAGTGCACAGGCACCCCCTGCACCCAGTGCACACCCACTGCATGCCAGTGCACAGGCACCCGCTGCACCCAGTGCAGACACCCACCACATCCAGTGCACAGGCACCCCTGCACCCAGTGCACACCCACCGCATGCCAGTGCACAGGCACCCCCTGCACCCAGTGCAGACACCCACCACATCCAGTGCACAGGCACCCCCTGCACCAGTGCACACCCACTGCATGCCAGTGCACAGGCACCCGCTGCACCCAGTGCAGACACCCACCACATCCAGTGCACAGGCACCCCCTGCACCCAGTGCACACCCACTGCATGCCAGTGCACAGGCACCCGCTGCACCCAGTGCAGACACCCACCACATCCAGTGCACAGGCACCCCCTGCACCCAGCGCACACCCACCGCATGCCAGTGCACAGGCACCCCCTGCACCCAGTGCAGACACCCACCACATCCAGTGCAAGGCACCCACCGCATGCCAGTGCACACCACCACACACCAGCGCACACCCACTGCACGCTAGTGCACAGATATGCGCACACCCACCCACTCAGCTGCTCGGACATGGTGCACTCCAGTCACACAGTACTCCGTGCACACACACTGGACACCGAATGTGCCCCAATCACAGGCTGGGGTGGGCTGGGCACCCCAGGAACTTCTCTAGGCCGGAGAGGAAGGTGGGGGTGGGGTCTGCACCGCAGGCCCTTTCTCATGCAGATGACGCGCCTCCCGCTGAAAAACCGGGGCCCAACTTCCAGGAAGGAAGCGGTGGGGGCGGGTGGGGCAGGCACATGGCGCCCGCGCGCATCCCTCCGATGGGGGCCGCCAGGCAGCGACCCCGCGCCCACGGGGACCACGGCCCTGGGTCGCCCCGCCCCTGCGCCCGGGAAGGTGGCCGGCGCCTGCCTCTCCGACGGCGCAGCCCGGCCGGCTCCGCGGACTGTCCCGCCCGCCCAGGGCCGCAGGTGCCTCCCGGGGCAGGGGAGAGGGCGGGGGCACGGCCGGCCCGGGGTGTCGGCCTCGGGCTCGCGTCCCCTCCCCCACCGCCGCGGACAATGGGCGCCTCGGGGGCGTTCCCGGGGCCGGCCCGCGCGGGGGGGGGGGGAGGAGGCGGCTTCAGGCCTGGGCCCCGGGTCGCGGCCGCAGGTGAGGCCGCGGGGTGCCCAGGCCGGACCCTGGGCTCTGCGCAGCCGCGCGGCCAGGCCCGGGCGCGCACCTGCCGGACCGCGGGCGCTCAGGCTGTGGCAGTCCAGGGGCGCCGGGCGGGGCGGGCTCGGGGGGCGGCCGCCCCCCCGCCGCCGCCCCCCCGAGCGGGCCGGGCCGCGCTGGACAAGCTGCCGCCTCCGGGAGCGCGGCGTGGGCCGAGGGGGACGCCCGCCGGGCCGGCGGGGGCGCGCGGGCCGGGCCCCGGGGCGGAGCCGTCGGGGGCGGGGCGGGGCTTCGCGGCCCAGGTGCGCCCCGCGGGCCGGAAGCCGCCACCAGGGGGCGCCGGAGGAAGGTGGGGAGCGCGGCCCCCCGCGCCAGGGCCCGCGGGGAGCGCCGAGCCCACCGCCCTCGGCGCTGTTCCAGGATGGGGGGCAAAGCAGGGGCGCGGGGCGCGGTCAGGGCCGCGCAGGAGGCAGTGGGGGGCGCGGGCAGTGACAGGGAGGAGAGGACCCGGGGCTCTGGAGGCCGCTGCGCTCCCCGCTGGCCGGCCCGCGCGGGGTCCGGGTGGCCAGCGGCTGACGCTCCCGCCGCCCCTGCACGGTGTCCGCTCTGGACACAGGCCGTCCCCCGCCTTCGCGCCTGGCCTTGCAGTAATGGCCGACACTGGCCTCACCGCCGGCCGAGCGGCCCAGCCCGGACGTCTGCGTCCTTGGCGCCTTGGTGAGGGGGACGGCCGCCTCCAAGGGGCAGCCAAGGACCACCTCAGGCCAGCCCCAGCCTCTCCCCTCTGGGGTGCTGCCACCCAGATGGCCCGCCCCTCAGGGTCCAGCAGGGACTCCCCGCCTGCCCACAGTCCCCTTGGGCACGCCCTGCCGTCCTTCTTTGGGAAACTGCTCTGGTGTCCCCCAGGGGCTGGGCCTGCAGGAGTGCCCGCCCAGAGCACCAGTGGACAGGGGCTGTGCACAGGCACCCACTGGCCAGCGGCGAGCAGAGGCCACAGCCCCCACAGGGACAGAGGCCAAGCCCTGGGACTTGCAGCCCGTGGGCCCCGGCCAGGCCGAGCCAGGCTCACAGGGTGCACGGGCTGCGGGCGCGCAGGACCACGTGCGGCGGCGGGAGGGTGGCCACGCAGCTGGACACAGCTGGCTCTGAGAGGCAGGGCCTCTGCCTCTCCCACGCTCCTGCAGCTCCCTTCCCAGGCCCAGCTGATCGCCCAGCGGGGGGCCTTCCTTGGAGGGTTCTCAGGATCCACTGGGGAGGTCCTTCCCTGGCTGCCTGCAGGGCCCTGCAGACAGGAGCCTCAGCCCGCGGACGCCCCGACCCCGGGGCAGACTTTGGGGTGAGTGGGGCACGGCTGAGGGGCCTCCTGTCCTGGGGCGCCATCTCAGCCCGAGCCCCCCGCCTCATCCCTGGTGGCCCAGGTGTCCTGTGCCTGCCTGCGGCCCCCAAGTCAGGCCGACCGCCTGGGAGCCTTGGGTTCCCCGATCCTGGGTTGAGGCCAGGCAGGAGCTGAGCCTCCACCAACCCCCCGCCGGCTCTGGGCAGCAGACTTGGAACTGGGCCCACGTGGGGCAGAGCGGGGGAGGTCTGTCTTGGGAGCTGAGTCCACCCCTGGTGGACCATGGGTGGCGGCAACGCTGCCCACCTGCTCAGAGCCACCTCTGGCTGGACTCGGCCCTGCAGCCTGGCGCCCCACCCACCCTCGGGGGTGGCTCACCCTCACCCCAGCACTGGAGTCAGGTGGGACAGGCCCGGTGGGCACAGACCTGGTGGCCCTAGCCGCTCACGGCCGTCCCAGAGACAGGCAGGGGGAGGGGAATGGGGGGAGGGGGCGGAGAGGGGTGGGGAGGGGAGGGGGCGGGGCGGGGAGGGGGGAGGAGGTGGCAGAGGTTCTGCCCTTCCCAGGCCGGAGGACGCAGGCTGCGCCCTCTGTGGGGAGCCAGGGTGGGGTCTGGGAAAACCAGGACCTGTTTCCGTCAACACAGAGTGCTGGAGGGCGGCCCCCAAGACTGGCCTGGCCCTGGCCCACCCCAGAGTGCACAGGCCGGGCGGGGGCTGTGGGGGGCAGCCCCCCCGGTTGCCTCCTGGACCGCGGGGGAGGGACGAGCCCAGTCTAGACAGCACGTGGGAGACAAGCCCCGGAAGGAGCCGCCTTCCCCAGCAGAAGGGAGGACTGTGGGGGGAGTAGGGCGGGCTCTGAGGAACTGGGGGTGCAGACACGCTAAGTGCAAATAGCAGAGGGAGGCGGCCCAGAGCCGCCCCCACGCCCTGAAGTAGGAGAAACAGCTCCTTCGGGGGTCACCTGCAGAGCTGCAAAGAGCCCTGGGCCTGTCCACCAGCCTGAGCCAGGACAGCCGTCCCGAAAACCCCAGGTGGCCCACCTGAAGGGGGTGCTTGGCCAGGCCAGGCCAGGCCAGGGAGGTGGCCGCCAGGACCCCCGGCTTCAGGGCTGGGCAGGACCCAGCTGGGCTGGCGCCAGACTCACCGCGACCCTGTCCCAGTGCCAAGCCTTCGCGGACTGGACAACACTTCCTTTCTCTGCTCCTGGCGCCCAGTGGGCAGGGAGGGGCCCTAGGCAGCCCCACTGGCCTTCAGCCAGACCCGTGTCCCACCTGGGGGCTTCAGGGGAGGCCCCGGATCCCACCTTCATGCACGGGGGTGGCGGGTATGGGTTGAGCCCAGCAGGGCAAGGTGGCCAGGGCTGGGAAGCTGGCTCATGGCGGCTGGGGGGGGGGGTACTGGGCGGGGCCTGCAGGGGGCCAGACCCCATCCCCTGCGGGGGGGGGGGGGGGGGGCTCCCTCCGGAAGAGGCCACCCCCAGCACAGGCTTCCCTGGCCCAAAGGTGGCTGAGGGAGGGACACATACCTGGCTCAGCTATGCCAGGAATGTGGCTCCCCAGGCCCGGACAGAGGAGGGGCCTCCTGGGGGCTGGAGACTGAGGAGGGCTGGGGGCGGCCCAAGGCCCTGCAGGCCCCAGGGGGATGCTGAGTGAGGCTGGGTCCAGTTCAGAGCCTGGCAGGAGGCCCTGCTGAACACTCCCAGGCCCGGCAACGGTGGGGGATGCGGGGGTGGCCTGGGCAGAGGCCTGCTGGGGACAGGCCCGGCTGGTGGTCGCAGTGACCTCAGGTCCGTGTCTGTCTAGACTTTGCCCTGTGGGACGGGGCAGCCAGGGGGCCCTGGGGACGTCAGGAGGGGTCAGCTTAGCTGAAGCCCTGTTCTCCTGGTGAGGGGGAGCCCCAGAGGACAGAGGCTGTTATCTCCTGCAAACTAGGAGGAGGACCCGCCTCTCCCCACCGGGCTTGGGGAGGTGGGCATCGGGTCGCTCCTTCCTGGGCCAGGAGCCTTGGTCCGTCCCCCCCCACCCCCCCGGCCTCAGGGAGAGACGCCCATGTCCCCTAGGCCTCTGGGTCGCCCCATCCAGGCCTGGTTCCCAGCCTCCCCGATGCCCTGGTCTGCCTCCGAAGCAGAGACCCGTGTCTCTGGCTGGAACCTTCCAGGGTTCCCCAGGTGCCCGTATCCGCAGTGGCACCAGCTCCTTGCTCTGGCCCACGGTGCATCCCGTCCACCCCTCCACCTGCAGGCTCCCGGTCTGTCATGGACCCCATCCACGAGGCCCCACAGGCACGCCCTCGCTGCACACCAGCCAGCCCTGAGCTTGGCCAGTGTGCTGGCCGCCCAGGCGGGGCCCCAGGGGAGTGGCACCGGCCCGTTGAGTGGCCAGCGCCCTGCCCAGGTGGCCCTCTGACCGCACGGAAGACCTCGGGCTCTGAGTCACGGCCCCTTGGCTGGACTCGCCCAGTTGCAGAGTTAATGATTGGCCTCCTGACCCCGAGGGGATGGGGACTTTCTGTTCCCAGCACCTCCTTCCCAACTCTCCTAGCACCCCACACCCCGCCACCGGGTGCCACCGCCCCACAGCCCACCCGGCTCCGCGCCACCCCATCTTTCCCGCCGGAGCTTCCACTTCCAGGGCAGAATCAGGCCTGGAAGGGCCGTTTCTTGCCAGCAGCACCCACGCGGCTGTCCTAAGTGGCCAGGCGGGACCCTCTGCAGAGTTGGGGCTGGGACACAGGGTTCCTGGAGCCCAGGAGGCCACTAGGCTCCCGGGGGTCCTGTCCTGCCCCCTCTGGGGCCCACAGTAGCAGTCCAGTGCCATAGCGGGGGAGCCAGACTGGGTGGGGGGTTCCCTGCTGCTCAGCAGGGCAGATGGAGGGACCGGGCTGCCTCCCTGGGATGCCGTCTCGGACCCTACCCCTGCCCGGGGAGGAAGTCACCCCCCCATGCATCCCTTTCCAGGCAGCCTAGGGGACAGACAGGATGTGGGGGCGACAGCAATTCCTACATTACCCACCACATTCCCCAAGCGATGCACTCTGCCCCCCGCTGGGACTGTCGTGGGGGGTGGATGGGGCACCTGGCCACTTAGGACAGCCGTGTGGGCCGCTGCTGGCAAGAACCAGCTCTTCACCTCGAGGGAGGAATCCTCGGCCCTTCAAAACACTAGAAACACCCAGGAGTGACCGTCCCTTGGGACACACAGGGCAGCCCCTCCCCCAGTTCCTGGGGACACGCGACATCTGGGCCCATCTGGACAGACGTCTGGGCGTCTGCAGCCTCAGACAGTGGCGTTCATCCACCTGGCATCGCCGCTCCCGGGAAAAGGCTGGGGTTCATGGGGGCGGGGGAGGTCTGGCCCTCAGCAGGGGCACGACAGGCCGGGGGCACGACAGGCAGGGGCACTGCTTGTCTCAGAGACTGGAGCAACTTCAAAATGGCCACAGGGCTTGGGACGCAAGGAAGGCCATCAACCCCCCCATCCCCTTCTCTGCGATGCACCCCACCTTCCTTGCAGTGTTCCCCACCTTCTCCTCGGAGCGCCCCCCCACCTTCCCGTCGGTGCTCCCCCATCTTCCCTGCGGTGCTCCCCTCACCTTGCACGCAGTGCTCCACCTCCTCCAGGTTCCTCAGGGTGATGCGCAGGAGGCTGGAGTTGAGCATCAGCTCGTTCTTGCGGGCGGGCCACAGGTATGGGGGGGCAGGGTTCACGAAGAAGATCCTGGTGTCCCCAGTGGACACCTGGTTGTCGCAGATGAGGGGGTCCCCAAAGCCGCCAATCACCACCTTGTTACCACCGTCCAGCAGGCTCTCCTGGGTCACCACGTCTTTGCCCTTCAAGTAGCGCCAGACCCGGACCTGGACAACAGAGCAGGCAGGGGTCAGTAGGGGCCAAGGGCCAGCAGACCGGGACCGGCCTTCTGCTCTCGTCCTGCGTCAGCATTGGGGTCTGGCACCTACGGCAGGCCCTGACCCATGTGCCTCTCAGCACTGCCCCTGCCCAAGCCTCACTGCTGCCCCGAGTCCAGCCTGTCCACCTCAACCCTGGGGCATCTGGGAAGGGGCCCTTCCCAGCGGGATGCCAGGGCCTCCCGCCCCTGCCCTGCCATCTGCACCCCCTCCCCAGCCAGGAGGAGCTGCAGCCACGGAGGCCGTTTCCCGTGCAAGGCTGTGGCTGGGCTCGGGCAAGCGGGGCTCCTGGAGCCCGTGGGTGGGCGGACCCCGCCCGCAGGAGCCGTGCGCCCCCTCCCCCCAGGCTGCAGCAGGCGTCTGGAGGCCCGAGAGCCGCAAAGTCAAGTTTGGGCAGCGCAGGGCGGCCCCACCCTCACCGCTGCTCTGCAGGCCCCGAGGGTGCCGCTGGCGCGGAGCAGCACCCACAGCCCAGCAGGGCGGCGGTCAGGGACCTGTCCCCCGCCTGTGCCGAGGGGCGTCCACTTCTGCAGGGGCGGGGGCAGCCCTTCGCGAGTGGGGGGCGAAGGCCAGCGAAAGGCGGCCCACCTGCCCCGGCTGCGCGGCCCGCCGGCCCTCGGCCGCGGGGGCCTGGCCGGCCCTCCCACCCCGACGCGCAGGCCCGAGGAGGGGGCGGCGAGGGCAGCGCGCCCCGCGGCCTCCCCCCACCCAGCCACACCCGGGAGCAGGGGAGGAAGCCGGGAAAATCCTGCAGGGACTTGGCGCGGCGCCCCGCGGCGGGGGAGGGGCGGCGGGGTCCCAGCTGTGGTCGCCGGCGGCGCCGCCTCGGAGGGGCAGCCCTCAGGGGCAGAGGGGGCGCGCCCGCGGGGCCCTCCACCAGCGCCCCCAGATTCTGTCCCACCGACGGACTGCGGGGGACCCCATCACAGCCGCCCCGGGCCTCCGAGGCCCAAATGAAGGAGGAGGGGGCCAGGACCCCCTCGCCTGTGGCCACCCGGGACCCCCAGGAGGGGTGTGAGGCACCTGCCCTGCACCCCCAGGCTCGTGGCCCGGCGCCCCGCCCACCCCGCGCCCCTGCGCTCCCCGCGGGCAGAGCCCCCAACGCCCAGACGCCCGGGGCGGGGAGGCGTCGCCCGCGCCCCTGCCCCCCGGCCCGCCCGCCGAGCCCCCGCGCCCCCCGCGCCCCCCGGGCCGGCCGCGCCCCCGGAGGCGTCGCTCCCCTCCCCCCTCTTCGCCGGCCGCGGGGGGTCGCACTTGCTCGCGCCGGCGGCCGCGGGGGGCGGCGGCGCAGGAACTTCCCGGCGTCGCCAGGGCAGCGGCGGGGCGGCCGCGGGCATCCGGCGGGGGCCGGGGGGCGGGGGCCGGCCGGGGGACCAGGGGGCCCGGGGGGCGGGGGGTCGGGGGCCGGGGGAACGGGGGGCCGGGGGCACGGGGGGCCGGGGGACCAGGGGGGCGGGGGGCCGGGGGGCCGGGGGAACGGGGGGCCGGGACCGGGGGGCCGGGGGCCGGGGGGGGCCGGGGGGCCCGGGGGGCCGGGGGGGCCGGGCGCACCTTGCACGAGTACGTGTGCTGCACCGGGTCCACGTTGAGGATCTCCTCCACGGTGCCCGTGAGCACCACGTTCGCCTCCTCCTCGCGCCGCTCCAGCGCGCGCTCGGGGCACGTCCCGGCCGCACCGGGCAGGGCGCGCGCGGCCACCACGAGCAGCAGCAGCAGCGGCCGCGGCGGGGCCGGCCCGGACGGCCGCGGGCGCAGCATGGCGGGGCCGCCGGCGGGCGCGGGAGCCGCAGGACGGGGCCGCGCCGGGGACGGGACTGGGCCGGACGGGCCGCCGCTCCGGGAGGCGGCCGGCGGGGCGGGGCGGCGGCGGGGCGGGCCCCGGGCGGCCCCGCCCGGCCCGCCCCCCGCCCGCCCCCGCGCCCCCGCCCCGCCCCGCCCCCGCGCCCCGCGCCGGCCGCGAACAAAGCGCCGGGACTGCGGCGCCCGCGGAGGCCGCAGGGGGCGGGCCGGGCCGGGCCGGGCCGGGGCGGGCCGGGCCGGGCCGGGCGGGGCGGGGCGGGCGCGCTCGCTCTCGGCGGCCCCGCCCGGCGCCCCTCCCCCGACGGCGCCCCAGGAAATGCGGCCGGAGCCGGGTTAACGCCTAATCCGGGGGCGACGTGACGGGACTTCCAAGGGGCTCCGGCGCGCCGGGCCGGGGGCCGCGGGGAGGGGCTGCCGACCCCGGGGCCCGCCCCGCGCCGGCCCGGCCGGCTGCGCCCCCCCCGCGGAGGCGCCGGGGGGCCCGTCCTAGCGGGAGCCGGGACCGAAGCTCGGCCGGGCCGGGCCGGGCCGGGCGCCGGGAGCGAGGAGGCGGCCGCCGCAGGCCGCGCCCCCAGCCGGCCGGGGCGCCGCGGGCCGGGCTGTGGCGATTGGCCGGGGCGCCGCGCGCCCGCCCCCCCGCCCCGCCCCCGTCGGCTCGCGCCCCGCTGCACGGCCGAGGGCGCCCCCCGCCGCCCGCCTCGCTCCGCGGTCGCTGCCCGCGCGCCCCTGCCCGGGCCCACACGCGGCCCGCACCCGCCTGCGCGGGAACGGGGTGAGCGGGCGCGGAGGGCCCAGTTTGGGGTCGGCACTAGCTGGGGGTCGAAGGCGAGGACGAGAAGACCGCTCTGGCCCTCCGGTGCTGGACCGGACGCACCCCCTCCGGACGCCCCAACCTCCAGCCAGAAGCCATGACGCGGGCCTCGAGGCGCCCCTCACCCAGACCTGGGGGGCTGGGGGGGGTCGCCAGGAGGCTGTGCGCACCCTGGCCAAGTTGCACGGGTCCCTGGATCAGGGGACCCCCCACCCACCTGTCAAGCATGGGACCCCCCACCCCCGCCCATCTGGATCAGGGGACCCCCCCACCCTCCTGTCGAGCATGGGACCCCCCCACACCCATCTATGCACGTGTCACAGACATCGCAGTCCCGGGGACCCCCTAGTCCAGAGACCCCACAGACCACTAAGGGGGAACCAGATCCCTCAGGGGTCTGGGACCCAGGTCCCGAGCACCCGCTGGGCTGTGGTGTTGGCCCCAGGGGCTGTGGGCGCCCCATCCTGCCCTGTCCAGGACTGACTTGGCAGGTCCCGAGGACCCGGCGGGAGGCTGGTGTGGACGGAGGGCGGGGGCTGTGTCCAGCGGGAGAGCAGCGGCTCGTGCCCAACCAGCTGGCTGCCGGACACCACCTGCCACGGGCACCACAGCCCCTGCAGGCGCCCCTCGGCCGGCTGGCCACGGCCTTCCCACCAAGGGGAGTCCTGAGGAGGCCCCGGCCCCGCCTCCCTGTGACACCAGGAGGGGCGATGTGTGCAGGCCCAGCACCGCCCTGTCCCGCCCCGCGCCCTCTGGCCGGCAGGCCCCGTCCCTGCTCGGAGGGGCGGCCCTCACAGCCCCTGCACACCGCTTCCAGGCACGGCTCCAGGGGGCCTCCCGAGTGGCCTTCCTGCCCCCTGGCCTGGAGGGGGGCGGGCCTGGGAGGGGGCGGGGCCGAGCCAGCCCTCGGGTCTCTTTCTCCAGAGTCCATTTCCCAGAGGGAAGCGGCCTCCATGTCTTCCCGGGTCCTGCTTCCACCCCAGCAGGCCTGTCCCTTAGCTCGGCCCCCCACCTGGTGGTGAAGCGACTGACGCCGTCCCCGAGCCCACTCCTCCCCGCCCGCCGATGTCACAGGGCGCAGAGCCGGAGCCTTTGGGCTCTCCGCCTTTGCTTTATTACGCGGGCCGGTCCGGGAGTCAGGGGGGCGTGGGGGCCCCGCCCCGCAGGTGCAGGTGCAGGACCACGGTGCAATTGGGCGTGAGGCCGAGCTCCCCCAGCTGCTGGTGGTCCTCCATGCGTGTCTCCTGGAAACTCAGCCAGATCTGGTTGGGCTGCATGCCCTCCTGGCGGCACACCTTCTCCTTGAGCTCGGCCACCGTCTGGGTCAGCAGGACCTCGTAGGCGCGGCTGCGGCCCGAGTTGCTCACCAGGATGCTCAGCGGGGTGTCGCATGGCTGCACCACCAGCCCGATGGTGCTGTCGGGGCCCAGGCCCTGGTGGGCGAGGGTCTTCCCGTCCTCCAGCACGGTGCTTTTGGGGTGGAGCAGGCGCTGCTGGAAGGCGGGCACGCCGGTCCTCTGTGCCAACTGCTGCTTCAGCTCCTGCACCGTCATGGACCCCTTGAAGGGCACCAGGAACTCACGGCCGTCCAGCATCTTCACCTTCAGGTGTATGCCCTGTGGGCATCACTCGGTCAGTCCTGGGGCCCCTGGGCGGGGGGCTGGCCCAGCTGGCCAAGCTCGGCCATCTGCCGGGAGGGGCCCCAGGCACTGGGGATGTGCTGGGGCATCTGCACGAGAGTGGCCAGTCCCTACCACCTCGGCTGAGATGCCCCGAGTGCAGTCCCCAAGGGTTCTGGGGTTGTCACTGGGCGGCAGCCCCTTCCAGACCCGTCCGTTCCCCGCCCTGGGATGCCAGCCGGGATGGGAGCTGTAATGCAGGCCTGGCACCCCGTGGGCCCCTCACCCTGGGCACACCCACAGGGGCAATCGCTGGTACAGGGGCCCCATCCTCACCCTCACCCCGGGCGCACCCAGGGGACCATCGCTGGTACAAGGGTCCCCTGTCCCCACCCATCAAACCGACTCACCATGGCGGCGGCCGTCGAGGGGTGCACTGCTTCTGCTCAGCCCAGCCCTTGATCTGCTCAGCCCTGCTCTGGCCACTTGCTCTGGCCACTCGGCTGTGCCTCTGGCCCGGCTCCCCGCCTGCCCGCGCCTTTTATCCTCTGGAGGCCCCGCCTCTCGCTCCTGCCTCCCGCCTGCGCCATTGGGTCAAGGTTTCAGTTCTCTGTTTCAGTTTCCTTTTTCCAGGCAGCCGCCCCAGCCACAGTGGCAGAAACAAAACTGAAAATAAAGGAGAACAAGTAAACCGTGTTAGTAGTGGTCGTGGGGGATCGTCCTGGTCTGTGTTTTCTGTTTCGATAAATGTTTTTAGTAAAATAATATTTTAAAGATTTATTTCATTTATTTATGCATACAAGAACGGGGGTGCAGGCCAGAGGTGGGGGGCAGGAGGACTCCCCAGAAACAGAGTGGGGAGCCGAGCAGGTGGGTCCACCAAAAGACAATGCTGAGGGGCAGCCGGGGGCGGCCGTGCGGTTCAGCTCCTGATGGCTCGCACTCAGGCCCTGTGGTGACAGCCTGAGACTGACCCCCAGGCCGCCGGGGGCCCTGAGCTCTCATTTGAATAGAGACTCTCATACGTCACCCAACGTGTAAAAATACGTCTTTTTTTTTTTTTTTTAAGATTTACTTATGCATACAAGAACAGGGTACAGGCCAGAGGTGCGGGGAGTGAGAGGACTCACCAGAGACAGAGCGGGGAGCAGAACAGGCAGACTGAGGAAACACACTGCTGAGGGGAGCAGCGGGGAGACGGGAGAGGTCTGCTGCGCCCTGTGGGTAGCTCCCTGGCTGGGGATGGAACTCGTGCTGCAGTGACTGCGGGCAGCTGCCGCGGACCAGCACAGCAGGAGACGATGAGGCCACCTCAGGGTTGAGAGAAGCGTGCAGGGTGGTCAGGGCGTCGGCGAAAGAAATGACACACAGACACACTTCAAGAGTGAAAATCTGAGTGTCATTTTCTTTGAGTTTGTGACCAGTACATGTATGTTTTCCAAAAGCACAGGGACGATGAGTATCAAGGAAACCAGCTTGCTCCTGGGCTCAGCCTGTCCCCAGCAGGGCGGTGATCTACATCTGGACCCAGCCTCATTCCTAAGTAGATAGACCATTAGTTTTGTTTTTAAACTATAGAATCGCATTTTTTATTAACTACTTTTTTACCTAAACTATATTTTAATTATTACAGGGTTTAGTAATGTTTCATTGGAGTCAGCCTTGTTTTAAGGATTTCATATGATTTTTTAATTAACAAGCAATGACCTTTATAGAAGAAAGAAGGAAGTTTAGAAAGACAGTAAGGGATTAAAGCTTGTAGTTCTAGAAAGGCGGGATAAGGTTTTTAGCATTCTTGTAGTGGTTCCTGGTGGTCGTTATCTTTTGATAAGCTTCTGTCTTTTCAGGGAACTTCCGCCGTACTTCCCCTGCTTCAGGGGGTTTTGCTGTTCTCCCCCTGCGCCGGGTCGCCCAGCCGGACCTAGGGACGGTTAGCCCTAAAGGTCACTGCAGGGGGAGGTGCAGCAGGCAGCTTCATAGATTGTGTCCTAACCCCTTGCGCCACCAGGGAGGCCCCGGGTCTATTTTTTTTTTTTTTTAAGATTTATTTATTTATTTTATACAGGAACCAGGGTACAGGCCAGAGGCGCGGGAGGGTGAGAGGGTTCACCAGAGACAGAGCAACAGAGCAGGGAACAGAACAGGCAGACTGACGAAATACACTGCTGAGGGGCACAGCAGGCGTGACAGGAGAGGTCTGCCGCGCCATGTGGGACCCCCACTGGCTGGCCCGCATAGAACCGGTGCTGCAGAGGCTGCGGACAGCTTTACAGTGCGGTGCTCAACCGCCTGCGCCACCAGGGAGGCCCTATTATTATTATTATTATTATTATTAAAGATTTATTTATGTATTTATACAAGCACTGGGTACAGTCAGAAGCGCGGGAGGGCGAGAGAACCCACCAGAGCCAGAGCGGGGAGCAGAGCAGGCAGAAGGACCGAAGTACACTGCTGAGGGGAGCAGTGGGCGGCAGGAGAGGTCTGCGCGCCATGTGGGACCCTCCTCCGGTGGCCGGGGAGCAGCCGGGGATCGAACGGCGCTGCCGAGGCTGCGGACAGCTTCGCAACCCAGCGCTCAACCGCTGCACCACTGGGGAGGCCCTATTATTATTTTTTTTAAGTGAAGCAAGCAGTGCTGACCTGGCCGGCAGCCAGGGCTACATCTCTCCACTCCATCCTGCCTTTGGGAGGGTCATGGGAAGCTCCCGCCCTCTCAAGAAGCAATGCTGCGCCCTGCCCGGGAGCTGGGGATTCTCGCAGTGAGCTCGCGGCGAGGGTGCCGCCTGGGACCCTCCTCTGTGAGGCTGGCGCAGGGACCCGACCAGCTGGTGGCCGCCCAGAGTCCCCCAGGCCAGTCAAGCCCCCACTCCCGGTCACCAGGATGCGACTGTCCCTGCGCTCACCCAGACCCCAGGCCCATCTTACCTCCTGGTGCAGCTCGTGGCTGGGGGGCCTGCGGGGCCGGGCAGGCCCTCGGGGCCCAACAGGCAGGCAGCCTGGGCTCAGCCGCAGCCTCGGCGAGATCCGCTGCGCCTCAGCTGGCAGGTGGCCCAGGTGTGTGCAGAGGGCCAGGCCGGGGTAGGCCGCGCGTCCCTGACGGGGGGTGAGGGTGTCGGTGTGGCCAGGGATGCGGGCGGTCACGAAGAAACAGGCGGTCACGAGGAAATGGGAGGTCACTGCGGGAGATCGGCGGGGCGGGTGCGGACATGCTCGGGGAGTGCGGCCGCCCGGGTCACCTGCGTCGGCCGCAGCACACCCTGGACCTCGATGAGGGCCGCCCCGCACGAGTCCTGGGGCAGACGCCTGAGTAGGGAGAGCCAGGGGAGCAGGCCGAGGAGCCGGGGTGCAGAGACACTGTGCTTGGGGGCCAGGACTGTTGCGGGCAGCACGGGCACCCCCTGCATCAGCGCTCGGCTGTGGGCAGCCTGGGGCGCGGACCTTGGGGTTGCGCCAGCTAGAACAGGCCGGGCGGAGGCGCCGAGGGCTTCAGGAGGGAGGAGGTGTGCAGGAGCCCCAGGAGCGGACGGGCCTGCCCGCCGGGCGGCTGCTGAGCCCCACGCTGCTCCTGTGCGCCAGAGACCGTGTCCGAGGCCCCGCGAGCCTGCTGGCCTGGGGCCCTGCGCCTGGGGGACAGGGCAGAAGCATTTCTGGGAGTCCTGGAACCGGCCTTAGGACCCCCCACGCTGGAGTCCGTTAACCTCCTGGGGCGTGGCCCGCGGCCTGGGTGGGAGCCTCGTGCAGACATGGCCCCAAGAGTCCACGCCTGCTGCTCCCCCAGTCGTCACGCCCAGAGGATCCTCAGCTGACCGCTGCGCAAGGGCGGGTGCCGCCGGCCCACACGGTGACCAGGCAGTGGCGTGGGCCTGGGTCGGCCGCAGCTGCGGGGGCCTGGGCCTTGATGAGGCCGCATGAGGGGAACGGGCAGCCGGGGCGCCCCAGGGCCAGGAGTAAGACCCGCAGGAGGCGCAGGGAGTCCTGACTGCAGGCGCTCGGCGAGCCGCGGGCTGATCTTCCAGGCCGCGCTGCAGCCCCTGTTGGGCAGGGGCCGGTCTGGAGCAGCCAAGGGAGGACAAGCAGGAGACAGGACGTTCCTCTCCCAGGCACAGTGGCCCAAGCAGAGTGTGGACAGAAATAGCACCCGGGAGCTGGGCGCATCCCAGACATCCCCAAGTTGGGGGAACCTGATCTCCCAAATGTGGAGGGGCGCCAGCACCCAGACTTTGGAGAAAGATGCCGACGGCGCCAGGTCCTGGGGTCAGGCCGTCGCCCACAGGGCTGGCCCCAGGTCCGCGGCTAAGGGAGGGTGCGGCCTGCGCTGTGCGGCAGAAGGCGCCGCCTGGGCACCGCGGGAGTCCCAGCAGGCAGCCTGGTGCTCGGGCCCTGCCTGGGCCCTGGCGCTGCCCCTCCTCTCCACCCTGACGGCTCCTTCCGCTCTCACCTGACCCAGCACCAGCCCCCCTCTCCAGGACAGCGCCCGCAGCTCCTCCCTGGCGCTGCCCAGCTCTGCGCCCAGCCACCCGGGCCCAGGGCTGCGGCCCCTTGGCAGCAGAGGAGGCCTCAGGAGCAGCCAGGGGCTTGTTCCCGGGGCTGCCTGCCCTGTGTCCACGTGCCGGTGGGGGCAGCTGCTGCCCTGGGGGTGCAGGCGGCCACGTGGACAGAGGGGAGGAGACCCCCACATACACACAGGCAGGAGCTCCATGTCCCGCCTGGAAGGTGGCACCATCTTTGCCCCCAGCGCCCCCCCCCGCGGGCTTTCCTGCCTCAGCCCCGCATCCCTCACCCCTGTGGCCAGGGGCGGTGCCACACGCGCCAGTCACCTGGGTCTTGACCCACTTGGGCTGGCGTCCAGACAGCTGGCCCAGAGGCCTCAAGAACCTCGGTCGGATCTGGAGGGGAGTGGACGCCCGGGGGCAAGGCTGGCAACCCTGGGGGCTGGCCGTCCAGCCCGCGGGAGGACGTGGCGGGGCTATGGGCCTTCACTCGGGCAAGAGGGCTCCCTGCTGGGGCCGGAGACCTGGGAGGGCGTCCCAGGCTCCCTCGGACGTGCCTGTGGATGGGTGTAGGGTGCCCGGAGACGGGGGGAGCACTGGGGGCCCGCAGCAGAGGGGGAGGCCTCCCTGTCGGTGCCTGCGGCCACCCCTCACTAGTGTGGGGCAGCGTCAAAGGGCTGGGTAACCTGGCAAAAGTGAAGGGTCACTGATTGTGGAGGAAGGGGCGCAGACTCCAGGTCCTGAACTGCTGAGGCGGGAGGCCTTCCCTTCCTGTCTGAGCCCTGCCGGTCTCCACAGGAGGCTGGGGGCCACCAGAGCCCACCAGCCAAGGCCCCTCCCCCCGCCCCATGGCGCTGGCTGCCCCGAGTTCACTCCTGGCTGGAGGCGGCGGCTGGAGGAGCTCTTGGGCTTTCTCTCTGCGCATCTCATGGGTGCAGGATTTGGGGGCCACAGGAGGGCTCCACCCCCCCACCCCTCCTACGTCCCAGGTCACAGGGCTGCCCCAAGCCGCCCTGGCACTGGACCTACCGGCATCCCAGGAATTTCTGGGCAGGAAGGGTCCGGCTGGCCAGTTTCTGCTCTACCCCATGTGGCTTTCCAACGCTGCCCCTCTCCGCCTCCCGGTGCCCTCCTTTTGGGGCCTGAAAGGGGAGAGAGCAGCCTCCATTCTGTGACAGACTGCCTCCTGTCGCGAGGCCTGGGTGGGTTAGTGCCAGGGTTCCGGAGGGCTTCCTGGAAGGGGAGGCGTGGATTTTTTTTTTAAAGATTTGTTTGTTTGTACATACAAGAACTGGGGTGCCGGCCAGAGGTGTGGGTGTGAGAGGACTCCCCAGAGACAGAGCGGGGAGCAGAACAGGCGAATCCACTGGGACACAGTGCTGAGGGGAGCAGCGGGGACACAGGAGAGGTCCTGCGCCCTGTGGGTCGCTCCCTGGCCGGGGATCGAACTCGTGCTGCAGAGGCTGGTGAGAGCCTCACAGCGCTGAGCTCAACCCTGGCGCGCGCCCCGGGGTCGCGGAGCTTTGGCACTGAACCAGCGCCGGCTAGAACTGGCCGCGGAAAGGCGAGACCAGCAGGGTCAGCGGCCAGTGGGACGCACCGCCGCCGAGGCGACCCGCTCAGGACACCCCTCAGGCCCTGCCCGGCGCCTTCCCCTCTTCCCTCCACCCCCGCGCTCCTTTCTGACCCCGGGAACGGGGTGGGCCTTGCTGGGCTCCCCTCCCGCGCGGAGGGTCCTGGCCGGCAGTGGCGAGGCCGCCGTCCTCCGCTCCGCTCCGGGGCTTTGTTGCCCTCCCGCTGCTGGAGAGCAGAAGCCGCAGAGGGGGCGGGCGCGCGGGGCGGCGGGGCCCCGCGGGGCGCCGGGTGGAGGGTGTGAGGTCGCCGCCCCCCACCCCGCCTCCCCTCCGCCGACCGCCGCCGGGCTGACCACTGACGTCAGCGCATTCCGCTCCGACGTCATCCCGCCCCGGGGCGGTCACCCCACCCCGCCGCCCGGCGGTCGCCCTCCCCGCCGCGCTCGGGACTGTCCGGCCGGCGCGCGACCTCGGCCAGCGGGCGCCCCGCCCGGCAGGGGGTCCTCGCGGGCCTGGGTGCGGGGCCCCTTGCGCGGGGTCCGATTCGGGGCTGCGCCGAGGCGGGACGGTGCGGCTGGCAGGGGAGGGCGCGCCGCGCCCGCCGCCCCAAGGAGCTTTCCTTTCGGATTTCCCGCGCCCGCCCGCCCCGCGCGCGCCCCGCGCGCCCCGCGGGGGTCCCGCCCGCAGAGCCCGGCCCGCGCGCCTCCGAGGGGTCCGGGCGGCCGGCGAGCGGCGCGGCAACCCCGCCGCGTCCCCGCGGACGAGCGGGCGAGCGCGGGCGGCGCGGCGGCCTCTGTGGCCCGCGGGGGCGGCGGCCGGCGGGCGGGGCCGCGCGGGGCGGGGCGGGCGGGCGGGCGGCCCATTGGCTGCGCGAGTGTGGGAACCGCCGCCGGGCCGGGTTCGCACGCCCCGCGCCGCGCCGGGGCGAGCCGGGCCCCGCCGCGCGCCTGGGGGAGCCGGGACCCGCCGAGGGGACGCCGAGCCCGCCGCCGCCCGCGGCCCGAGGCGCGCTGTGCCTGGCAGCGGCAGCCGCGGGGCGCGACATGCCCGCCGACGCCCCGGGGAAGCCCAGGGCCTCGCCGCCGGCTGGGGCGCCGGCGAGCGCCCGCCGATCCGCACGCCCGCCCCGGAGCGCCGCGGAGCACCGCAAGGTGGGGCCGGCGGCGCGCGGGGCGGGGCGCGGGGGGGGGCGCCGCGGGACTCAGACGCCCGGCCCGGCCCGGCCCGCAGTCCTCCAAGCCCGTCATGGAGAAGCGGCGCCGAGCGCGCATCAACGAGAGCCTCGGGCAGCTCAAGACCCTCCTCCTGGACGCGCTGAGGAAGGATGTGAGTCGCGGCCGCGGGGAGGGCGGGGGAGGCCCGGGCCGGGCTGGGGGCGCCCCCCCGCTAGCCGCCTGCCCGCCGCCCGCAGAGCTCGCGCCACTCGAAGCTGGAGAAGGCGGACATCCTGGAGATGACCGTGCGGCACCTGCAGAGCCTGCGGCGCGTGCGGGTGGCAGGTGAGGACCGCGCAGGGGCGCGGGCGGGGGGCGGGGGGCCGCGCGGGGCCGCGGCCGCCCGCCGACCCCTGTCCCTCGTCCCGCAGCCGCGCTGGCCGCCGACCCCGCCGTGCTGGGCCAGTACCGCGCCGGCTTCCGCGAGTGTCTGGCCGAGGTGGAGGCGCTTCCTGGCCGGCTGCGAGCCGTCCCCGCCGACGTGCGCGCCCCGCCTCTCGGCCACCCTGGCGGCCTGCCTGGGCCAGCTGCAGCCCTCGCGCCGCGCGCCCCGCGCCCGAGCCGCGGCCGCGCAGGCCCCGGCCCCCGGCGGCGCCCCGGGACTGTCTCCGCGCGCCCGCTCCCGCCGGGCCCGAGCCGGGCGCCCGCGGCTGCCCGCGGGGCGGGGCCGCAGGGCCAGGGCGCGCCCTGGAGGCCGTGGCTGCGGTGAGGCCGCGGCCTGCCGGGGCGGAGGTCGCCGCCTGCGCGGGGCTGCGGCTGAGGGGGCTTATTTTCAGAGGCCGCGCCGGGCGCCTCCTCGGTGGTCTTAGGCGGAGGCTGCCCCGCGGGGCCGGCCGGTCGCGTGCGCGGCTGCGGGCTGCGCTCCCCGCTCCCTGCCTCGCCCCGCCGGGCCCCTCCCGCGGGCTCGCTGCGGGGGGCGGGGTCCGAGCAGCGGCCTCTGCGAACTGGGGGTCTGTGAGAGGCCCCGGGGGTTGCTCCGGCGGGAAGGTGCCAAGTCACCACGCGCCCCAGGATGCTCTGGGGTGGGGAAGAGTCCTGCAGGACCCCGGAGTCCCCCGGGCGTTTCTCCCGTGTCTCCCCCAGGGCCTGCGGCCCCACGGGAGAGGGCACCGAGTGTGTGGGGCTCAGGGTGCCGGCACCCTCTCGGGCCTGCCCTGCCAGGCCCTGCCTTGGGACAGGGGGCCCGGTGGGCATGGGTTCACTCTGTCCACTGCACTGAGCACCTGCCTGGGGGGGCCCTGCAGGCCCAGCCCCCAGCAGCGGGCCTGGGGGCCCTCTCTCAGGCTCAGCACAGGGTGGAGTCCCCCCCAGGCCAGACTCTGGTCCCAGCCTGCGGAGCCAAGACCCACCTCCCAGGGGCAGGACTTGCCCCCTGCCTGCCCTGCGCCTGCCCAGCCAGAGCCATCGACTTGGAGGTGAGTCACTGCCCACTCTGGCCCCCCTTCCTCGGCCCCGTGCATGGTGCGGTGGGCTGTCCCCAGCCCTCCCAGGCCTGGGCGTGCACCCCTGCGGGGGCCTTCTGAGTTCCCCCGCCCTCTGGCTGCCTCACCCATCTTCCGAGCGTCCAGAGCCCCATCCGGGTGTGCACACTCCAGGGGCCTGGACCTGGGTGCCGTGCCCGCTTCGCTCGGATCTAGGGCGGGCAGATCTGCGAGGAAGGAGGTGTGGGTCGGACGGGCCCCCCACGGCTGGGGCCTTTGGAGGTCTGCGGCGGGAGCCGGCCTCTCAGCCCCACTGGGTCTCCTGGGGCCTGCTCTGTGCAGAGGGGCGGGGAGGCCAGGGGCTGGGGATGCAACTGGGTGGGTGGGCAAGGGGTGCTCAGAACCGGCCCCACACATCCTGACAGCGGAGGGGGGGCCTGGACCCGGCGGTGGGAACTCAGAGGGCAGCTCAGGGAGCTGGGGGGGTCTGCCTTATCGCCCCCTTCTCTGGCTGCCCCTTCTCAGCAACTGAGGACAGCAGGCCCAGCTGTGGGAAGCGCCTGCCCGGCCTCTGCTGGTCCTGCAGGCCCTGCTTCCATCCACTGCCCTGCTGGCTGGGCCGCCCTGGTGGGGGGAGCTGTGGCCCAAACCCTCCAGCTCACCCTGGGGTTCTTTCCTGCCCTCCCCAGCCTGGGGTGGGGGTGTGGCCTTGGTCACCCCTGCTGTCTTTGTCTTGCTTTTGTCTTGCAGGCGTCCTGCTGATCACAGCCCAGGCACCTTCTCTGGCTACTGGCACGTGGGGGCAGGGATTGGGGGGCCGGAAGTGCTGCGGGCCTGCAGGCCACTGGGGTCTCCTTCACTGGTGCCTCTGTCCAACCCAGTTTCTGCTCCTGACCGAGAGCCAATAAATGCTGCATTCACATGCGTGTCCGGCTCACTGCTGGGCTGGGCTGTGTGAGGGGCCGGGGCCAGCAGTGATGGGGTTGGGCGGGGCAGGACCGCTCTGGCTTGGGGGAGGCGCAGGAGCTACGTGGTGCCTGGCGTTCCCGCGTGGCCTGAGGGTCCCTGGCCTGGCTGCTTCCTGTGGCCTGGGGCCTTCCTGGGAGGCGCCATGCAGGACACAGTCGTGGGTGGCCATCTCCTGGGGCACTGGGTTTGGGGCTCCTTGCTCTTGACTACGGCCATGAAACAATCCCAAGGCAAGGCCAAGAAGTGCTCATTGGCACAGCACAGGCGGGAAGAGGCCCCTGCTGGCCGAGCCCAGCGGTCACCTGCTCCCCATGGCAGGGCCCCTGGCTTAAGTGGGGTGCAGGGGCTGCGCACTGCGCCTCTCTCTGGGGCCCACTGCCTCGGGGCGGGGCATGGCCGGGGGCATTGGCCTGGGGCTCCAGGGTCTGGGGGAGGCCCTGCGTGCCTGGTGTGCGGGAGGGGGTTGTGGTCACCAGGGAGAACCTGGTGCAGCCTGGAAGGTGTCCCCTGGTGCCTCCCTAGCACAGCTGCCCCTACTCGGGCCCCCCACGCGTGCCCCCAGCTCAGAGGGCCGGGCCTACAGCACCAGGCAGGGGAGGGCAAGTCACTCCCCAGACACCCCCCGCCCCCCCAGCTTAGCAGCTGTCTGGGCTCTGAGCTGATTACCAACTGCCGCCCAGCTCCTGCAAGGCCTGGTCCGCCTCCGTCCCTCCAGCCCAGGTGGGCAAGGGCTCTGCAGGATGGCCGAGGAGGAGGTGCCAGGGCAGGCAAGGGCCGTGTGGCCACGTGACGGGGACACAAGTCCCTCCCCCGTCCCTTCCAGCCTTAGGGCCAGAGAGTGCCGCGAGGGAGGCCCAGGGCCTGGGAGGTGAGTGGGCTCCCTGTGCCGGGTTGCTGGCAGACTCTTCCCGACAGGGCCGACTGCTCTGGGCCGGGGCTGTCCCAGGCTCGTGCTGAAGCCCGACCCCGTGTGCTGGGGTGAGAAAGAAGGGCCTTGGGAGTGGCCGGGTCAGGCGAGCGGCTGGGCGTAGCCCAGAGGCGCCTCAGCCGGCTGCTGCCCGAGGAGTGCGCACCGGTATCCAGCTGCCGTCCAGCCTTGTCGTCGGTCCCCGTGTCTGCCGTGCCTCGTTTGCAAGGCGGGCTGCGTGGGGCACGCGCGTGTAGGGAAGGACATCCTCGGGCCGCGCCGCTCACAGCTTCAGGCCCCTCGGGGTGGCTGTGAGGGCTCAGGGAGAAGCGATCTGCATCGTGAGCATGGCTTCCAGCCAAGGCGGGCGACAGGGACCGGGCCTGTCCTGTGTAAAGCAGCTAATGAGCTGGACAGGCTGAGGCGGCCATCCTGAGGGCGCGGGCAGACAGAATGCGCCAGGCCCCTGCCACAGCAGAGCCGACCCCTGAGGGCTGGGCACAGCCTGGGCGACACCCTGGGCTCCCAGGGCAGAGACCGATGGGGGGGAGTGGGGGGGAGTGCGTGGGGGCTGCTGCATGTCCTTCTTGAGACTGGTCAGAACCTGCAGGGGAGGAAACCCCTCGCGTCAGGGAGGAGCCGGTCCGCAGAAAGGGCCCTGAGCCTGGACAGCTGCCGCCTGCCCCGCCGTCCCCCTGGGGCCTGGGGCCGGCAAGGCTGGCGGGGCGCGACTCCGCCGGGCAGCTCGGGGTGCGCAGAGCAGGAGCCTCAAAGCCCAGGAGTCCCGCCCTTCGCAGCGTCCGCAGGCACTGACCGCGAGCCACGAAGGAGGACGCGCCCGGGACCCCCGCATGCAGAGAAGCTCGGCTGTGCCGGGGCTGTGGGGGGCAGTGCTGGGGTGGGGGGGGCTCCGTGGCCGGGCTGGGGGCCCTGCTGAGGCTGTGGGGGCTCCGTGCCGGGAGGTGCGCGCGACCAGCCCTGGGACCGCGGCCAGCGCCGGGCGGTTTCCTCAGACGCCCCCCCCGCCCGGAGCCGCCTCCCGCCCGCGCCCGCCGAGCCCGGCGGAGCCCCGGTGCCCCCTGGTGGCCGCCAGCGGGACGGCAGCCTCCCCGGGTACCCCAGGGGTCCCCCCGCGCCCCTGCCCCGCCGCCCGCCCCGGGGCCTCTGCCCCACTCCCGTTGCCTTCCGCGCGCCCCCGGGCGGGGCTTGGGGGCTCGGAGGGGGGGACCCCAGGCCCGCGCCGCCCCGGCCCCACCAGCTCGGGTCCCGCGCGCGCCCACGCCAGGGCCGCGGGGCGGTGCGGGGCCCCGGGAGGCAGCGGGCATCGCGGGGCGGCTGCTGGCCGGGCGCGGCGCTGGACCTCAGACCTCCTGGCGTCGACCGGCTCCCGAAGAGGACGGCCGCGAGGGGCTCCCCCAGCACTCGGGAAAGATTCGGGCGCAGGGGAAGGGGCGCGGCGGCCGGGCCACCCTGAGCCCGGGGCGCCCTGGCAGTGTCAGCTCAGCGGCTCCTTCGAAGAAAGAGGTTTATTTATTTGTGCCCACAAGTGCGGGGCACAGCCAGAGGCGCCTGCGCGGGGAGGGGACCCCCCAGACCGAGCGGGGAGCGGCACCCGGGACTGAGATCCTTCGCGGCCCGAGAGGACCCCGCGCCCGGGAGGCCCGCGAGCCGGTCGCCTCCCGGGCAGCGCCCGAGCAGCTTCATTTCATTAAGGAAACTGAGGACGCGGGGCTGCCGGGGAGGGGTGCGCGGAGCGGCCCCCACAGCCGGGGCGGGCCGAGCCAGCACGACCCCTGACCCCACGACCCCAAAGCCGCACGTGGAGTTTCCCCAGGAAACACTCCGGAAGGCGGTGGCCGCCCGCCCGTGCGCTGGCAGCAGGTGGGCACCCCCACCCCCCCCACCCTGTCCCCTCCCGGCGCCCCCGGCGGGCGGGCCCCTGGCTGGGGCTGGTGGCGGCAAGACCGCGCGCGAGAAGCTCGCGGCTCCCGGCCGGGCCGCCCCGCGAAGGGGAAGGCGGCCCGCGGGTGCGCGTCCAGCCGAGGGAGCTCTGCGGGAGCCCAGAGCTGGGGGCTCCGGCAGCCTCTCCGGCCCCCCGCCACGGACGCCCGGGGCTCCCGCCGCCTGCGCCGGCCGCCTGCCCAGCCTCGCTCTCTCCACACTGAACACGCGAACCTGAGTGTCCTCTGCGCTGGGCCGCGCAGCCGGACGCCTTATCCCAGCGGCCAGGCCTCGACTCTCTGCTCTTCGCAGCCCCCGGAAGCTGCGGGCAGCTGGGGGTTACTACATGCAGGGCCATGGGGTCAGGAGGGGGTGCAGCCAAGCACAGGCCCTGTGTCCCCGGTGCCCCTAGGCCCCACTGAGGGTCTCCTGGGGAACTCTCAGGAGGGGTCCTGGCTCGCAGGATCCCCCTCTCCTGGGTGCCAGGGGACGCACCCTAAGCTGCCCCCATGCCTGGCAGCAGCCCCCCCAAAGGGCCTCTGGGAACATTCTGGAACCAGCCACTTGCCAGCCTGTTACTCCGTCAGCCCCTCGTCCCTCGCAAACACCGAGGTGGCAGCAGGGGCTCCTGGGCTGCCCACGGGGAGGGCGGCTGCTTTAAGAGGACAGGGCCTGGCCTGGGCAGGGAGGCCCGGAGCCGCAGGCCGGGAGCCGGGCCAGGCCTGGCGAGGAGGGCCCTGCTCGTGGCTGGAGGTGCCGCAAAGGCCATCTATTTGTGGTGGGACTCCGAGAGCTGGCAGGAGCATGTGACCGGGGGACGCCGGTATTTTGGGCAGTGGGGGTGGGGCCTGCCGTGGGAGCCGCTCGGAGGCTCTGGGACAGGCTGCCCGCACGCCCGGCTCTGCTGCCCGGCCGCCCTGGGCCCCAGGTACGCCCACCCAGCCTAAGGTCCCGCAAGCCAGCAGCCCCCACAGGGCCTGGCCAGGGCCAGGGAAGGACGCTCTCCCAGGGCCCGAGGCCCCTGCCTGGCCAGCGAGACCTCCCTGCCAGGCCAGGGCGCCAACCAGACAGGAGCAGGCCACCCCATGGCGGAGAGGCCAGTGGAGCTTGGGGCTGCTGGCCGGGCCTGGGCTGGGGCACAGACCCTGAGCGTGACTGGGGGTCAGCAGGAGGCTTATTTCGGTTGGAAACACTGACCACCCGAGAGAGCCCCCGGCACCACCAGCGCGGCCCTGCGTGCGGAGGAAGCTGTGGCCCTCCAGCCCCGTTGGCTAAGAGCCACCTTCGGCCGGCCACCTGCTGGTCCTGCGGCCCCTCTCCCACAGCCACGGGCCCCATGGGCTCCCCGTCCCCACCCGGGCGTGCGGCGCTGTGGCTGGGTCGGCCGGGAGGGAGTGGGGGCTCACAGTGGCTGGTGGGCGGTGAGGGTCCAGCTCTGCTTTCTTTCAGGATGGTGGTGAAGCGCGTGGCCCCCTGCCAGGGAGCTGGGGGACGCCCCAGGGGGAGGCCGGGCGGGCGGCAGTGTGCACTGGCCGCGGCCCAGGGCTTGGGCCTCTGAAGACCTTGTTTGGCCTCAAGCACGGCGGCCCAGGCGCCTCGGCTGACCGGAAATGGAAAACTTCCAGTACAGCATCCAGCTGAGCGACCAAGACTGGGCGGAGTTCGCAGCCGCAGCCGAAGAATGTGACCTCCTGCAGGCCAGCCTGGCCTCCGGGGACGAGCCCCTGTCCAGTGACATTGACCAAGGGGACAGCAGTGGCAGCAGCCCCCCCGGGCCCCCGCTGCCTCTCAAGGGGCAGCAGGCTCCCCAGGGGCGGGGCTGGCCCGGCTGCACAGCGGGGGAAAAGGTGGCCCCCCGGCGGCCAGTCAGCAGGTCCTGGCCTGAGCCCGCCCTGGCCCCGGGGGCCGGTCAGCAGACGCCCGGCACGTCCCCACAGTCAGAAGCCAGGCTGCCCCTCGGCTCCGGCCAGAGCTCGTGCTCCCCAGGGACGGCTCCCACAGAGATGCAGAGGCTTCTGCAAGGGCCAGCTCCCCAGGGCGCTGCCCCCGGGCCCCCCGGACAGGCTCCTCGGAGTCCCCCGGCCGCTGGCTGCAGCGCTGCCCCGCAAAAGCCCCCCAGCAGCCCTGGAACCCCGACACGCAGCCCCAGTCGGAAGAAGAGGCGCGCTGTGGGGGCCAAGGGGGGCAGTCGCGCCAGTGCCCCCACCCCGCCAGGCTCCCCCACTGTGCTCGCAGAGGCCAGGCCTGAGTGGGGAGCAGGGCCGGGGGTGCCCAGGACGCAGGACCCCTTGGTGGGGACGGCAATGTGGACGGCAGGAGCTGGACAGGACGGGCTAAGGCCGGACTCTGCGAGCGCCCCGGAGGAGCCGTCCAGGCAAGGGCCAGGCTGGGGTCTGTCGACTCCCGCCCCCCAACCGGAGCCCGGGACAGACCTCAGGACAACCCCGAGAGCTGAGCCACACGTTGTGCCCACACCTGCCCAGGAGACTGGTCTGGACATCTCAGTGGCCAAGGCAGACACAGTTCTGCCTCCACCCGCCTCCCAGCCTCCACAGGACTCGGCTCTGTCTACACCCGCTGCCCAGACTCCTCCTGACTCGTCTGTGTCTAGACCCGCTTCCCAGACTCCTTCCAACTCAGCTCTGCCTACACCCTTCTCCCAGCATCTGCCAGACTCATCTGTGTCTACATCTGCCTCCCAGCGTCTGCCAGACTCGATTCTGTCTACACCCACCTCTCAGCCTCTGCGTGACTCAGCTCTGTCTACACCCGCAGCCAAGCCTCTGTCAGACTCGGCTCTGTCTACACCCCCCTCCCAGACTCCGCCAGATTCATCTGTGTCTATACTCGCCTCCCAGCATCCGCCAGACTCATCTGTGTCTACACCTGCCTCCCAACCTCCACCCAACTCATCTGTGCCTACACCCGCTACCAAGCCTCCACCAGACTTGGCTCTGTCTACACTTGCTGCCCAGACTCCTCCCGACTCAGGTCTGTCCATGCTTGCCTCCCAGCGTCCGCTAGACTCATCTGTGTCCACCCTTGCCTCCAAGTCTCTGCCAGACTCGGCTCTGTCTACACCTGCCTCCCAGCCCCCTCACGATTCATCTGTGTCTACACCTGCCTCCAAACCTCTGCCCGACTCAGCTCTGTCTACACCTGCCTCCAAGCTTCCGCCAGACTCGGCTCTGTCTACACCCACCTCCCAGCCCCCTCCCACCTCGTCTGTGTCTACACCTGCCTCCAGTCCTCCACCTGACTCAGCTCTGTCTACATCCACCGCCCAGACTCCTGCTGACTCGGCTCTGTCTACATCTACTGCCCAGACTCCTGCCGACTCGGCTTTGTCTACACCCGCCTCCCAGCCTCTGCCTGACTCCACTCTGTCTACACCTGCCTCCCAGCCTAGACTGAATGCCCACCTGCCGACGCCAGGCCCGGTGGCCATGCCGGAGCTGGGTCCCCCTGCCCTTGTCCCCAAGGGCAGCCCACGTCAGGCTCAACCCAGCCTTCTTCCCGGGGTCCGGCCGGACGTGGGCGTGTCCGCACCAGCTTCACGCTGTGGGGCGGAGGTGGGGGCTGCCCCGGTGGCCCAGCTGGGTTTGAGTCCTGGTGAGTCTCCAGGGGTGCACCAGGATGGGGAGACCCCCGGAGGCCCTGTCCGAGCCCCCAAGAAGAAGAAAGTCCGGTTTTCCATGGCCATGCCTGGCCCTGAGGGGCTATGTGTGGGGGAGGCCTCAAATCTGCCCCCGGGCTCCCGGGTGGCCCCAGGGAGCCCCGGGGGGCCTGGAGCCTGGGACGCGGTGGCTGTTGGGCCACGGTCCCCCCAGCCCCGGATCCTGAAGCACCTGCCCCCCCTGGCCCCCTCTGCCTCAGTGCTGGCGGGGGCTGGATCCCGGAGCAGCTTTGCCGTGACCCTCCCCGAGGCCTACGAGTTCTTTTTCTGCGACACTATCGAGGAGGAGGACGAAGGCGCTGAGGAGGCCGGCCAGGCCGCAGTCCAGTGGCCGGACATGTGCGAGTACTTCTTCCGGGACTGCCGCACGCGGGCCCCGGGCGGCCCGGCCCACGCAGAGCCGGTGCCGGCGCCTCCAACTGGAGACCCCATGCCCATCACCATCCCCGAGGCCTACGAGCACTTCCTGGGGGAGGACGGGCCGGAGGGCAGCCCGGGCCCCGCCACCCTCCTCCGACTGCAAGCCCTGGGGGCCCCCGGGCCGGGCTCCCTGCCAGAGCCCGGCCCAGCCTCCGCCGAACAGCTGGACCTGGTGGTCAGGCGAGCAGGTGCGTGTCGTGTGGCCTTCGCCTGCCCAGGTCCTGGGAACACACTGTCCGGGGAGCTGGGCCAGGACGGCTGTCAGGGAGGGGCAGGCCAGGGCCGGCTCTGGGCCTGTGGGGCCGCGGGGCGACCTGGGAGGGAGGAGCCCAGGCTTGGTCCCGCTGGGGCAGCGCTGGGCCGGCAGCCCCTTGCTCATCCCAGGCAGTCACAGCGGGCTGGAGGTGCTGGCCCAGCTGCCCGCGGCCTATGTCTCGGGACAGACGCGTCACGGGAGGGCGACTCAGGCGGCGTGTCCGGCCAGGGTGGCCACGGAGCCGCGGGCTCAGACGGGGCCTCTCCTTGCAGGTGACCCCCCAAACCCCCTGGGCTCCCTCAGCCTCAGCCAGAATGACATGTGCCTGGTGTTCGTGGCCTTTGCTACCTGGGCGGTGAGGACCTCCGACCTACACGCGCCGGACGCCTGGAAGACAGGTTCGGGCCGGGAGCAGGGCGGCGGTGGTGGGCGGGCAGGCAGGCAAGCGGCCACTGGGGCCGGGCTCAGGCGTGCCTTCTCTTGCAGTCTTGCTGGCCAACATCGGCACCATCTCTGCCATCCGCTACTTCCGCCGGCAGGTGGGGCGGGGGCGCCGCAGCCGCAGCCCCAGCCCCTAGGCCCAGGCTGGGAGCGCCATGGACACGGGACGCGGACTAGCCACCTGTGCGGCCCCAGGCCTGGTCCTTTGACCCCGTGCGCACCAGCGTCCAGGAGGGGCCAGTGCGGTGGCTCCTCGGACTCCACCTGAGTGTCCAGCCAGTGGCCAGGGCGCGGCCGCACCCGCGCTGGGGGGGCCTGTGGGTCTGGGAGGTGGGAATGACGGGGAGCCGGTGTGTGAGGTGTCCAGGCAGCAACAGAAGCAGGGCCCTGGGGCTCCAAGGTCAGATGTGTGCATGAGTCACTGCGCTGGGGAGCGCTTGCTGGTCACCTGAGATGTTGAGCTGGTGTCTGGTCAGGGTGGGTCCTGGGCATCAGAGGGCACTGGTGACCTGCGCTGTGGCAGGCACAGGGTTGGTGGGCCAGGACTCTGCCCAAGTTACAGATGGACTACAGGGAGCCTGGCTGTGCAGGGACAGATGGACCGCAAGGGGTCTGGCTGTGCAGGGACAGGGCCTGCGGGGGCCTGGCTCTACAGGGACAGGGGTCAGGGAGTCCTTTGGGGAGCCTGGTGAGAGGCAGAGCAAGTGGCGTTGGATGGAGGGCTGGACGCGGCAGCGGGCAGAGCGTGGGCCCCAGGGCAGCAGGAGGCCAGGGGACAGAGTGGACACACACACCAGTAAAGCTCCTTCCCCGTCCTTCTGTTTAGCGTTTTCTTTCTTTCCGGGATTTCCTCTTGTCAGCCTCTCCCAACCAGTCCTTTCCCACTCATGCCACCAGGCCACTGCCTGCTCTGCGTGTGGGCAGCAGCTGGCTGTCCTGGGCAATGGCTAGCTGACTTCGCCGCAGCCTTTGACCCCAGAGCCAACTTCAGCCCCTGATGGCTCCCATGCGCCCACCCCCAGGCAAAGCCCTGTTGTTCCCGGGACAGAGCAGAGGTCTGGCCCTTGGGGCACCCCCCCCATGTGGGGTCCAACTACCAGGGCAGGCCCTCTCCTCAGAATGGGGCATCCTCCAGCCCCTGCCGACATCTGGGCCCCAGAGACCTCTCTATCCTGGGGGTCAGACCTGCCTCAGCACAGGGCAGGGTGCTGGTCAGCTGTGGCCCCACAGAGAAAGACCCAGCCAGCTGCAGGCCTGTCCAGCGGGCGGGCACAGCAGGCAGTCCTGAGAGGTAGCCCAGGCAGTCAGATCCACTGGACGAGCCCCACCCCAGCCTCAGGGGCTCCGAGCCGGGGCCACCGCTGATGGGGTGGAGATGGGGCCTTGCCCCAGGTGCTGTCGGTGTTGACGGGGAGCCAGCTACCTGGTGGGGAGGGCAGAGATGTGTGTGCCGTCGGGAGGGTCACCCCCATGCCCCCCAGATCGAGGCAGGGCCCCCACTCACCTGGGGGCGGCGGCGAGGCATGGGCTGGGCCTTCCCTGGCAGGGCAGACCTGGGGCCAAGCACAGTCTTAGGGCGGCCGAGCCCCAGGGGAGGGCGGCCCAGCTGGACTGCACTCTCCGCCCCCCCGTCCTGCTGCCCCTGGCTACCTGCCCATGCCCCTCCCACTCTTGGGCCCCAGGCTCCCCCTCCCTCTAGACCTCCAGGCCCTGAGGGCTTGCTACTCACGAGCCGAGAGGAGTCTGGGGATGGTGGTCCCCGGCCCTTGACAGAGCCTTGGTGCCATTGCGAGGCTCGAGGCTGCGGGGCTCCCTTCTGGGAGAGTCTGGAGCTGGGGTCGGAGACGGGCACAGACACAGGGACCAAGGGGCAAGGGATGGGGGGCTTGGGCCCCAGCGAGCTCTGCATGGCAACGAGGAACTGCGAGGAAGCGCTGGTCACCCACGGCCCAGTGGGACCTCCTGGGCAGGGGCCCGCGCAGGCCTGGCCTCTCCCCCAGCCTGCGCGGGCCTGTCTCTGGGGAGCTCTGGCGGAGCTGGGGACCCCATGGCCCGAGGCCTAGGCTCCTCCCTGACTCCATTGCGGCGCAGCCACCGCCCCCAGGGACTGACCTCGTCCAGGCCCCGCACGTCTGAGACCTTGTGGTGGGACATGGCCGGGGGCGTGTAGGGGTCAGCGTAGAGCGGGGAGCGTGGTGTGTCCGGGGGGCCATCTGGGGCCTCGGGTCCAGCTTCCAGGGCCAGCTGAGGCGGGAGCAGGGGAGGCATGTTTTCGGCGCCCAGGCCCACCCACCTCGCTCTGCGGACGCGGGGCACGGAGGCAGGGGAGCCCGCCCGCCCGCAGGCTGCGCTAGGGGCCCACCTTGGTCAGGTCCAGGTGCAACGGGGGTGCCGGGCCTAGCCCCTGCGCATGGGCCTTGCCCCGGGGTGACCGGCGGCTGCCGCCCCGTCTCAGCTCCGTCCTCTGTCTCCCGATGCTGGAGCAGCCGGGGCTGTCCTGTGGGCGCGAAGGGCCTTCCAGACTGTCCCAGGGCCTCCCACACAGCCCTAGAGGTGGCTCCGAGCGCCCACCCACCGGGGACCTCTCTGCCCAGGGTTGGGGTCCTGCTTGGGGAGGCAGGGCCAGCCACCCAACAGGACTGACCTCGGGCCCCCTGACCGTCCCTGGCCACTCACGGGTGCGGGCACTGCAGCGCGGCCCGCAGCAGACACGGCCGAGGACTCCGGGAGGGAGCGGCTGGCGTGGGCGGAGGGGGGCGCCGGGCACCCGGAGTCCCAGCTGGCGTGTCCGTCGGAAGAGAGCGAGCTCCGGCCGCCGCCCCACGGCTGCGCGGACAGGGGGGCCTGGGGCCCGGGCGGCGCGGGGGCCCGGAGTGCGCGGGCCGCCGCCTGCAGGCACAGCAGCCAGCGGCCGTAGTCCTCGTAGCTGGCGCACAGCACGCGGATGGAGTTGATCAGGGGCCTGCGGGGCAAGGCGCGTGAGCACCCGGGCCGGGCCACCCCCCTCCGCCCCCGCCCCGCCCCGCCCCGCCCCCCGCGCCCGCGCCCCACCCCCGGCCCCGCCCCCAGACCACCCAGCTCCTCCCCAGGCTGCCCAGCCACGCCCCCAGACCGCTCAGCCCTCCACCCTCGCCCCAGACCTTCCAGCTCGGCCTCTGGCCACTAAGCCCCGCCCCCAGGCTGCTCAGCCCCGCCCTAGACCGCCCAGCCCCACCCCCAAGCCACCCAGCTCCGCCCCCAGTCTGCCCAGCCCCGCCCCCGGCCGCTCAGCCCCGCCCCCACGCGCCCACCTTCGATCAGGAAGGAGCGGATCTGCTTCTCCTGCTCCTCCAGGTTGATGCTCACGGCGCTGAGCGGCAGCTCCCCTGGCAGCCGGGGCGGGGACCTCAGCCGGGGGCACCCGCGCAGCGAGAAGCCAAGGCCGCGTCTCCCTCCCGGGGCCCCCCTCCGCCCCCAGACAGAGCTCCCTGCGCACAGGAGCGGGAGCCGAGTTCGAGTCTCAGCCTCGCGCCCCCCCTCGGTCACACGGCCACGGGCTCACCCTCAGGGAGGCACTGCAGGGCCGGAGTCAGAGGGGGCCACGCCACCCGTCGTGATGGCGGCCATGCTAGGACCCCGGCGACTGGGGAGCCAGCCCTAGCCACTCGGGGCTAGGGCCAGACTGACCAGGGCGTGGGGGTGGGGCTGGCTCACTTTGTCCCAACAGGCCCCGAAATACAGGTTCCACCTGCACTGCCCCCCCCACCCCGCACCCACACAGGGCGGCTCCTGGGGTGGCCTGGGCAGCCCCACCTTGAAGCACAGCCCGTCGTCTTCCTCAGAGAAGATGGCCAGGGACGCCGGGTACAGGACCAGGAGCCGGTCCCACTGCTCCTGGGGGGGCACAGCACAGTGGCCCCACCTGCCCCCGCAAGCCCCGCCCCGCGGCCCTACCCCCTGCCCATGCCCCCCTCCCCCGCCCCGTCCCACACCCACCTGAGCAGGCAGGTGCTGCAGCTGGACCCTGGAGGCACAGATGGCGCTGCCCGCCGCCTGGCACCCCGGTGCTGTCCGTAGCCCGCTTAGCCTGCGCTGCAGAGTCCAGGGGAGCTCGTCCTCAAGGGGCCCTGGCAGAGGGGGGTCAGGGCAGTGGGGGGGGCGGGGCTGGGAGGGGGGTGCGGGGCGCGGGCACCGACCTGCGGGGGCGCAGAGTGGCAGCGCTGCAGCCCTCGCACCACAGCCATCTGCTTTTCCAGGTGGTAGAGCCAGTGGCTTCGCTCGGCTGGCCCTGGGCACAGCACCAGCAGCGGCGCCGGCAGCGGGCCTGTGGGTGCAGAGAAGCTGGCCAGTGCCCATGGGAGGGCCCTCCCAGGCCCCATGGGGGACACCCCCCTCCCCGCACAGGGTCTGGGGCCCACCCGCAGCTACCACAGTCGCCTCTGACAGCCACGTGAGGGCACCGCCCACCTGTGATCTGGAAGCCGTGCTCTCCGGGACCCTCTAGCGGGCGGACACTCAGCTCTACCAGCGGCAGCAGCCCCTGCGAGGGCAGAGGGGCTCCTGAGCCTGTCCCCCCTCTCCTCCTGCCTCCCCGGCCGCTTCCCGCACCTGGAAAGTGAGGCCTTCGGCGCCATGGGCCTGGAAGTAGAGGTGGGCGGGGAACAGCTCCAGGTAGCAGTCGCTGATGTCCTGCAGAGAGGCCTAGGTCTGAGGGCCTGGGTTCCGGACCACCCTGCGCCACCCTCCCGGCCTTGTGCCCACCTGGCTATGCTGGAACCTCAGCTGGACCTTGGCATAGTACACCACCTTGCCCAGGTTCCTGACCGGCACCCTCCGCCGGCCCTTCTTGAACACACTCAGGAACGGCTGCTCCAGGCTTTCCTGCTGGCTCTCCAGGCCCGGGATGTCCTGGGGGCAGCAGAGCTCAGGGGACCACCCAGGGCCACAGCCCCAGGAGCCCCACCCCCCCAGGGCACGGGGCCCGCAGCTGCCACCTGGCAAGCAGGACCTGCGCTCCAGGCCGCAGCAGACTTGGGATTGCACCCTCGTCCTGGTGGCCTGGCCTCCGAGCCTGGCCAGTGAGCGGGCACACAGAGCCCCTCAGGTGGCCATGGAGCTCTCACTACCTGGTTCTGCCAAAGCGGGGACCCTGAGGCAGCACTGCCCCCAGGCCCCTGCACGTCCAGCAGAGCCTGCGGTGGCCGAGGGCTCCGGGGCGCGTCTCCAGGCCCTGCTGCCCCACAGCCGCCTGTCCCCCTCAGCACCTCAGGACCCAGGACGGCAAGCCCGGGCCTGCTTGGGTCCATGTGCGGGTGGCCTGATCATGGGGGACGGGCCTGCTTTGTCCACTGCAGCCCTGCTGGCACCTGGGGCAGGGCCTGGGGGTCAGAGAGCCCTGCACAAATGGCCCGCCCTAGCTGAGGGCCAGGCAGGATGGATGATGACCTGGGGCCCAAGGGGCTGAGGCCCATGGGCTGGGGCCGCAGTGCCCTGGTCACTGGGGGCAAATCCAGGAGGATGGGCAGTCAGACTCCCTGCCTCTGGGCGGGGCCTCCTGCCCCACACCCAGTGCAGGAACAAGGCCAGGAGACCTGTGGAAAATAGGCCGAGGAGCCGGATGGACCACTGGACCTGCCTGGGGAGGGCGTTACTGGAGGGGAGGGGTCAGCTCAGAGCTGGGGCGGGGCTCTAGGGTGGAGGCAGGGACCGAGAGGGCTCCTCCCGCAGCCACAAGCAGAGGTTCCCCTTGCCCTTCACCATACCCAGACCAGAAGGGACGCCCCAGTCACACAGTGTGCCCTGGGCCTGGACAGAGGGACTGGGGCTGAGACGCAGCCATTGAGAGGACCAGGGCCCTGTCCACTTGTCTCAGGCAGCCCAGTTTCTGAAGCCAGCGCATGCCTGGCAGGGGGTCCAGGGAGCTGGGCGCACCGGCCTGTCAAACCCGGTTCCCCGCCTGGCAGAGCTGCTGGGAGGCAGGCAGCCTCACTTGGCGAGGCCCCTTGTGGCCAGACGTCCCACTCCCAGCCTGCCCCAGATGTGCCCGGGGCAAGAAGCAGCAGACTGGGCACCTGGAGCCTGAGGACCACATCCAGCACGGCTGCGGTGGGTCTCCCCAAGCAGCCCTGGCCTCAGTGGGGCAGCGCAGGTGGTGCAGCTGACCTGGCCCGACGTGGGAGCCATGTCTGCCCCCCCACCCCCCCCACCCCGCCGCAGGGTGGGGGGGTGTGGCCTGCATGGGAGGCTTCAAGGAGCTGAGCCTGGACGTGCGCTAGGCTGTGGTCATCAGAAACCCCAACTCCCTCCACAGGGACGAGGGGGTGGGGACTCGCGCCCGCACAGGCACAGCCACCTCCGGGCAGGAGGCTGGGTGCTTCCCTGGCGGGAACGTGCCTGGACGCGCCTCCCGCACCCAGCTGGGGGGTGCGGGCAGACGCGGGCCCACTGCCGGGTGTGGCCTCGAGCCGGCCGGGACACAGGACTCAGACGCCCGCGCCTCCGCGGAGCTCGCCCAGCCACTGAGTCAGTCCCGGGTCAGTTTCGATCCGTCAGACTTTCGGCCCCAGAGCTTCCCGGGCGGGGCCTCCCCACCGGGTCTGCACCCCCGGGCGAGCCGGACAGGACGCTCGAGTAGCAGAGCTGTGTCCCCCGCGCCCGCGCCCGGAGCTGGCCACCGCGCTCACCGTCCCGGGGATGTAGTAGAAGAGCTTGTCCGCAGGGCTGTCCCCGTCGGGACCCGCCTCGGCACCAAACAGGCCGGCCCGCCGCGCGCCGTCGTCCCTGGGGGCAAGGGAAGGGCTCTCAGCCGGCTCCAGAGCGGGAGGGAGCCCCTGGGGCCGAGCTGGAGCCCCCTCACCTGTTCCCCTTCAGAGAAGGCTTTCTGGAGAAGGAGGCCCGGAGCCTCCTGGGGGCCTGGGGGACGCAGTGGCTGTTCCCATGGGTGGCACGGCGCGCGGCGAGCAGGTCGGTCTGGATGCGTCTCCCGAGCCTCCCGCCCCACCTTCCACTGGCGGGCGGGGCTCCGGGCGGTCCCACCTGACCCGACCAGGCCAGGCGGGGCGGGGCCTTCCCAGCGGGAACCGGCCACACCTGAGGCCAGTTGCTGCCGCCAGCCCCCACCCTGGCAGGCAAAGTTGGGGCGGTGAGGGCGGGGCAGAGGCTCCCCCATCTCAGCCTTTACATACACAAGGGCCCTCGGGAGCCTGGTCGGTGAGCTGGCCTGCCTGGAGCTGGAGCCTGAGCCAGGAGACCCCCTTCCAGCCCACCTGGGTCACCTCCTGTTCTGTGCTTGCTGCTGTGAGTCACCAGTGACTGGCAGGGTGTGCGCGGGGCCTGGGCCGGCGGGCTGGGGGAGAGGAAGCCAGGGCCCTTCCCCAGCCCCTCTCCTGCCTGGGCCATCTCACCCCGGGCCTAGGCTGGGCTCCGAGGCAGAGCCAGAACATGGAGGGGCCCCCCAGCCAGTGGGAGACAAGGGCCCTGCCCCACCCTGCCCCACTGGCCAGCAAGGCCAAGCCCTCGGCCAGGTTGCATGGCCCCCTCTCCCACCCCAAGGGTTGGAGACGGACACGCAGCCTCAGTCCCTGCAGCCCGAGAAACGTGTTTATTGTTCCAGTGGCTCATATTGCTGCGTGAGATCTGGGCACGCGCGTGCAACCGCTTCGGCCCAGGACCCACGAGAGACCGCAGGCGCCAGGAAGGAAGCCCCCATCAGTCTGGCCCCGGGCTGTGCCTGGCCAGTGAGGGGGTGTGCAAAGCGCGGCCGGGCTCGCACCTGCTCGGAAAGCGCGCCTGCTGGCCTGCTCTGGCACCTGGCCACTCCAGGTCCACAGAGCCTGGGGCGCGCTGGGTGGGTGCCCCCAGCGGGCGGTCCCCGACCCCAGGACACTTGGAGAGTAAACAAGTAGACGGAAGCTGCAGCCTCCCCACCCGCTGTGGACAGATGAGTAAATAAATACGCGACACGCACACAGAAGAGGGCCTAGGCACGCGCACGGAGACGGACAGACGGGACGGGAGGTCCGCGGGGCAGCCCCAGGCTTAAGGCAAGTGGGAGGCCGGGGGCCAGGCTCGGGCAGTCCTCTGGGTCAGAGGCTGGTAGACGACACGGACAGGGTGGGCGAGGAGGGCGGCGGGAAGTTGAGCAGCTCGAGCACCGCCACGCCAACGCTGCTGCGCCGCGTGAACATGCAGGACGCGGCCACCCACTTGTTGGTCCTCGGGTTGTATTTCTCGATGGAGTTGAGGCTGGAGCTGCCGTCGTTGCCCCCCACAGCATACAGCCAGCCGTCCATGGCCACCAGGTCGTGCGTGCTCCTGGGGGCGGGGCAGGTGGTGAGACAGGGGCCGAGTAGGCACAGCTGGCAGGAGCCGCAGGGTTGCCCGTTGGATCTGGGGGAGGCGCAGGCGCCCCTGGGTAGTGACCCTGGGGGTAGGGGGGCGGACACACCTCCGGATGTTCATTGGGGCCACACTCTCCCAGGCCCCTGCCTTGGGGCTGTATCTCTCCACGGAGTTGAGGCAGCTGGTGCCGTCATTGCCCCCCGCGACGTAGAGCGCACCCTCCAGCACGGCCACGCCCGCCGAGCTGCGCCGGCTCAGCATGGAGGCCACGGGCGTCCACGCATTCACCTGCGGGCGAGGGCCAGACGCGTCACCACCTTCCGCCACCCACTCCAGGGCAGGGTATCTGTGGGCTCTCGGAGTGGGCAGCACATGCCACGCACCTGGGGCTCGTACTTCTCCACTGTGGCCAGATGTGAGGAGCTGTCGTAGCCGCCCACAGCATACAGGTTCCCATCTGCAGGGAGGAGACAGGGCAGGGCCTGCTGTGGGGGCCAGGGGCAGGTGAGGCAGGCACTGTGGAAGGCAGGCCAGGTCACCCACCGAGCATGGCCACGCGCACGTATCTCCTCCGGGTGCTCATGGCAGCGATGGACGTCCAAGTGCCCGTCAGGGGGTCGTAGCGCTCAGCACTGCAAATACAGGGGCGCAGCTTTCTCGAGCAGGGCAGAAGTTGCGCTCGCCACCCTGCCCAGGCCGCCCTCCCTGCCCTGTGAGTGGCTGGAACCCAGGCTGGGCAGGCGAGGAGCTTGGGTCCAGTGTCCCCTCGCTGGCTGGACACGGATCACTGCCTGCTGTGGCGAGCCTGGGCCAGTGTCCACAGGGTCTAGCACCTGACGGCGGGGAGAGACCCCGAGAGGGAAGAGGCACTGTGGCTGGTCAGGTGCGACACCTCTTTGCTCCCCTCAGGGAGGACTTCTGCATCCCTGCACTGCTGACCCTGAAAGGCAGCCCACCCCTCCCCGGCCCTACCTGTTGAGGCAGGAGGCCCCGTCGTAGCCACCGGCCGCGTACAGGAGCCCATGCAGGGCGACTACACCCAGGCAGCTGCGCCTGGTGCCCATGGACACCTCGAGCTGCCAGGTGTTGGTCACAGGGTCGTAAGACTCCACGGTGGCCAGGTCCGAGGTCCCGTCGTAGCTAGGGGGGTCCGCTGAAGGTCAGGGCTGGCGTGGTGGGCACACAGAGTCCCAGACCGACAGCAGCGTCCACGCTTACCCGCCTACCGCATAGAGCCGGTTCCCGACGGCCGCCACGCCCACCCGGGCCCTGCGTGTGGACATGGAGGCCACCACGTGCCAGCGGTCAGTGCGTGTGTCATACGCTTCGCAGTCCCCATGAATGGCGAAGAGGCTGCCGCCGCCTGGGGGAAGGGGGAGGTGACAGACAGGACGTGGCCGAGGAGGGGTGGGCAGGGGTGCCTGGGCAGGTGGGGTGGGGACTGGCGGGCGGCCAGGTCATGGGGGCCTCCCAAGGGCGGGGCGCAGGTGTGGGCTGAGGAGGGCTGGCGTGGCTCGGGCGTACCCACGGCGAAGAGCACGGGCCAGCGCCCTCGCAGCGCCGGGGCCGGGTACGGCTGGTGCCCAGGACGCCCCTCTGCTCAGGCAGCAGGTGGAACTTGAGGGCCTCGATGAGCAGGTCCTTACAGTCCGGGTGGTGCCGCACCAAGCCCTCGGCGTCCACATGGCCCAGCAGGAAGTCCCGACTCAGCAGGGGCAGCCGCACACACTTCATCAGCTGGGGTGGGGGGGTGCCGCTGTCAGGGGCGGGTGGGGCCAGGACACCATTGGCCCCATGGGGAGACCCCCCGGAAGCCTGGTCTCCTGTGCACTGGACCCTTCTGGAGGTCCGGGCTCCTCGCCCTGGAGGACCCTGGCCCCGGAGGGGCAGGCGCACCCAGGCCCACGGCCATGCCCTGCTGACGCCGCCCAGGGCCCGGGCCTGGCCTCACCCGCGGGACGTGCTGCCTCCGGGCATCCACGTCGTGCTTGACCCAGCTGAGAACGGCCCGGTAGACGTCCTCCTCAGACGGCACGTTCAGGCTGTCGCTAGAGACCAGCTCCAGCACCTGGGGGGCCGGGTGTGAGGTCTGGGGGGCCCTGGGCGGGAGTCCAGTGAGGCTAGGGTCGCAGGTTTGGCTCCCAGAGAGGGAACAGGGACCCGGGCAGCACCCGGGAGTGCTCAGGGCAGGAGTTGAAGGGGAAGATTTGGGGTGACAGAAGGGGCAGGGCAGGGTGGGGGTCCGGTGGAGTGTGGGGATGGGGTCAAGGGAGGGGCGCCGGCGGGCTCCTCACCTGCTTCAGCGGCAGCAGCATGAACTCCTCCGTCTTGGCCACGTCCACGAAGTGCTGCAGCACGTACCTGTGCGCGGCCTTGAGCAGGTCGCTGCAGGAGTGCGTGTCTGCGAAGCCCCGGATGCCCAGGCAGTTGGAGGGGTCGAGCTGGCTCAGCAGGAACTTGCAGCAGGCGTCCCGCACGCCGTTCAGCTGCAGCAGGCTGGCGGCCGGGAGCAGGGTCTGCGCCGGGCAGCGCGGGGCGGAGGAGGGACGTGAGGACCCACGGGTGGGCGGGCGGGCCGGGCCGGGCCGGGCTGGGCCGGGGCCTCACCTGCACGTTGCCTTCGCCCACCACGATCTCGGCCGTGTACGCGAACTGCACCAGCTGGTCTAGAGCCTGAGGGTCGATGTCGTGCAGGGTCACGTGCGTCTGGCGGCTCTCGCTCATCTCACCTGTGGGGACCGCAGGTCAGGCTGGCCCTGGGGTAGCCTCGGCCCCGAGCGCCCGGGCGTGTGGGGTGGTACTTGCTCGTGAACATGGCGTGGAAGTAGGGGCTGCAGGAGGCCAGCACCACCTTGTGCGCCCGGATCTCCTTGGCGGCCACATGCAGGACGATGTCACAGAGGAGGCCGCGCTGCCGCATGCGACTCATGGCCACGAAGGCGTCGTGGTAGTGGCGCTTGGAGTTGTGGGCGACGGTGTGGCCCTCGCGGCTCAGCAGCTGCATGGCGCCCTCCATGGGGGCCGGCCGCGGCTGCCGGGGCCGCGCTCGCTCCGCCTCAGGGCTGCGGGGCGCGGCGCCGGGTCAGCTCGGGTCAGCTGGGCCGCGGAAGCCCCTCACCCGCGCTGGCCGCCGCCCCCCGCCCCGCCCCCCGCAGCCCACACAGGAGGGTCCGCTCCCCCCCCCCCCCCCCCCGCGCCCTGCCCTGCGGCTTCGCCCCGCCCCACTCCCGGGGCCGCCCCTGCCCTGCTCCGCCGGCCCCTCGGCCAGGCGCCCCCCGCGAGAGCAGGCCGCCCCTCGCCCGCCGCTCCGAGAGCCAGACCCCTCCCGCCCTCCGGCCGGGGCTCCCTCCGCCCGCGCCCTGCCCGTGCCCGGGGGGCCGGCGCGCAGGGCGAGCTCTGGCGCGGGGCTGGCCCCGGCCGCCGGGCGGGCGGCCGGGAGAGGCCCCCACCCCCGGCGCGGACCCGCCCGCCCCGCGCCCTCGGCGGCCCCACGCGCTCTCCTGCCCCTTCGGGCGCCTGAGGGCAGCGGGGGCCGCGGGAGGGGACGGAGGCCGCGGGAGCCGTGGCCGCTGCGCGCCCAGCCGGGCCGCCCAGCGCGGAGAAACGGAGCGGGCTGGGGCCCTCCGGGGCGGCCGCCCCGGCCCCCGCCCCGGCCCCCGCCCCGGGGTCCGCCCGGCCACTCACGCCGTGGGCTGCGGCGGGGCGGGCGGCGGCGCCGCCTCGGGCCCTGGCCCCGGGCTGCCGTGCTCCGGGCTCTGCGTCCTGCCCGCCGGGCGCTCGCTGCGCGGCTGCATGGGCTCGGCCGCCCGGACCGACCCGCGCGCGGCCGGCGGAGAACGCGCAGAGGGCCGGGCGCACGGCCGCCGGAGGGCTGCTCGGCGGCGGCGGCCCGCGGCGCGTCCCCGGCCCCGCCGCCCGCCGCCGTCGTTTCTCGCGCGCCGCCCGCCCCGCCGCGCGCGCTCCCGGGCGGCCTCGGGCGGCGCCGCCGCGAATCCTCCCGCCGCCGCCGCCCGGGGCCGCCCGCGGGCCTCCCGGGCCTGTTTCCGTGCGGACGGCCAGGACTTCTGCTCCCCCATTCGAGAAGCGCCCGACCCCGCGGCGCCGGAGACAGAGGCCCCCAGGTTTCACCCGGCGGGCCCGAGCTGGGCATCCGCCACCCGCCCCGTGTCCCCAGGCAGGCGCGTTGCCCGTGTGTGCCTTCGCTAGAATCCTCCACGAAAGCCTGCAAGGGCAGGCCTTGAACCGGGAGCCTCAGCAGGAGGCTGGGCTGGGGGAGGGCCTGCTTGGAGTCTGGGGCCCAGGCAGCTGTGTGTCTGTCTGTCTGTCTCTCCCTCCCTCTAGACTGGCTTCCTCACCTCCCTCCTTCCAGAGGCAGCCTTTGCACCTGCTGACAGACAGGCCAGAGAAAGCGCGACCTTCCCTGCCCAGCACTGTCTTGTGAGTGCAGATTTGCTGTATTTGCAACAGCACAGAGCACACCCAAAAGGATGTCCAAACGGCTAAGGCAGCACTAAGGGATGATACTGACAGCACGAAAGAGTGCCGAAGACACTGGAAATGGTACCAGGTGGGACCAAAGGGCAGCACCACAGCGGGGGACAGGTCCTGTCGCAGGTTCTCGTCCATGTGTGCTGCTGCAAGACCACTCAGGCTCAGGGGCCAACAGCCACAGGCTTTATTTATCCAATAGGAGGTCAGGGAAGAGGAGTGTTTCTGAGGCCACAGGTGTCCGGAAGCTCCGAACCACAGCCACTCATGGGAGACGAGGTGATGCCCACAGCAGCCGCCCAGACACTGAGCTGGATGCCGAGACAGCAAGAGACTCCATGGCCCCCCGGGGTGGTGCTGGAGAAACAGAGGCTGTGGTCAGCGCTCTGAGACGCTGGGCCATGCCCGATGGTGCTCCTTATGGGTGATGGCAGAGGCCGGGGTGCAGTGGCTAGTCCTTGCACAGGTCTGCAGAGGCCTGCAAGTCTATGAAGGGTCACTGAGCCCCAGCGGCGCCTGGTGCTCCGCTCTTCCTGCAGAGGCTGTTTGCCCAACCCTGCTTCGAAGGTGTCTGGTGAATGTTTCCTCCTTGAAGGCCAGGAACAGGACCCCCTGCCTTTCTTCAGAGGCTGGAGCAGAGTGAGTCAATCTGGCCTCGCTCTGTCTTATATTCCCCGCAGGCTCCCGGCCCTACAGGCCTGACTGGATTGTTTAGACTATTTGGCACCAATCAGCTCAGTTTCCATTTTCAACCCAAATAACTAACCAGTAAGGTGAGCTTGAACCTGACTGGTCCACTTAGGATCCTCTAGACAGATATAAAGGGGGGCCGCCCCCCTCGGTGTGCTGGGGTCAGGGCAGGATGGTGGGCCCGGGGCCCCAGGAAGCCATGGCTGCGGCGCCTCCCTGGGGGAGGGCGGGCAGGGTGATGCCGGGCCCCTGGGTGCTGTGGGGATCCAGTTACAGATCGTGCAGCAGACACAGCAGTCTGAGGGAAATGGAGCCAAGCAGCTTCAGGGACAGTTGGCAGATCTGCCCGCTGCCTCGCCCGGGCGCGCGGGGCTCCCAGTGGGCTGGCGAGGCTCCGGTTCTCGCCGGGCAGGGCAAGACCGGCCTGGGCCTCGGGCCTCCGTTTCTGACCAGGTGCCCATCGTCGCGCCATCCTGGCTTCCCTTTCTGCCTCTCTCCTGGCCGGCGAGGCGCTCCGCACGGAGCAGCGGTTGCTCTTCTTCAGGCGCGTCCGCGGCCCCGCCCCGCCCTCCCGCACGCGGCGGCGCGGCCTCGGGCGCCCGGCTGGGCGCGGGGCTCTGCTCTCAGGGAGGCCGCCCGGCGAGCGGGCTGCGGCCCGCCCCGAGCAGGCCTGCGCAAGGCCCCAGCGCTGCGGCCGAGCCCCCAGGCCGCCGAGGGAGGCGCGGAGGGCCCGGGCGGCGCGGCGGCGTGCGCGCGCCCGCCCGCCTCGGACACGGCGGCGCTGGGGTGGAGAACCGTAGAGCCGCCCTCAGAGCGGGGCGCGGCCAGGGGCGGGGCGGGCGGGCGGGGCGGGGCCGGCCGCCGGAAGTGCGCCCGCGCGCGGCCTTCTGGGGCCGGAAGTGGCGCGGGCGGCGGCGGCAGGCATGGCGGCGGCGCGCGGGCGCCGGAGGTGAGGCGCGGGGGCGGGCGGCCGGGACTGCCGGGCCGCGCTCGCGGGGCGTCCTGGCGGGGCGGGCTGACGAGGTGTCCCGCAGGCGCTTGGCGGAGCTGACGGTGGACGAGTTCCTGGCCTCGGGCTTCGACGCCGAGTCCGAGTCGGAGCCGGAAGGAGGCCCGGCCCCCGCGGCGCGGGCGGCGCGCGGAGCGGCCCGGAGCCCGCCCGGGCGCGGCGGGAGCCCCTCGGCCGGGTGAGTGCGGGACCGGGGCCGCGCGGCGTGGACCCCCGGCTGCGTTCGGCGCGGCCGGGCTGTGGTGGTGAGGGCCGGAGAGGCCTCCGAGGAGGCGCTGGCCGAAGCAGGCTCGGGGGCGAGGGCCGCGGTGCCCGGGCCGGAGCAGGTGGTGGCTGAAGGGGCCGGGCCGGGCCGCGAGATCTCGGTGAGGCGACCGCAGCCTCGGCGCTTGGAGCAGCGGCGGACGGGCGGTCGCGGGGCGCCCGTGTGGGGCCAGGTGGCAGGTGCCGGGCACGGAGGCGGGGCCCTGGGCTGAGGGCAACTGGGCGCTGCTGCTCTTTGAAGGGGGACCGCGGGAGCGCGGCTGAGACCTGCGGCCGGTCGCGGGCTGCAGGCGACACGGGGGAGCGGTCGCTTTCCTCGGGCTGCTTGCAGTTGGGCTGCCAACCGGTGAGCGGGAGCAGCTGTGTGGCAGCCCTGGCTCAGCCTGGACGCCGGAGTGCACCCGTGGAGATAGTGCCTAGTGCCCTGGGCTACCTGGGCTTGGAGGCAGGCAGAAGGCCTGGAGAAATCACAGACCTGGAGCCCCACTGCCTCCATCGAAGCCACTGCGTTTGTGGAGGCCACCGTGCTAGAAGCGTGGGGGATAGGCAGCCCACCACCTCTTCTCCCTGCCCTCGCCTGTGCTGCTGCTCAACCGCGTTGCCTGCATCTCCTCAGCCGGCGCAAGGGTCAGGCCTCTGAGCATAAGGACCAGCTCTCCCGGCTGAAGGACAAGGACCCGGAATTCTACAAGTTCCTGCAGGAGAACGACCAGAGCTTGCTCAACTTCAGCGAGACGGACTCCTCTGATGATGAGGAGCAGCAGCTGCACTCCTTGCCCACGGAGCTGGAGGTGGGGCCGGCAGAGCCTGTGGGTGGGGACCCTTGGCCTCCCTTCCCGAGCTCCAGCCCAGCCTTCTGCCTGACACAGGAAGCGAGCGAGGAAGAGGATGACACTGAAGATGGGGTTCCCGGAGGGCCCAAAGAGAAGAAGGATTCTGTTCCTGTGACTCTCGCCATGGTCGAAAGATGGAAGCAGGCGGCAAAGGTGAAAGGTGGAGGGGGGCAGGGGTGTCCCTCACATTGCTTCAGTCCCCTGGGGCTGGGCCGCAGAGGGAGCCCTTCTCTGAGGATAAGAGACTCGTGTCTGCTTTGGCGTCTGCCACAGGCTGCGCACCAGCTGTTTCTTCTCAGGAACCCTCCCCTCAGGTTCTCCCTGGCCCCCTGTCCCCAGGGTCTGTTATGCGCGGGGCAGCGTCCTCTTTCCTTTGTTGGCAGAACTGGGGCCTGTTCCCGCGAGTGGACGGTAGTGCCTGCGGGGAAAGGAAGGACAGAAGTGGGCACTTCAGGTGCCTTCCAGCTGCTGCCGGGGTCAGGTCCTTGGCCCCTTCCCAGCCACGCCCCTTGCCCTTTCAGAAGGATCCAGGGGTCTCATCTGCCTGTCCCCGGCGCTTGGCCATGGCGCTGCTCTTTGTGGTGTGGGCGAGGGTCACTTTCTCCTCGGGGCGGGTTTTACGGCCCTGAGCGCCTCTTGCTTTGGACACATGCTGACTGTTCTTCCAACGATCTACATTCTTTTGCTTCCGTAGCAGCAACTTACCCCGAAGGTATTCCACGAAGTCGTGCAGGCGTTCCGAGCCGCCGTGGCCACCACCCAAGGCGACCAGGAGGGTGCTGAGCCCAGCAAGTTCCAGGTCACTGACAGTGCTGGTGAGTGGGGCCGGGTGCCTGGGGTCCAGACTTTTTGTCCTGTTGTGTGCCTGAGTGGCCGCTGTGGTCCCTTGTTGCAGTGTTCAATGCTCTGGTCACCTTTTGCATCAGAGATCTTTTCGGCTGTCTCCAGAAGCTGCTGTTCGGGAAGGTCTCTCAGGACAGCAGCAGGTAAGAGGAAAGAGCCCCTGACTGTGGCACCCAGGACCCAGCAGTGTGCGGCGGGGTGGGGCAGGCTCCTGGCAGGGCCCCAGGCGTGGGCTTACCCTGTCTTGTCTCTTCTTCCTGAGAAGGAAAGTTTTCTGTAGATTGGCTCAGGATTAATCTTCATCCCAAACTGGAAAATCTGAGTTGGCACAGAGGAGGCGAGGCCTGTGGAGAAGCCACGGGACCCCCGTCCTGCTTGGGAAGGCGCAGGCTCCCTGCGAGGGTGTTGGGGTTGAGGGTTGAGGTGGGGGGGTCCCGTCAAGGGGGCCCCCCAGTAGGGGCAGGGAGGGAGGCAGTGGAGGTGGTTTGAGTGTGGGGCACTGCCCTCTCTTGTTCCTGGTGAAGGAACTATCCTGCGGTGGGCACCCCGGAAGCGGTGCCCTGTGGCTGTGTCTCATGGGGAGCGGCCCCTTGCCGCCAAGCCAGGCCTGGTGAAGCTATGCTGCTGCCTGTGGGAAAGCTCACTCGGCTATCGCTGGGTGTTCTGCATTTCCAGGAGCCCTGCACCTGGTTTCTTGGCAGCTAAATTGTGAATGAAGGTGACGGGGTTTCCAGGTGCGGGGCCTAAGAGCCTGCCTGGGCAAGGGGGTAGACCAGGGGCAGGAGAGCGCCGCTGGGGCGAATGGTGCTGAGCATGCGGCAGTGCACGAACTGCCAGTTGTACGCCGACTGGTACGTCTCCTGGCCTGTGCTGCCTGGTTGGCGCCCTGTGCCTGGTGTCCCTCTGGAGGCTCTGGGGAGCCCTAGATCTGGTGGGGTGGGGGTGGGGGTGTCTGACTTGGGTACTTTTGAGAGCGTCCTGGCCCAGCCATAAGGCCACATGCTCTGGGCGAGCGGGGAAGGGTTTCCCGGGAAACTGTGGGCTCTTGCGTCCTGGGTGCACTCCTGCCTCCGGGGCTCACTGGCCGGCTCGTGTTCTCCGCAGGGCACTGTTACCATCCAGTAGCCCGCTGTGGGGAAGGCTGCGGCTGGACATCAAGGCTTACCTGAGTGCAGTCATACAGGTGCGGTTCTGGGGCTGGCCCGTGGGGGCTCCTCCCTGGGTCGCCTGGGCCAGCACATCTGATGGCGTGGGCCCTCATGGTTCATCCTCTAATGCTCCCAGCTGGTGACCTGCCTGGCCGAGACAACGGTGGCGGCAGCTGTCCTGCACCACATCAGCAACTCTGTTCCCTACTACCTGGCCTTCCCCAAGCAGTGCCGCATGCTGCTCAAGGTGGGCCTGCCCGTGCCCATCCCGCCCGTGGGCACCCAGCACTGCTCTTCCTGGGCCCTCGCGTGCAGGGGCAGCTAGTGATGCGGGTCTTCCGCAGAGGATGGTGGTGCTGTGGAGCACGGGGGAGGAGACGTTGCGCGTGCTGGCCTTTCTGGTGCTCACCCGAGTCTGCCGCCACAAGCAGGACATCTTCCTGGGTCCCTTGCTCAAGGTGAGTGGCGGGAGCACCAGCGTGAGGAGGGGGCCGTGGCAGCAGCCCTGGACCTCCGCGGTGCCCCGTGAGCTGCTTTTTTTGGGTGAGCGTGTCCGGGGACCCCACTGATCTCCTGGGGGCTGGGAGGCCCTGGTCTGCTGGCGGGTGCCCAGCAGGGAGCCTGGAAGTGCCTCTGACTGGGTATGTCCGGCAGCAAATGTACTTGACCTACGTGAGGAACTGCAAGTTCACCTCCCCCGGCGCCCTGCCGCACATCACCTTCATGCAGCGGACCCTGACGGAGCTGCTCGCACTGGACACCAGTCTGGCCTACCAGCACGCCTTCCTCTATATCCGGCAGCTGGCCATCCACCTGCGCAGTGCCATGACCACTCGTAAAAAGGTGGGCGGCCTGGGGGGGGGTTGGTGATGGCCGGGCGGGGTAGGGAGGCACTGCCAGCGGTGGCCCTGGGCACAAGTGGGCAGGGGGTGGACCCAGCTCACCGCCCGGTGGCTTCACGCCCCCAGGAGACGTACCAGTCGGTGTATAACTGGCAGTTTGTGCACTGCCTGTACTTGTGGTGCCGCGCGCTCAGCACCATCCGCCCCAGCGGCGCTCTCCAGCCCCTGGTCTACCCCCTTGCCCAGGTGGTCATCGGCTGCATCAAGTGAGTTGGGGTGGGGGGCAGGCGGGTTGGGCCACACTGGGGCCACAGCGGCGTCCTGCAGATGGACTGTGGGGGCTGTGTGGAGGTGCCCGGCAGGGCTGATCCTACGGGAGGCCTGGATGCAGGGCGGCTGTGGCCCCGGGGACAAGGGGAGCTGGCTTTGAGAACGGGGTCTGGACAGGACCTGGGCGAGAGAGCGCTGCGGTTTGGGTGTGGACGTCCATCGTCCATCTGGGATAGAGGATGGGGGGCAGCCTGTGCCTCTGAAGGAGGTTCCCGGGACCAGGGAAGGCAGGAAGGGCCTGCAATAAGACAACCTGAGGCTGAGCGCATGGAGGCTTCTCCAGGCCGAGGCGTTTGGGTCTGTGTTTTGCGGACCCCTGCAGAGATCTGGTGGGCGAGCAGGTATGGGGGGCGGGGGGTCAGTGGGCTGGGCTGGGCGGCGGGTCTAAGGCGGGGCCTCTCACCCACCTCCCGCCCAGGCTGGTCCCCACGGCCCGCTTCTACCCGCTGCGCATGCACTGCGTGCGGGCCCTGACTCTGCTCTCGGAGAGCACTGGCGCTTTCATCCCTGTGTTGCCCTTCGTCCTAGAGGTGAGCAGGCCAGGCCGGGGCGGCAGTAGGGGTGTCAGTGTGAGCCCCGTTCGCTGGAGTGCAGGCACCCATCGCCCCACAACTGCCGCAGGCAGCTGGGGGCAGCTGCAGGGGTGATCCAGGCTTTTGCCCCCCATCACAGAGAGCAGGGGAGCCGGACTGGCAGGCCAGGTGCCCACCCAAGCTCGCTCTCTGCTCGCACAGGGGGGCTGACCCGGGTGGGGGCAGGTTTTCCAGCAGGTCGACTTCAATCGGAGGCCAGGGCGCATGAGCGCCAGGCCCATCAACTTTGCCGTGATCCTGAAGCTGTCCAAGGCTAACCTGCAGGAGAAGGCTTACCGGGTGAGGCTGCCCACTGTCCGGGAGGGGCTGTGGGGAGGCCCTGGGGGTCACGACAGGACTGGGGTGCTGGGGTCAGTGCTGTGCCCAGTGACTGGCGGGCGTGGGGGTTTAGTGTCTGGTGTCCTGTCCTGTGGCTCCACCGTAGACTGAGCCAGCCTCGCTCTCACCCAGGACGGCCTGCTGGAGCAGCTGTGTGACCTCACTCTGGAGTACCTGCACAGCCAGGCCCACAGCATCGCCTTCCCTGAGCTGGCGCTGCCCGTCGTCCTGCAGGTCTGCCTCTCCCTCCCCGCTGGGCCCCTGGGTGGCCTGCTCCGCCTCAGCCGGCTGCTGCTGATGGGGGCGGGGGTTCTGTCTGAAACCCCTGTTGGGCTGTTATGTAGGGTGTTTGTTTTCAGCCGGGAAGTTTCTGTCAGCGCTGGGGTGCCGCCCACCCCAGGGGGTGCAGTCAGCATACTCACTTCAGGCCTGCTTGGGGTAGGGGTACTGCCTGGTTCAGAGGCCCAGCCGGCCTGAGTGTGGGCAGATGCACCCGGCCCACCGGATGGCTGCCTAGAGCAGGGTGACCCCACAGTGTCTCAGTGGAGCCAAGAGGTGGAGACAATGCGGGGCCTGAAGTCCCGCGGCTTCCACCAGCCGCGCAACTTGTCCGTGAAGGACAGTAGGGCCCGCAGGCCTGAGGACGGAGGGCAGTGAACTGAGCTACACGCTGCGGGTGGGGGCTTGCCTGGACTATCCTGGAGTCGGTGGTGCTCTGAGGCCAGCCACCCCTCTCTGAGCACCCCCACCCCCAACATGGGTGGGCAGGGCTCCAAAGGTGGCCATTTCTCGCACCTCACAGTTGTCCCCCACCCCCACGCCTGTCACACACACTCCCCCACACCCTGCCTCGCACACACGGGCGCCTGTGCCGGGCTCATGGGTGCTGGCCTCCTTCCGCAGCTCAAGGCCTTTCTCCGTGAGTGCAAGGTGGCCAACTACTGCCGACAGGCGCGCCAGCTGCTGGACAAGGTGCAGGAGAACGCCGCCCACATCTGCAGCCTCCGGCAGGCGGCCTCTTTTGGCGTGTCGGACCGGCCTGCGGCGGTCAGTTCAGCAGGGCCCGGGGCGGGGAGAGTGTGCCGTTCAGTGTGGCCGGGCTTGGGGGTCGGCTCAGGAGGATGTGACCCCGCCTGTGCCCCTCAGGAGGCCTGGGAGCAACAGGCCCGGGCGGCAGGGACCCCGCTCACCCGTTACTACAGGCAGTGGCGGAAGCTGCGGGACCGTGAGATCCAGCTGGAGATCAGCGGCAAAGAGCGGGTACAGGGAGTGTCCTGGGTGGGGGGCTGGGGGCTGCGCAGGCCAGGAGGGCCAGGCGGTGATGAGGTCCCGGCTGCAGCCTGCCCTGGTGCTGAGGTGGGGTGCTGGGGAACGTGTCAGGCTGCTGCCTGTGGGGGCTGGGGCCTCATCCTGGTGCTGTTCTCTGCCCAGGGGCAAGGGCTAGAGACTGGGGAGCAGGAAGGTGGGGTCTGCAACTGGGCCTCTGGCCAGGGCCGTGGCCAAGACAGGCCTCACCGCTGTGGGTCTGGCCCTGCGGTGGCCCTGGCCGGAAGGGTGGGGAATGGCTGCCTGTGGCGGTGACCTCTCTGCCGAGGTTTGGTGGGCCAGGGCCAGGGCCAGGGCACCCTGCCCACACCTGCTGCTCTGGCCCCCCAGCTAGAAGACTTGAACTTCCCAGAAATAAAGCGACGCAAGGTGGGGGACAGGAAGGAGGAGGACAGGGTGGAATTCAAGGACCTCTTCGACCTGGACAGTGACGAGGATGAGCCTAGCTCCTGCTTCTCTCGGGGAGGTGGGTCTGCACCCTCAGCCTGCCGGGTCCTGGGCCTGGAGGCTTTGGCCCCCCTGTGGGCGGAGCCGACACCCGCCTGGGTGTGGGGTGGGGCCTCTGGAATTGGAGGGCGCCTGGCTGCCCCCACCATGCTTGGCTGGCGGACCTGCTCCCACCAGCACTTATCTGTCCTCAGGTGCCCCGAGAGCTCCTCAGAGGGCACAGGAGGACAAGGCGGAGGACGAGGCGGCTGTGGCCAGCAGCTCAGAGGGTGAGTGTTGGCGTGGTCAGAGCCACGATGACCCTTTGAGTCCATCTGTCCCAGGGCTGGGCCCTGGGTGCCAGTCAGCTGCTCCATCCCTGCGGGTCTGCCCAGATACATCAGTGCTGGGGTGAGTCAGCGCCGTGAAGCCCCGAGGCGGTTCCTTCCCAACAGGGGGGACTGAGCAGGCACCTCCCTACAGATGAAGGCCCAGATGCAGAGGCCGCCCTGGAGCCGGGGGAGCTGTGGCGACTGGCGCAGGGGCCTGAGGACGAGCTGCAGGACTTGGAGCTCTCGGAGGAGGACTGAGGCCCCGAGGGCCGACGCAGCACAGCGGGGCGGGCGGCGGAGGGAACAGGGCTTTATTTTCACAACACGAGAGACCGGGAGTGCCGCGCCCTGTGCCGATGTCTGATCCTCGCTGGGGAGCGGGTGGCAGCTGCCCCCAGGATGCTCAGTGGCCCCCAGCAGCGCCGGGGAGGGGCCGACGCACCTCCATCTTTGGTTGGTCTGCAGAGCCCCCGCCAGCTGGCCCTGGGCTCTGGGCACCGGGCTCTGCCATTGCCCCAGAAAGGCTCTGGATGTGCACATCCCCTTGGTGGGTTTCCTGCCCAGCATCTCGCCTCACAACCCGGAGGGGAAGCTGGGCCTGCGTCACCCACCCGCCGCTCAGCCCAGAGTCTGGGAGGTATCCGCGGGCCTCAGCAGCAGAGCCGGGGGCCTGTTCTCTGGCTTGGGTGAGGCCAGGCCAGACGCGGGTTGCTCGCCCCCGCAGGGGGAGGGGGAGGTGGTGGTGGTGGCAGCAGGCGACAGGGGCTGCCCCTCCGAGGTGGGTTCCCGCTCAGGGGCCTGCGGTGGGCGCAGTGGCAGGGCCACCGGGAAGCTGGCCATGTAGAAGATGCGGCCCAGGCGCCTGGCCACCTGCAGGGAGACAGCGGTGGGGGCCTGTCCGCCAGGAGAGCTGGGGCCACCCCAGGGCCCCAGGCCGGCCCCTCACCTGGGCGCGAATCTTGAGCGCCGGTCCCAGCTTGAGCCCCAGGGTGGTCAGGAGGTGCTCCTCCGTCAGCAGCGCCAGGGCCTCCCCGTCGATGCCCTGTTCTCTGAAGACCTGGGAGGCAGGGCTGAGTGCAGGAGCTGCCTCCCACATCACCCCCCCCCCATCCCAGGTCCAGTGCAGGGAAGGGGGCAGTGCCTGCTCTGCTTCCCACTGCCTTAGGGAGGCCTGGGGTGGGGCGGGGGCCCGGGTGGGGGAGGCATGCGAATGCGGCTCAGACTCACGGGCGCCCCTCACCGGAACATATTCTCCGCAGCCAGGCAGGCCCCCCACAAAGCTGCAGACATTGTCCACCGTCCACTTGCTGATGTCCTCAGGGGCCAGGGCCGCCTCCCCATCCACAAGGAATCCGCCGCTGGCTCCTGGGTGGGGGGGTTGTGGTCAGACCTCTGGCTTTACCCGGGGCCCCTGCCCTTGGCCTTCCTGGGCTGGGCTCTTAGGACGCCCGCAGCGGCTGGGCTGGGGGTGCTGGCCCATGTGCCCAGCATGTGCTGCCTGCGGGCCGGAGCCCACCTGTGTGTGAGCAGGCGCTGGCGGCGCAGCCCGGGCCCAGGGGCGATGGAGGGGGCAGCGTGGGCCCCGAGAGAAGCCCCTTCTCCTGGGAGCTGGCCCCTCCGGTCGGGGCTTGGCCGGGCGTGGGGCCCGGGCCCCCGGCTGCTGCTGCCCCGGGGTCCTCTCCGTCGGAGTCTTTGGGGGACTCGTCCTCGGAGCTGTCTTGTGCCCAGAGCGCAGCCTCTGTCTTCTCGGACTCCCCTGGTTGAGCTGAGGCTGGGCTGGGGTCCCCTTTATGAGGGACTCTGCGGGGCAGTGTGGGGGGGCCCAGTGTGCCCTGGGGGGGCAGGGCCAGCAGTGGCGTGGAGCTGTGTCCCAGCACCAGCATGGCCCCCCGCCGCTGCAGCTCCTCGGTGCTCTCGGGGCGCAGTGCGGCCTCGGGGCCAGTAGCTGTGGCGGGGGGACGCTCTCCAGCTCCTGGCGCAGCAGCTCCGCTGACATCTCCAGCCTGGGCCCAGAAGGGGCAGGGTTGGCCTGGGGCAGGGGTGCCCCCCCCCACAGGACCACGTCCCCCCGGCCCCCCCCAACCTGGCCAGGCTGTGCTTCCGCAGGAGCTCCTGCTGCCGCGCTAGGGCCTCGGCCTGCGTGGGGGGCAGGAAGCCGTAACCTGGGGGGGACAGGTCCCAAGTCAGGCGGCCCCCGGCCACCGCCTGCCCTGGCCTGCGGCTGGTGCCCCGCCCGTGCCTCACCTGGGGCCTGGCACAGCGCAGAAGACACCCCCAAAAAGGGGGGTCTGAGGTGGGGGCCCAGAGCGATGTGAGGGGCGTTCTGAGGCGACGGCAGCGGGGGCGGCCGCGACAGCTCCCTGCGGACGGAGCCGGTGAGGGGCCCGCGCGCCCGGCCTCCCCGCCCCGCGCGCGGGCCCCCGGCCGGGCGGCCCCCTCCGTCCTCCGCCCTCCGCCCCCCGCCCCGGGGACGGCCGCGCCGGCGGTACCTGTCGGGGAAGGCGGCGGGGCCCGCGCCCTCCCGGCGCTCGGCCAGGCCCGGCTTGCGGCGCGGCGCGGCGGCGGGCGGCGGGCGCAGGTGCAGCTCCGGGCCGCCGGGGCCCCTCGCGGCCGCCGCCTCCTGCCGGACCCTCAGGAGATCTGGGGGGGTCGCGGCGGTGACGCGCGGCCCCCGCGGGAGCGCCCCCGGCCCTCGGCCTGTCTGGGGGGGTCGTGCGCGGCCGCGGGGAGCGTGGGGGGCCGCGGCGCGGGGCCTCGAGGGCCGGGTCTCCCGGGGACCCCCGGACACGCCGCGCCGGCGCCCGGCCCCCCCGCGGCCCTCTCCGTCTGCTGCCGCCGCCTGTTTATAAATTAATTACCCGAGCGGCGGGGGGCGCCCTGCGCGGGCGGGGCGCCAGCCGGCGCGGCCCCTCCCGGCCGCCGGGTGGGTTGGGGGGCGCGGCGGGGGCGCGTGATTGGCAGCCGCCCCCCGGGGCCGCGCCCCCGCGCAGGCCGCCGCGCCGCCGCGGGCAGGCCGGGAAAGCAATTAAAAAGGAAGATTTTTAAATTATTCACATTTGGTGAATTATTCAGGCTCTCCGAGCCGGAGCTGCCCTGGGGGGCAGGCTCGCGTGAGGAGAGGAAACGCTGCCCCTTTCCCAGCACCGCGGGGGGAAAGCCGAGGTCCGCGCCCGGAGGGGGGCTGGGGGGTGAGGGGCGCCCCCTCGGGCCGGTGTCCGGGTGGGGCGGTGGGAGGGGATCTGCGGCTGCGGTGGGCTCCGCTGCCTCTGCAGTGGGGCTTCTCGGACCTGCGCTGGACGCCTCCAGGCCTCTGCCCAGCGGGAGGCACCCCGCCCCCTCTCTGAAGGCCCTCTGGGCCTGCTGGGCCACGTGGGTGGGGACAGGGCAGCTCACTACCCACCAGCGAGGGTGCCGCAGCCACCCTGGCCTGGTGGGTGAGGGGCTCATGCCAAGGGCCACCTACCAGGACCTGGGACGCCCAGGTGGTAGAGACGCTGGTGGTCCTGGAAGGAGCTGGCCTCGCTCAGCGCCGTCACCAGCCTGCGGTAGTGGTCCTCGGGGGCCATGGCGGGCCCCAGTTCCGACAGCAGCAGAGCCTCTGCATGGGGCACAGGGCGAGGCGGCACCCCCCGTCAGACCCCAAGCCTCCTGGCCCAGGGCTCTGTCCCCCTCCCTCCTCTAGGCGCCCCCCGCCCGTCCACGCCGTGCTCCCACCTTGGGGGGACTGACTTCTTCGGGCCTTCTCCACGGGGCAGTCACTGCTAATGGGGGGCAGGCCGCCCAGCCTCTTGCCCAGCAGCTCACCTGGGAGAGGGGAGGGGCTGCTCGTGCATCTGGGACTTGGAGAGGGTGGTGGCTGGGCCTGCTGGGCAGGCCCAGCACTGGCCTTTACCCCACGCAGGGCTGGGGTGCACGTGTGATGATGGGGACGTTGTGGCAACAGCCTCAGGTGGCAACTCGGGACCCCCCAGGTGCTTGCTCCCCACCAGGCCCATCCCAGCGCTGCCGGGGAGGAATGAGAGGCCTGATCCAGCAGACCCACCTTCCCCCTCGGGATGGGGTGCGGGGTCCTGTCCCGGGGACCCCAGACTTGTCTGTCCAGGGCAGCCTCAGCCCCGAAAGCCTTGAGGCCCCGGTTGGGCTCGCTGCCGCACCCCCCCATTCCCCCTTGACCCCGGAGAGCCAGGCCAGCATGGGGGCCGGGCACCAGCTGCTCCGCTCCAGAGGGCACCCCTAGACCGCACCCCCCCACACCAGCCTGAGCGGGCCCTGCCGTGGGGGGCCCAGGCCCCGACACCCTCGCCTAGGAGCCACGTCCTGCCCCCCCAACCAGGCTGACGACCCTGGTGGCGCAGCCCCAGGAGCCTCGGCGTCAGCCCCAGAGGCTAATTCCTTTTTCTTATTCCCTTAATCTGTCATTTTTATCAGGCTGGGGAGTGCGGCCCGGAGAGCCGATCAATCTCCACTTTACAGCTGACAGAATGGTGCTAATAACTTATCGATCTCGGCCACCTCGCTGCCACGGCCCCAGGAGGGTCGGTCCCCGCGGCCCAGGGGCTCCTGGGGTCCAGACAGCCAGGCCAGGAGGGCCAGGCCGGGAGGGTCGGGTCCCTGCGGCCTGAGGGCTCCGGGGCCCTGGACGGCCAGGCCAGGAGGGCTGTGGGCGCCCCAACCACACAGGCCTCCCGTTCTGCCACGCCCGGAGCCCCCCTCCCCCACCCTGCAGTGAGACCCAGCCCTGCCACGGCAGGGGCTCGCGTGTCCTTGGGGGGGGCTCTTCCGAGGGACATCTGGTCACCGTGGCTCCCTGGCGTGCCTGAGTCCCACGTCTGCTGTGGCAGGGCGGGCCTGGCTGAGATGGACAGTAGCCCTGGGGCGGCCAGTGGAGGTGATGACAGGCAGATGTCCCCGCCAGAGGCCAGCTGGGACACGGGGAAGCCACGGGGGCTCTGGCCACATGCGCCTGCCCCGGCCTGCACCCTGGCGGAGTGGGGAGGAGGGTACCCGGGTGGGGTGCAGGGCCCGGCCCGTGCTCGCTGGACCCGGGCACCCAGGAGCGGGCAGGAGCAGGGGCCTGAGGCTCAGGATAGTTCAATCATTGCTCGGCGGTCGATGCGGCAATTAGATTTTATCCGCTGCCCACACAGCTCCTCCAGCGCTGCAACCCCCACACGCCTGGGGCTGTCACTGGGCCTGAGGACGTGGCCGTGGCCAGCAACCTGCCTGGGGGTCCCGGGAGTCATGGCCACAGCCAGAAACTTGTCTGTTCAAGGCGCCCCCAGCTCCCTCTGGGCCCCTCTGCCCCTTCACCTCTCAGCTGTGCCCCCGGGTCTCCTGGGGTCAAGGCCCCTCTGGCCCCTGCCTCCAGGAGCCGCCCCTCTGGGTGACCTCGTTGCTCGGTTCCCACCTTCCTTCCTGGGGGGCACCAGGCGGGCACGCTGAGGGGGCTGCTCCGGGAGTTTGGGGGTGCTCCAGGCAGCAGAGCGGGGAGTCTGAACCCTGTGAGTCCAGCCCATCCCTGACCGCCGACTGCAACGGCGCCTGTTAGTGTGGGGGGGGGCAGTGGCCTCGTCACGCCAGCCCCTGCCCACCCGCTGGAGCCACGGCGGAGCTGCCGCCTCCCCGTCTGCCGGCTGGCCGGGATTAACACAATTACCGTCACACGAGCCCCGGGGGACAGCGCCTCCCCCTCCGGCCGGCCTCCCTGGCTGCCCGCCAAGCCTGCTGGGGCGTCGGCTGGCCGGGCTGAGCCGCGGAGGGGGAGGGCTGCTGTCCCGCGCAGCCCGCCGCAGGACCCTCACCAGAGGCCCCCGGGCCGGGCTCTACACCTCCTTGCTGGAACTCGCAGCGGCTCCGGCGCTCCGGCATCACGAGGTGGCGGCTGCGGTGCACGCTGGAGACGAGGGCGGGGAGGTCGGGGTCCTGGCTGCAGTGGAGAGAGAGGCGAGGTGAGAGGGCGCCCTGGCACCCACGGGCACCCGCCGGGGCCGGCACGGGGCACGGGCCTCGGAGCAGACCCGGCCCCGGGTGGGCTGGCCTGGCTGTGCCATCTGTGCCTTGCCCGGCCGCCCGGGAGCAAGCCTGCATGAGCGTGAACCCCGTCCCGCCGTGGCGCGCACAGCAGCCCGGTCCCCGGGATGGAGCGAGGCCAGGCCGACAGTCGCAGCCTCAAGTGCAGGCCCCAGATGTGCCCCCCTCCACCGCCGGCCCGGCCGCTCTGCGCGGTCGCCTCTCCCACGTCACAGAGCCCGGGATGGGCGCGACCACCGTCCACCGCGTGTCTGGCCCCTGCCCATTGCCCTCGGCTCTGAGAACAGCTCAACGTCAGGGCTGAGGGGCTGGACATGGGCCTGCGGGCGCCCAACGGCAGCCTAGCTCCCGCCACCTTTACGGAGCCGCCTCCGGCCAGGCCGGCACTGGGACTTCCTCGGCGACCTGGGGACCGGTCCGACCCCGTAGGCCCGGCGGCTGGCCAGCTCATCCGGCCGCCCTGGGCAGGGCAGTTCCAGCACCAAGACTCCAGGGCTGGACTCCAGAGCCTCGGGGAAGCCCAGATGCGCTGGCCACCCCACCCTAGCCCCGTCGCTAGAGCGGCCCCAGGCGGCCAGGAGGGCAGGGCGGGCGAGTGGTTTATGGGATTAACCGCAGCATCTCCCGCCCGCGCCGTGTCCGCATGCCCTGGGCGCTGTGGGCAGAACTGCTGGGTTCAGCACCAGGGAAGTCTGCAGAGCTAGAGGCGGGCGGCACCCTCCTCCCCAGGGACGCCTGCCGGGGCCCCCAGGACGCTATGGGAGGTGGCCCGTCAAGGTGCCCACTGCAGGCCGCGGTGGCATCGGCAATTCCACTGCCGGGGCCCTGGGTGCTGCCTCGGGGAAGAGGCCCTTCCACGCTGCCTTGGGACCACCCAGAGGGCCTGGCCGGGGCCCGGGAAACCTTCCCTGCTCACGCTGACCAACACCGCAGGTGTCAAGGAAGGAAACTCAGCCTTGGCCCCACGCTGCCCACAGTGGGCCTCGGAGGGAGGAGGCAGCTGCTGTGCGGATGGCAGGGAAGGGCGTGCAGGACTGGGCCAGAACCCCCAGCCTCGCCGTCAAGCCCTGGCCCACCCCTGCCAGCTGTGCTCAAGGGGACAGGACGGAGGGTGTGAGGACGATGGACAGGGCCATGAAGCGTCAGGAGGACAAGGCGTTGGGGGAGGGGCGCTGGGCCAGACAGCGGTGGGGGCCAAAGTCCAGCTGCGCCCCTCCCCTCTGACCGCACCGCCCTGCCCCAGGGCCCGGCTCCCGCAGGTCCACCCTGCAGCCTCCAAGTGAGAGGCCCATAAAACGTCACAGTGTCCGCGAGGGCCCTTAAGAGGCGCGGTCGAGCTGGCAACTCCCAGTTGAAGTGGACATAAGTTTAAGGATGTTTCCCGTGTGACCAGCTCTGGGCTGGGCGCCCTCCAGGCGGGCATGATGGCCACGGCCCGCGAGCTGGGTGGCCGCGGCCCGGGGCCCTCAGCAGCCGTGGCACTGAGCTGACCCCGCGCCCAGAAGCTGCAGCGGGCCCGGGGGCGGGCTGCCACTGTCCCTCGAGCCGGGCGCCCCTCCCATCTCTCTTCCCCATCCGCTCACCGAGTACTGGGCCGGCCGCCCCTTGCGCACTGGCCTCTGCCCCAGCGGAGCGGACAGCCCGGCCACGCCATGCCCTTGCTCCCAGGGGGGCGCACCCCGGCCCGCACCAGGAGGCCAGAGCTGCGTGGCAGCTCTGCCCTGTAGAGCGACTGCCCCGCCTGCCCTGTAGACACGCCTCTCGCCCCGACCACATGCCACCATCCTCACCCCCTGGCGGCCTTGGGGGGCAGAGGGGCTGGTGGCCCCTGCTTGGGCAGGTGGGTTCGGGCGTCAGGGTGGCAGGGCCGGGGGCTCTGTGCTGGGGCCAGGCTGCCAAGAGTCCTCCCTGGCCGCCACCAAGGCCCAGCACCCAGACAGACCACACCGGAGGGGAGGGAGGCCTGGGGAGCCCGGCGGGAGAGGAACTGCCTGCCCACCTGCAGGACGTCTCTCGGAAGGAGATGTTCACATCCCAGTGGGTGTGGACTCTGCGGAGAGAAGGGGGTGTCAGGGCGGCGGGGATCAAGCCCCCACCCTGAGGTAGCAGCGGCTGCCCAGGGGCCCTCGCCCTCAGCCGTGACATGGGTTGCTCAGCTCGGGCTCGGCCATGCCCCGCCCGAGGCACCTTCTCTTCATGACGTGCACGTGTGGGTCGCCCTCCCTCTTCAGGCCCAGCCGCCCGCAGGCTGAGCTGCTCCCGTCACTGTCGGCATCGCTGGCAGAGAAGCTGGGGGTCAGCTCCTTCTTGAGGACCCGCGTGGGGGGCAGAGCGACTGTCCTCTTGTCTGCCAGCCGCCCCCGGTTCTGGGCAGGGAGACAGGACAGGACGGTGAGGCCTCCTGGGTGGCGTCCCCAGGTCCTGCTCGGAGGCCCAGCAACTGGAGGGCTTTGGGGGGCTCAAGTCTGAGGCTCCTGCGGCCCCCCCGAGCTGGGATGCAACCAGGGCCAGCCAGAGATATGCTGGCTGGGCCCCAGGCTGAGCAGGGATGGGGAGCCAGGGACCCTTGACTCCCCTCTCCTGGAGGGCGCTGGCTGGGCCACTTGGGCATTGCCTGGTGCAGAGCCCTTGGGAGCCTGGCCTGCAGGTGCCCCTGCTTTCCAGCTTCGGGGAGTCCTGGGGACTGTGTGCGACCCACCCTTGCATCCCCAGCAGCCCCTGCACACTGGGTAGGCCCCCAGCAAGTCTCCCTGGTGGCGCTGGGATAGCTGGGCTTGGGGCCTTCAGCTCAGACTGTTGCCTCCCATCCCCTTGCAAGTTCATGGTCCTGGCAGGAGGCTGGGACCTGACCCCTGTGCCCTGCTGGGGCCTCTGGGCTCCTGGGGCTTTCCCACAACCCAGCCCCCACCCCAGGCCTTGGGGAGGGGGCACTGCATGAGGTGCGCTCACAGCGGGCTGGCTCCCTGTCCCGGCCTCCGGGCAGCTGGGGTCCTGCCACCCAGGAGAGAAGCGGCCACTGGCTGTTTTCTGCTGGCCCTTTCTAAGTGCAGGGTCAGCAAGGCACAGGCCCCAGGAAGCTCTTGTCTCTGTCTTTGCAGTCCCGGGCACCCTGACCCGCTCCCCACCGTGCCCCCATCAGGAGGGAGGTGTTGGGAAGGCTCATCACCCCCCCAGAGTGGGAGTCATCCTGCCTTGAAGAGCCTGTGGTCTGTCCAGGTCAGGTCTCTCTACACCCAGGAACCCCACCGACGCAGGCAGCCCCCACCGGGCTGGGCCCCAGTCTCCTCCCCGCCTGGGCCTGCGGGCTGCCAACTCTCTCCATCTGGGAGCTGAAGTCCCCCCTATGGGTCTGGGAGCGGCCCCCAAACCTGCCCTCAGGATCTGTCTGGGAACCATGGAGCTGCCCTGGGCCAGGCAGCCAGAGAAGAGGGCCTTTCTCTGTGGCCCCAGGTGAGACGCCCTGACCGGTCTGTCCCACAGGGGCAGCTCAGACGGGCCAGCTGGGCACGCAGCCCGGGGCACTCATGACTGTGGGTGTGAGGGGCTTGGTCAGAGGTCTGTGGGGTGGGCAGCAGGGGCAGCATCTGTGTCTGTCCTCGCCAGTGAGGTCTGTGGCTTCCGCCTAGCCCAGGCTGCCCAGGGCGACCCCTCCCTGCACCCCTGCCCAAAGCAAACAGGCTGCCCAGCGTGTGCCTCTGGTCCCACCCCCCTCATGCCAGAGTGGAGCAGCCAGGATCAGCGGCTGCCGCGAGCCCATGGGGAGCCGAGGCTTCCATGGCTCCTCCCTGCTCCCAGTGGTTCCACTCAACACCCATGTCTTTTCCAGACCAGTGCTGGGCCCGTGGCCTAGAGGGCTTTGACAGGCCCAGGCAGCCCTGCTCCTGCCACAAGGGGGGGGGGGTGTTTGGTCACAGGTGTCCCCCTGTCTCAGCTCCAGACCTCCTCACCCCAGAGCCAGGCCTGGCTCCAAGGCTCAGCACCCACTGTGAGCCCGGCAGGCGCCTCCAGGCACCACACTCAGAACTCGGCCCAGGCCCTCTCCTGGCCTGGCTCAGGGCGCCCCAAATGACCGCTCATGGCCAAGTCTCCCTTCTCTCCCCTCTGGGCCTCACGGCGCAGGCCTGGGGTTAGGGCCATAGGAACCCAGCGCGTTGCGCGCTTCTCACCACCGGGGAGGAGATCCGGCAGCCTGGACAGTCGCAGATGGGCGGGTGCACCTGCAGGATGCCCCTGGACACGAGCGTCTTCAGGCTTTTCCCTGCAGGAGAGCGCGAAGCAGCCAGGCGCCGGCATAAGCCGCGGGCTCTGGGCCCGTGCGTGCCCCCGCCCTGCCGCCCCGCCCCGCCGGACACCGCCGCGGTCTGCGGAGCTCCCGAAACGCAGGGTCCCGGCGAGCGCCCCTGGTGGGAAGGCGGCCCCTCCCGCGCCCGCGCCCCTCCAAGTCGGCACCCCGCGCGCGCAGCAGGGCCCACCCAGGAAGGTCGCGTGCCCCGGAGACGGGGGTGCCGTCGGCACCCGGAGGCGCCTGACCCCACAGTAGGAAGACGGTGGCCGAGAACCCCAAAGTCAAGCGCTAAAGGGTCCTTAACTTTCTAACCGCCTTGCCCCGGCGCCCGGCGCCCACCGCGCTCGTCGGGTCCGCACCAGCGCCTCCGAGCACAGACGCGCGGGCGCCCCGGCAGACCAACCCCAGCCCCGCGCCCCCGCCCCAGCGCGCCCCCCGCCCGCGCCCCCGCCCCAGCGCGCCCCCGCTCCAGCGCGCCCCCAGCCCCGCGCCCCCCAGCCCCCGCGCCCCCGAACCCCCAGCCCCGCGCCCCCGCCCCAGCGCGCCCCAGCCCCGCGCCCCGAACCCCCAGCCCCGCGCCCCAGCGCGTCCCCAGCCCCCAGCCCCGCGTCCCGCCCCAGCGCGCCCCCAGCCCCCAGCCCCGCGCCCCCAGCCCCGCGCCCCCGCCCCAGAGCGCCCCCGAGCCCCCAGCCCCGCGCCCCCAGCCCCGCGCCCCCGGCCGCACGCGTCCCCCGCCCCCGCCGGCGCCGCGGGGGGAGTGTCCGGCTCCGCCAGGCCCCGCCGGCTCCGCGAGTTCCCGTCAACTTCTTCCCCAGGCCCAGAGCGCGGGCGCCGGCAGGACCCTGCGCGCCCACGGGGCCCCGCTGGGCAGCGCCGCCCGCCGGCCGGCGCGGGGCCGGGGCGCGGCGGCGGGAGGCCCGGGGCGGGCGGGGTCCCGGCCGCACCTTTGTGGCGGATGCTGCGCTTCCAGTCCTTGGCGGTCTCGCGGCCGCTGACGAACTGGAACTCGTTGGGCGTGAGCCACTCGCCGCGGTGGCGGATGGACGGCCCCTTGCTGCCCTGGCAGAGTTTGCGCACGTAGAGCAGCGCGCGGTTGGCGCCGCACTCCACCTCGATGCACGGCTCGCCGCGGTCCAGCAGCGGCTGGAAGTCCGGCGCGGCGAGGCGCGCGGGGGCCGGCGGGCGCGCGGGGGCGGCCGCGCCCGGCAGGCTCAGGCCGGCGCGGGGCGCGCGCAGCGGCGGGGCCAGCAGCGCCCCGTAGCCCGCGGCCGCGGCGGGCAGCGAGGCGGCGGGCGGCAGCGCGGCCGCGGCGGGCAGCGGCGCCAGGTAGCCGGGCAGCGGCGGCAGCGGCAGCGCGGCCAGCGGCGGGCGGAAGGCGGCGAGCGCCAGCGCCAGGTCCTCGCGGCCCGGCAGCTCCTTCTTGACGGCCGGCATGGCCCGGCGCCCCCCGCCCGCGCCGCCCCGGGCCGCGCCGCCCGCGCCCGGCGCCGTCCGAGCCGCCGAGCCGCGACCGCCGCGGGGCCACCTGCGCCCGCGCCCTCGGGCCGCCCGCCCGCCCGCCCGCCCCGCCCGCGCCCCGCGCCCCGCGCCGCCGGGACTTGGGAGACTCGCGCGCCGCCACAACTTGGCCCATTTAAACGGCCCCGGCGCGGCGGGCGGCGGCGCGGGCTCCGGCAGGGGGTGCGTGACGGCCGACGCCCGGCGGCCGCGGGGGGCGGCGGGCGGGGCCGGCGGGCCCGCCGCGCGCGGGCCGGGGTCGGGAGCGCGGGCGCGGACCCCGCCGAGGGAGGGGGCTGCTGGGTCGCGGGCGGGCGCGGAGGGGGCGCCGGGCCCGGCCCGCAGGGGGCGTCCGGGGCGCGGGCGGCTTGGCCGCCTGGCGCCGCGGGAGGGCTGGCACGGCGCCGAGGCCCGCACCGGTGCCCAGGAGGCCGGAGCGTCTGGCGCCGAGGCTGCGGGCTGGCTTGTGGCCGCAGGGCCTGCCCGACCCGGCTGCCCGCCCGCAGGACGGCCCTGACCGCGCCGCGGTGCCGAGGCTGAAGCGGGGCCCAGGCGGGACAAGGCCTGCGGGGATGGCACCAGCCTTTCCCAGTGCAGAGGAGTCGCGTCCGGCCCGCCGAGGGCAGGACGGGCAGCGGAGAGCAGGGCTGGGGCCGGCACATTCTGTGCCCCCTGGGAGCAGATCTGGGGGAGGGAGCGCTGCACCTGTGCCAGGAGTGGGGGCCGCGCACCCCCTGGGGAGAGCCAGCCTTGCAGCCCAGCCCGGGAGCCCCACAGCTCTGGGAAGAGCTGGCACGACGCTGGGCCAGCTGGGAAGTAGCCACAGACCCCTGTGGGCACAGGGCCTGCCCTGGCCGCGGGATGCCTGCCTCTGGGCAGTCGCACTGCCCTGAAGCTCTGGGGAGCAGTGCTGAGTCTCAGGGGTGCTCGCTGGAGCACCTTCTGCAAGGGAGGGCTGGACTGAGGCAACACAAGGCCCCCTACCGGACACTGGCACCCCCGGGCCCCTGGCTGACTGCCAGCAGCACCAATGCCCACCCCCTCTCTGCTGAGGCAGCTGCCAGCCCCAGAGCTGGCCTGGGAGCCAGGCCTGGACGGGCACCGGTGCACATGTGGCCACCTCGCTGGTCACCCCTGGCCTGTCTGTGCTGGGCGTAGCAGGCCGCTGGGGGGTGGGGTCAGCTGCTCCTCACTTCCCACCCGGCGCCCCTTTGCTGCAGTTCCCCCTACCTGGGACGTCCAGTCTTGCTTCCCAGGGTGGTGTGCGCCCAACAGGCAGGAGGCCCTGTGTGGAGGCCGCCAGGGCTTAGCTATACGCCCAGGGGCGTCTGTCCTCTCTCCAGCCACAGCCCTGGCCCTGCTGCCTCTCTGTCCAGTGCTTAGGGTTGCCTGCTCCGGGCAGCCTCGGGCCTCCTGACCCTGACCTCGCCGGGGCGTTGGGGCTGGAAGGGCATGAAAGCCGGGCTCAGAGCTGAGGAGGTGACAGGTGGCCAGGCCTGCCCCCCAGCCTGCAGAGAGGCTCCTGGCCCCCAGGCCTGTGTCCTCGGGCGCAGGCCCACCTGCTCCCCGGGGCGCGGCCCTCCGGGCTTCCAGGGCGGGTGGGCGGGGTGTGGGGACTGGCTCTCCAGCCCGACGCCCACCGCGCTGAGACCAGGGTCCCTCCTGGAAAGACAGTGGCTGGGCCCAACGCCACTGGACCTTTCTGGGCGGCCTGGGGGTCCCCACCTGCTCAGCGCCCCCCTTTGGCGGGAACAGACCCCTCCCAGCCGCGCCCTCCGCCACTTCCCTGGGGCCCGCGCGGGCCGGGGACCTCTCGCCCCCGGCATGTGCCCGCGTCCCCTGCTGGCGCCGGCCCGCCCCGCGCACTCCCGCGGGGAGCCAGAGGCAGGGGCACCCCCGCCCCCACCACCCGCGCCGCGCAGGTGAGGTCGCGCCGCCCCTCCTCCGGCGGGAGGCCCGCCCCGCGCGGCCGCGCGGCGCCGTCGCCCCTCACGGTCCCCCCGCGCGGGGCCCTCCGTCGCCGGCCGCGGCCGGAGCCGCCGCTGCCGCCAGGGAGGGGGAGGGGAGGGTCATAAATAACCCGCGGGCGGGCGCCGGGCGCGCAGACGGTGACCCGAGACGTCCCCGGGGAGCCGCCGCGCCGCCCCCGCCCCGCCCGGCCGCCAGCCCCGCCGCCCGCCGCCCGGCCCGCCGGCCCCGCCGCTCCCTCCTGCGGAGCCTCTCCGCGCCGGCCGCGCCCGTTACCAGGTGCGGTCTGGCCGGGAGAGCCCAGAGGTGAGGCGGGAGGCCCAGCGGAGCGAGGCCACGGGTGCAGAGGCGCCCCCCTCCCAGCCCACCGGCCGCGCGGGCAGGGCGGGGGCGCCGCACCCTGGGGCGCTCAGGCACCCACAGCCGCGCGCCTGTGCCCGCGCACCTGCAGGGAGGGCCGTGCGTCGGCAGCGGCAGGTGGCGCAGGTGTGCCTGGGAGGCCAGGCCCTTCGGAGGGGGTGTGGGCAGCACCCTGGCATGAGGAAGGGTCCTGGGGCCAGAGGTTGCAGCCTGGCTGTGCCACGGTCAGGAAGCAGGTCGGCCTCCCTGTGCCACCAAGACCTGTGGGGCACCCATGGGGCACGCGGGGCCCCTGGCCCCATCCAGCTGCCCCACCCACAAAGGCGCTGGCTGCAGGCCTCCTGGAGGAGCTGTCCTGCAGCCTCGAGGCATCCACCCACTGGTCCCTCCCCTCCCGGAGTGGTGGCCAGCCTGGGGTGGGCGGGCGCTGGGGAGCACCAAGCAGGTCATGGAGGGAGTGGACCCCTGGTGGCCTAAGACCTGGGTCTGGCCTGGGCACAAGCCAGCCCTTTCTGCCCACCTCAGGGCCTCAGTTTCCCCATCTGAAAACTGTGGGGTCCCTGCGGCCTGGAGCAGAGAGGTTAGGACAGCTGTGGCTGCAGGTGCCCTGGTCAGCAGGGGGAGGAGGGCCTGCTCCCCTCGGGTGCTTCCTCCGTAAATGGACCTGAGTGCAGGAGCTGGGGCTCCTCACTACTGGTGGACCATGCAGGGGAACCCCCAGGTGTTTGGGGCCTTGGGAGCCAGACCGGGCTGGTGGCCTGGGGCCTGGGGCGCCAAAGTTGGCTGGGCCAGACATGGCTGCTGCCGCCCGGGACCCCCTGGGCTCCGGCACCACAGCACCAAGGTCCTCTCAGGTGCCCACGGGGAGGTGCCGCGGGTGGAGCAGCCAGCATGGCCCCATGGCTGCCGGCCCCCGGGTCTGCGCGGCTAAGGAGACCCCTGCCCCCTCCTCTCCTGGCGACCACGGCTGTCCGCCCTCAGCTCCTCCTGCTCCGTGGTCCCCAGACCAGACAGCCCCGAAGCAACCGGTCAGTTATGTGCTGGACTTTGTGATGGACACGAGCTCCCTTTGCTCACGAGGCCCCCGCCAGCACATGGGCCCAGCCTCGCCTGCCCACAGCCCCTCAGCCTCTCTGCCTTCCCTGCCCTGGTGGCTCTGCCTGCCCAGCTCTTCACTAGTGCCTGCCCTGGGCTTCTGCCCAGGCAGCCCCTTCCTGCGCACTGGCCATGGGCACCCCGAGGGTGCCGGGGGCTGGGCCTCCCCTGGGGGGAGGTGGAGCCCAAGAACAGGGTGCTCTGCTCCGATGCCCTGTGGGGGCGAGGCTGGCACTCACGGGCCTCCCGACCCCAGCCATGTGCAGGGGTGCAGCTGTCATGCCCAGAGGTCTTCAAGGGCCAGCTCAGGAGCTAGCAGTAGAGCGGTCAGCCTGGGGTGGCCGGGACTCCTCACGTGTCCTTGGCAGGGGTGTGTTCTGAGTGACGGGCATGGCCACAGCACCAGGGGCGGCCCGCTTGGGTCTCACCCCCGGCTCCGCAGGGCTCCCTGTGGCCTGAGCCCGGCCCGGCCCACTCGGGGCCACCCGCTGCCTGGCTGCCTCTCTCAGGGGCTCCTGCTGGCCCCAGCCCTGCTCCTGCATGTGGTCCCTGGCAGTGTCCCCCTTCACTGGTCACACCAGGGCCTTTTAGGCAGGGCTGCAGGACCACACGTTTCTCTCAGCCCCAGCTCTGGCCCAGCGGATGGGCAGTCTGAGGCCTCAGTCCAGCCGACCTGTCCATCCTGGCCCTCCTCTCCGAGCTGCAGTCCAGATGCTCAGGACCTGCTGCCCTGTGGGCCCCCTCATGGTCTCAGAGCCCCTGCCCACAGGCTGACCTATTACCAGAGGGTGGCCGGGCCCAGGCCAAGCAGCCTCCGTAGGCTAAGCGCCACCCAGCCTGCCTGCCCTGGCCTTGCGCGCCTGGCGGCCTCCAATGCCCTGGCCCCAGGGCCCCACTGCCAGGATCTGGTCGCCCACCCCATGACCCTCGTCGCCCCCGTCCCTGAGCTGTGGCCCTTTAGCACCGCGGCCTGACCACTTGTTCCCCCTGAGGGCTGCCAAGCCACAGCTGCCCGCACAGACACTAGGGCAGCACAGCCAGGCTGGGCCCGCTGCCGCCATGGTCGTTGGCCTATCTTCTGATGCAAAGGACATTAAAGTTAGGACTTTTGTGGCCTGAGTCCCAGGGCGCAGACAAGCTGGCCCTGGGCTGCCTTCCAGACTCACCCCGGGGAGCCCGCAGGCCCCTGCCTGGAGATGGTGCCTGGCCTGCGGGGCCATGAGGCCTGGGCGGGCAGGTGCGGCCAGCGGGCACTCGGTGGTCTCGGAGAAGCAGGCACTAGGTGAGCCGCGGCGCTGGGGCTGGTGCAGCAGGGCCGGGCCCGTGGCAGATAAGGTGGGCGGCGGCCTGCAGGTCCAGACTGGCCTGGGGCCCTCGTCCCAAGCCAGCTCTGCTCCTGCCAGGTCCCCTCTGAGGCTGTGGGGTCTGCTGTGCTTTTAGCCACACCCAGGAACGCCCCTGCCTGTCCTCCAGGCCCACAGCAGCGCCCCCTCCTGCCGCTGCAGCCCCTCTGG